AGTATCAAAGGGGTTAAAACATAATGATGAATCACAAATGGGAGGGGGCAGGAAGGTGGGGAGGAGGAAATGCTGGCTTTGGAATTCTGTCTGGAGCCACTACCTATGCTTGACATCAGTATATTTGGGGTCAAGCTATGGCTGTTCTATTTTGAGCCCTGGAATGCCAGGACTGCTGGGCATTCTGTCTGCAGCAGTCATTAGAACCATGTGAGTTTTCTGTCGCTAGGCATAATGCCTGCTGCATGGGCTTAGATGCTCAAGATGGTACGTCTGTGCTGTAGTATTAGTGCAGCATAATAACATCTCTTTGCTAGCGTTGTGCTTGGGGTGGGGTTATCTTTCTGTTCTCCCCGCCACACACACATACACCGGTCTCTTCTGCAGTTTATTTTCAGCTTCCTTGTTCTTTTGCCCTAAGCTTCTCTTCCCACCAGGTGGTCAAGCAGCTGGTGAAATATTTTTATATCTCTATAAAGTGAAATGAGATTGGGAAAAGGGGTGTGAGTGAGTGTGGCAGTAGTGAATGAGCAGCTGAACGCATGGTAGTGAAACAGATTGCTCAAAAGCAGTTGACTCTCAGACCTCATATTCAAGGCATAGAATTGGCAGCTATTAAGAATTGCAGAACAGGTTGCGCTGCAGAGTTCCGCAGTTGGAATAAATTATTATGAACTGGGCCCACTTGCTTGAGTGCATCCCACCCCAGAGGAAGCATTGGAGCAAAGGTCAAGCATGTTTTCTCTGGTTTGATGTTTGCTCCAATTTATCACTAAAGAGCGGATTCCCCCTTGGGAAAATGGTGGGGCAAGGGCAAAAGCACTCAAATCCATATCTAGAAAGCACGGGAAAACCACTCAGACCCATGCTTCCTAGGCATGGGGCAAGTAGAAGTGTGGACCAGCCCCTAGTTACCAAGGAAGTAATCCAACAAAGCCCACTTTTGGGCTTTGTTAGTGCTTGTCTCACCTGAGAAGACCTTACCTGTTGGTGCCAGCAAAAGCCTGCATGTCTGGAGGCCAGGCTAGTGATAAACAATAGCAGTACATGTGGATGGCTGGAGCTGTCCTCTGCCCAGTGGAGTCCTTCTGCTTATCTGGATGAGGTGGGGCGCCAGTGCTCTTATTAGTGCAATCGCATAGTCCCAGCTTTACTGTTGCCCCACCCTGTTCAGGTAACAGCATTATTATGGTGGGGAGGGGATGTCGCCTGTGTCCTATGGTCCAAGGCCCCCAAAGCTGTCCATTCGCATGAGAAAATGAATTGAGGCTAAATTGCAGATCCTGCTTATGGGTGTTTATGCAGACTCCCCCCACCCCCTGCATCTATGCATGTTGTACAGATGCTCTTAGATTTTGTGAGATTCACTGGAGCCAATGCGTAGGCGATGTTAAAACAGAGCAAGCAACATACCCTATGTGAGATGCTCTCTCAAAAGAGTCTCATAGTTCCTGGCATTTCCTGTGCATTGTCAGGAGGAACCAAATGGATGTGGTTGCTGACTGGCAGCAAGAAGAAAGGTTTCATCATCATCATCATCATCATCAGAGACATTGAGGTACCAGGGACAGAGGGAGCTAGTACTGGCAGGTTTTATAGGCCTTAAAACATAGGCAAGTATGCAGGTTAGGCCTCGGGCCTATTCAGAGCTCAGGGAAGAATGTAGAGTAGATTACAGGGATACAACAGGGGCACTACAGGGAGCAGCATCTGAAGGGTTTTGTTGCTCATTTATAATTAGTATACATGCATCATACTATACTACCATGTCTGGCAATAAGTATAAATTAAGCTGAAAAGTCATGTAAGCAAATACTATTTCTTGTCCATTTATAAATCCAGTCAACAGCTTTGTTGTGTCACATACAACTGCAGGGCACTGCACAGCCCTAGCAATATGCCATGTGTTGCTCCCAAGGCTTCTAGGACCTTCTTCCAGGGTTGCTGATGTGGCCATGGTCTTTGTGGCACCTGTTCTGTCTGCCAGTTATTTCCAAGGACGTTTGTATGTGACTTAGATTTTTATATGGACATTTTTAAGAGCTATGGTTTATAACACTAAGATTTGTTTAGTTCATACGTGACCGCTGATGGAAACTGCTCTCTATTGTACGTGTGACTCCTTCTCACCAATGTTGTTGTGAGTAACTGAAAACCTCGTTCATGAGATGAGTAAAACTAAATTCTTGGTTACATGTTTGGTACACAACTGGGGGGGGGGGTATAATCTGAGCTTCAGTACTTAGGAACAGCATAGAAAATTGCTGGACAGTAAAATCCGCATGTGTCATATACTGCTAGCAAGTAGAAAATGTTGAATCCTCTCCAGATTTACCGGTAAATGGTTATTCTAAAAAGAAGGTTGCTTGTATAAGCTGCTGGAAAATGTTAATTGGCAAGGAAAAATTATGTTAAGTAAAGTACTCTGGGGGCTATTCAGAACCATAAAATAAGATAAGGGAAACAGTGAGTGTTGATGTACCACATTCTTTAAAGGCCACTTAACCAGGCTTGTCAGTGACTTCCTATGTGCTAATTATAGCATGGAAATACATTCAGGCCGGCATATGACATATGCAATTACCTTGGGAATTTGGCAGAGATTTAACCTAGAAACAAATCTCCAAACAATTAATACAGGATACTTAGAATGGTGATGGATGGAACCCATGATCGATGGGAAAAGCAGATGGAACAACATAGGAGGAGGAGGAGGAGGAGGAGGAGGGAGAGATGAGAGAAGAGCCTAAAATCTTGTTGGAATGTGAAGAGAGTGTAGCTGACAGTAACATGAAAGAGCCAGGAAAACAGGCTGACGTGTACAACACTGATGATCTCTCTAGTACAGTATGTTCTAATCACACTGAAGGGAAAGGGAAGCCTGGTCACAATTTTAAACACAAAATCCTTTCTTCAGTTTCAAGGGCAGGGTTGGCTTCCCTTCCCTCTTCCCTCCTTTCAACTCCACCTCCCTTTTTTAAATCAACCGTGATGCTGTGGACTGATCGTATTAAATTTAGTGCCATATTTTTATGACCCAACTGTGCACTTTGCTGCTGGCTGTTGTTATAAATAGTAAAATTGCTCTTGCCTAATGGTGCAGAAGGCAACTTGGTCCTTCAGTGGGTTCTGAAAGCTCGGAGTAGTTCTCATTGCATCAACAACATCCTTATAGTTGGTTTTCAACATCTCGTTTGGCTTTCTTAGGTAACAGAGGAAGTGGCTCAGATTATTAATCCATCTAGCTCAGTATTGCCTACTCTGCTTGGCAGGTGGCCCTCCGAGGTCTCCCCTTCATCTGATCCCGAAAGGGCTTCCAGATTGTCACTATTGCACAAGTTGGATTAAATCTCAAACCAGTAAATCCAGTTTGTGCATTTGAAATGGATTTGGTGCTCTTGCAGAACAAACCCACTTCCCCCAAATATTTACTGTTATGGGACGCGGGTGGTGCTGTGGATTAAACCACTGAGCCTAGGATTTGCCGATCAGAAGGTTGGCGGTTCGAATCCCCGCGACGGGGTGAACTCCCGTTGCTCGGTCCCTGTTCCTGCCAACCTAGCAGTTCAAAAGCACATCAAAGTGCAAGTAGGTAAATAGGTACTGCTCCGGCGGGAAGGTAAACGGCGTTTCCGTGCGCTGCTCTGGTTTGCCAGAAGCGGCTTAGTCATGCTGGCCACATGACCCGGAAGCTGTATGCTGGCTCCATCGGCCAATAAAGCAAGATGAGCGCCACAACCCCAGAGTCTGCCACGACTGGACCTAATGGTCAGGGGTCCCTTTACCTTTACCTTTAAAGTAACAGCAAAATGCATTGGGATAAAATGCTTGATGCAATGTTGTATTAATTATCCAGAAACCAGAACAGAATGAATGCTTAATAAACAGGTTGTCTGGAAATAACCTGAGATCCCCCTTTAACAGGAATTATTAGGGGCTGCACTTGACATATTCTGCAGACAAAGAGTGTAACCAACTAAGCCCTATTCAGAGTAGACCCATTTAAGTTAATGGGCCTAAGTTAATCATGTTCATTAACTTCAATCTGTCTACTCTGAGTAGGACTAGCATTGGCTACAACTCAAAGCATGTGCTCTACCACTGAGCTATAGCTACTTATGGAGAGTATTGCAGTGTTTCTTAGCTCATATAGGCTAACAGACCAATATAGGCAAGTGTTTGGACAGTGCAATAGAATATGTTCAGTTTGAAGAAGAAAGAAGTCCTGAGGCTTGCTGCATCTCTGGGTATATGCTCACGGTTATGTTCAATTTGTTGCTCAAATATTTTGAATACAGCAAAAGTCACCAATGATCTTCCAAAGGAAGCAGAAACTCGGACAATGCTGATGCCCTTGAAACTTTTAACCACTCTGGGATGTGTGGAACACATTACAATATAAAAGGAGCATAAGTCCAGAAAAACAGAGCCGTATGAAACCTTGCACAGCTTCCTTCACTTTAAAGTTTTAACTTGTTGAATGTTCTTTTTGAGTGTTCAAAGCACTTCACAGACATTCTCAGTAGTACTTAAAAGAAGTACTTATGGTAAGTCAATATGGTTATCTCCCCCATATTGCAGAAGCTGGGGGAACAGTGGCTTGTCTGAGGCCACCTGCTGGTGAGAGAAGCAGATTAAAGTCTGTGGGGAGGAAGCAGATTAACGTCAGTGTTTGTGACGACTTTCCTGCGCTCTCAGAGGTTGGTTAGTGGCTTTCCTGTTGGAATGTGACATTTAATGCTGTTTTAAACGATACTTTTAAGTCTGGTTTTTATTGTACAACACTTGGAGTATGTAGATAGAAAATAATTTTATAAATACAGTAATAATACTAATAACTATATTATTATTGATCCTGCCCTACTTGGGCTGTAGCTCTCCCTGCTCCTAGTCCTTTATGTATTATTATTATTATTGTTATTATTGTTATTATTATTTATTTACTTATAAGACACACAACATTTTCTAAGTGCTGTAGAGTCACAAAACTAAGACAGTCCCGGCCTGTAGGCTCACAGTCTAATAGATGGTCTTGTTACATATCACAAAAATGGCTTTGGAGCATCCTAACATAAAATCTTCCAAGGTTGATTTGTATCATGTGTAAGCTCAACAATGTGAACTGAGATGTGACTGTGTGGGCAGTTAAGTTATTCGGCAACATTGGCCTAGGGTGTTCCAGAGATGACGTTCGTACCTGGCATCGTTGCTTCACTTAGTGAAGTCAAACGCCAGTTCAGGGGCATTTCTAGAAGTAGGAAGACTTTGTCTGTGATTGCATTGGATACCCATGACTTCCAGAAAGCTTCCCTTCTCCCCATCCTGGAGAGTGGAGATCCTGTAAAGAAAAAAAGGAAGTGGATCTCTGCAGACCTCTGCTAGCCTTTTATTTTTTTCTGTGTTCACTACATGTCATTCCCACATGATTTTAAGACAGATTTCTAGTGCTGTGAGAATGTGCAGTTTCTTCCAACATGTCAGACTGCTACCAGGTTTCATATTAGCTTCCTAGGGCTCAGTTTCCCTGTTTCACGGAATCTTGTTCTAAGGCAAGATTCTTCAGTTGTGCCCCTGCTTTGCTGTAGCTAGCCTTATTTTGCATGTTGCTTTATAGAGAGGCATATGATGTTCATGTCAGGGCTTGCTATAAAGTCAGCTGTGGCTTCTTGGATTACAAAGGATGATATATAAAGTCCACAAACGTATTCCCTCATCGTTACCATCTCCAACAGCTGCACTAGGTCTCACTGAGGAGCATGCATGACACAACACACAGATCAAGATGGCAGAACAGATTATGGAAACATTTGTTATTTTCAACTACGTAGAGAGTAATGAGACTGAACAGCTTTGCAAAGAGCTCCAGCTATTAATTACAAGTGTTCCAACAGGAATGCTGCCCTGGGTATAGGTTAGCCTTTTGATTATGGACTTTTTTAGAATGTTTATTCTTTAAATTTAAGGGGCAGCATTGAATAATGGAGAGTAATTAATGGGTATCTCAATCTATGTGAATCTTTAATGAAGAAAAGTTAGTATTAAATTAAAAATACAAATTATTACCTGAAAAGGAATCTAATACACTCTGTCTGAATTTAAAAAATGCACATCCGGGGTTGTGGGGAAACTGTTCTCTGTAAGACCAGCATCAAATATCTGCAAAGCTGGAAATCTGCAAGCTCCTATATACTAAAAGTGGGGCCCCTGCAGACCCCAAATATTTTTTTAAGTCCGCATGCATGGAAACTATGGTGAAGAGAGGAGTCTGGTCCCATCTGGGTATTTGGTGGTCTCAGCCCCACATAGTTTGAATAGCTGGCAGGCTGCTTTCAAGACTGGGTGGTTTCTCTGAGTCTCCTGGTGGTAGGACTTGCAGAGCCAAGCCAACAACTGCAACAGCTCCTGGCTTAATTCACCCTGGGGACTGCTGTGGAGATCAGGAGAACCTGAACCCTAAGCCTATCCTTCATGCTAGAATCTTATTGCTCTTGATAATGGCCATTGTGACATGCAGCGCAGATTTCAAGCTTAGGTAGATACTCCTACAACCCAGCAACTCCAAGGGCAGCCTCTCTGCTCATTTTCCCATGGGAGCAATATTATGCAGGAGCCTCAGGTCAGGCTGTGTGTGTGTGTGTGTGTGTGCGCGCGCACACACACGTGCATGTGTGTATGAAAAAGAGAGAGAGAGATTGAGACAGAGAGTAAGATTTGAAGGAGCACTTCAAGAACTGCAAAAGCTTGGCAGCACTGCCAGTCCTAGCCCTCTGTAATTAATGCTTGTTTATTTAAATTGCCATATTTAGTAACCACACTTTCAGTTATTGAGGCAACTCAAAAGGCGGTCATGGTTGCATGTTGTGAAAGTCCTCTCAGGTATTCAACATGAAGGCTGACACTAGGCATTACTATTCTGATGCCATGAAAGACACTTGGTTATTTTGATGCATTTTGGAAACCTGGTATATGCACAGCGGTTCTTACTGCCCATTCTATGTGTGGGTAGTGTTCAAGTGTGGCTCTAAGGCAAGGGTGGACAGACTTCAGGACTGCGGGATCCACTTTGTTCTTTACTAGAACCATGAGATCCACCAGATGGTAACTGGTGCAAAGACATACATTTACAAATAGAGAATCCTCAGCCTAAGAATGTTGTTTTGAGTACTGGAACACATGATTTCCCTCCCCCAACCCCACTTTCTTTGGGCAATATAATGTAAAGGGGGATTTTTGCTGCTATTGTTGGTGAGCAATTGGGAATGCAAAATCCTTGCTGATATACTTAAAATCAGCCAGAGATCTCCCTTCAGATCCCAGTCTACCTTCTGCCCTCCCCTGTTTTAAGCCAGTGCTTCTCAATTTATCTGATGTGGTGGACCAGCATTCCCACCCCTAATGTGCCAGGGACCAATACCATATTTGGTTCCTGAAGTGTCTCACCTGATCTGGGCTGTGTTGGACCTACTGTGGACCAGCAGGCGATGGCTTGTAGACCAGCACAGTTCTGTGGACCACCACTTTGAGTAGCACTGTTCTAAGCCACAGAACATTCCTGATGATATGATACCAGTCTGCTAAAATTACCAGTTATTTTTCCTGGAAAATAAACTGAAAAGGGAGAGCTCTATTGGCTGAAATCCACTTAAAATTAGTTGTGATGTTAAGCAGTGAGAATCAATTAAGTACAGTTGTTCCATTTGTTTCAGTGATACTTTATCCAGGAATAAATGTGAAGCTGTTGTCTTTAACAGAACATACTTCTTCCTGTTTGCTTGGAAGTCCCATTTTGTCAAAAAGAGCTTACTTTCCCTAGTATGTGTGTTTAGTTAGGACTGAAGCCCAAGGGTTAATGTTCACAACCAGCATCTCCATGTTATTCATCTACCTGTTGCTGGCAGTACCATTTTATCCTTTAGGTAAGGCTCAGATGTTCGAATGACAAATAACCCTCTCTGCACTTACAATGACCACACACTGAGAGGGGCTGTTGTAATTGTTAGAGCCCTGCTGTTGAGAGAAATTCGCCTCTGATCAGCGGCTTCAGCCTTTCCCTTCCTCAGCGCTGTCCACTCTACTACTGTGTGGTACAGCCAACAGTCTTTCCTGTCAATAGGAAGGAAGGGAAGACACCGACCTACCAAAATGAAACATAACTCATTTTCTGCAATAAGCCTGTTAATGTTAAAATAGGCATATGTACAGGGGAGAAGGAATTTATCTTTGCTTGTATGTTGATTATGCGGGCAGTCAGTTGGGGTTATAGCTAGATCTTGGAGACAGGGGCAGGTGGGCGGAGACACAATGCCTGTACATGGCATTGGGATGTTGGGATAGGGGAATCTGGGATAGGGGATAGGTGTCTGGGTGAGTGTATTTGTACCCCAGAGTAATCGGGTATTATTATTTTTTTAGGCGTATATAGTTAGGGGTTCTGGTTCTGGCAATTTACATTGGCAGAGTTGTGGCAAGTCTGGGGGGAAAAATATTCTTCACACCTTTTAAAAAAGTTTAGGAATATATTACCTGCTGATATATTTATTCTCAACGAATGTGTAGTGTGTGATAAATGGGAGGATTTGCATACTGAACCATTAAAAGGTCTGCTTCATTACGGAGAGACAAATACAGTGGTACCTTGGGTTAAGTACTTAATTTGTTCCGGAGGTCTGTACTTAACCTGAAACTGTTCTTAACCTGAAGCACCACTTTAGCTAACGGGGCCTCCGCGCCGCCGGAGCACAATTTCTGTTCTCATCCTGAAGCAAAGTTCTTAACCTGAAGCACTATTTCTGGGTTAGCGGAGTCTGTAACCTGAAGTGTATGCAACCTGAAGCGTATGTAACCCGAGGTACCACTGTTTTTTAAACCTAGAATTTTCAGGGGGGGAAATTATACATCTCGAAATCTTTGTAAGGCTGCTTGCAGGCAGACATTTCATGAGTTGCTAACATCTTGCCTGTGCCTTTAGGGAGAAAGCCAAAAATAGTAATAATAATATAAAAGTTCTAACAAAAAAAATCAGAAAGTGCTACCATCTTCTCAAAAACCTATTTCTGGTTAATTCTCTTGGGGGTAGGAGTTACATAACATTTGGAGAAAATAAGACCACACTCCCTGTCCGTCATTCTTCAGCCTTCTTGAGAGAAGGTTGGGGGAAGGGAGAAGATCAAAACAACAGCCACTGCCACGCCTCTGCAACTTAAAAAGGTTTATTTTGGGTTGAGACATCTGGTTGTTCTAGTTTAAGGCAGCATTTGAGCTTTTGGTTGCAACAAATAGCACAGATGGCTATGCTGATATGCCTACCGTGTAACTGAATATGGTCCTGTACCTTGCACCCCAAATATCTAATTACTGCATGCTGCCTTGTAGACTTGGTTGCTTTTTATGAGTCTCAACAAAAGTGGATATTGTGAGCCCTTCTCATTGCCAAGGGACTTGTACTTCAAGGTACCCTTGCTATATTTGAACATATTTTAAATACACAGCAATTTCATATAGATACCTATTTGAACATCTGGAGGGCTTATATTGACATATGCTTAATTTTATATGAAAATACTGGTGGCTGTTGTATTTGCAAAGTGAACTGACAGTGTGAATTATTGTTATATGTTTTTCTTTATGTCCTAAAAAAAAACCAAACCTATCCTTTCCCCATATACACATAAAATTCTACCTTCTGACAAAGGCAAAGGGATGTTCTAGCCTCACAGACCACACCAGCAGGTCCTACTTTGGCCTGAGAAGCTGTTTTCCCCCTGCCATGCCTCCTGTCACTTACCTGATGTCATATGATATCAGGTATCAGGTATTTATCAGGTGAAGCTGTGACTGCAAAGGAACCACCAGAAACCTTTCAGTGCCCTCCCAATTGTACCTTTCAAAGTGTGGCTTGCATTTGGTGCTCAATGCAAGCAACACTGCTGGGTTAGATCCATTCAGGAGCTCCAAAATGGATCCAATGTCTGTTGAAAGCATGAGGAGCTCTGGAATAGATAGTGCAACTTGTATTCACCACCAAATGTAAGGTTCCTGATTGTTCCTTTTCAGAACTGTTTCAGTTAGTCCTGGATGCAGGGCTTTTTTTCAGCAGAATTCAGTTCCGGCACCTCTCAGGTGCATGCCATTGCCATTATAAGAGAACAAGGAGGCATTCATGGTGAATTCTGGGACCTCTTTTTCTAGAAAAATAGCATTGGCTGGATGCAAGCCTCACTGCTTTCTGCAGTTCTAGTTAAAGGTTGGTAGCCGTGTTGGTCTGCCGTAGTCGAAACAAAATTAAAAAATTCCTTCCAGTAGCACCTTAGAGACCAACCATGTTTGTTATTGGTATGAGCTTTTGTGTGCATGCACGCCTCTTCAGATACACTGAAACAGGTGCTACTGGAAGGAATTTTGCTTTCTGCAGTGGCGGTGGGGGTGTCAGCTGGGATCTCGAGTGGCTGGCAACAATTGAATCTGGCCTGCTAGTTAGAAGGGATTTCCCACTCCTATTCTAACATCCAAAATGGTATCTTTGTTTTTATTTCCCTGTTCTGCTTGAGCTTGATGTGCAGAATTCTGCCGTATCTCAATAGGAATTCTGTTCCACAGGAAAGGGCAGCCACACTGAAGGCCCTGCTCCAAGTTGCTGTGAAATGGGCTTCTGAAATCTTGGAACTTTCATGAGAAGCTCTCCTGCAGACCACAATGACCTACTGGGTACATAAAATATAAGGCAGTCTCTCAGTTCACCAGGTCCTGAGCTATATAGGGCCTTATAGGTTAGTGCCAACGTCTTGAACTTGACCCGGTAGTAGATTAACAGTCAGTGCAAGTCCCACAAGTAAGGTGTTGGCAGTAGTTTGCCCCCACAAGCATGTGCCTTCCGTCTCTCTTTAAGTTCTTGTTCCTGTTTGAGTACCAAAGTTAACTCTTCATTTTCTGGTATTAAGAACCCCCAATCTCATTTGTTTCTCTGATTATTAGTACAATTATGTCAGTGATGTCACAAACCCTATCCAGAGCAGCAGCCTGGACTTTGACTCCCACCAGACCACAACCATCAGAAGCAGTGGTACTAGAAACTATCTCAGGCCACAGCCTCCTGACCTGGCCTGAGCCTCAGGGGTTCTTTGGCCATGGACTCCTGAGTTGGGACTTCCAGAGTCTGTATCCTTGGAGCCTTGACTACCTGAGAAACTAACCCACTCCCCTCTGTACCATGAACCCATGCCCATGGTGACTTAGCAATGTACATAGGAAGAAATGCCAGAAAGCAGTAGTAGAGCTGGTTCCAGATCAGCGGTCTGCCCCTTAAAGCCTTTCATTTCTCAATAACAGGGTGGAGCCTAGAAGGAGTGATTTGGCCCTGAAAACACAAAACCCCACAATCCATTATTAGACTTCATTAGAGCAAGTGGCTTGCTTGGAGTTTTCCTTGCTGATTCCTCTCATGGTGCCCTGTGGGTGCCTTGCCAAAATCAGTATAGGTCAAGCATTCTCAATCACGTAACCATCAGTCCTGGAGCACTCATTGAGCAACATGGATATGCTCCTGCCACCCACTCCCTTGCCTCACCTTTCCCCTCCAGGGTTTGGGTGACCTGTGCTTAAGATTTTTCTCCACCCTCAAAATCACTTGAAGATTTATCCATCTTCTGCATCATGTAGGAGTTTTAGACAGACCAATTAATAATTAAAAGAACTTGATGTGCTCGGTTATTTGGATGCCCGTGAAGAAGGATGTTATATTACCCAGTGGACTGAGTTTGTGCTATCATGGACTGAGTGAGCTATCCTCTCTAGTCTCACAGATTTAGTCCTTAGGGGTGTTTCTTCAGAGTACATGCTTGTAGCTGAATGTTATTAAATCAAAGCACAAAAATAGCAGGACAATTCCCGTGACAATCTTAAGAGCCAGCAGAATGAAAGGAGCAGGCTAAGTTTAAAAACAGCTTGGTAAATATATTCTCTGGCACTGAAAGAACAAGCTGCCATGTTTTGCCTGTGACAGTCAGTGCTCGCTCCAGGTTTTGGTGGGCCTTTGGGCAAAGCACTTTCAGTAGTCCTCCTCTCCCTCAATGAATCTACCTCCTAGCTGCCATGGTTGCTAGTGGCTCCACCTCCTCTGCCTTATCTTGTTTCATGAGTATCACCCACTTGTTTGCCAGTCAAAGCCAATGAACAAGTAGGCAGTGACAGCTCTTCCTCCTGCTTCTCACTACTGTTGTTGCTTGCTTGCTTTCTTGCTCATTCCTGCAAAGTCAAGAGTGAGGAACAGGTGATCAAGGAGGTTGCACCAGTGAAGAGAGTAGCAGACATAGGTGGCTCTTGTCATGCATCCCCTGCCAAGATGGGAGCCTTCAGCAGGTACCCAACCATGCCAACTGTTGATGCCAGCCTTGATCATAGTCCTCTGGACCACTTTTTGCAATAGGCTTGTTTTTTTGGGGGGGGGGTTGGGCAACTTTGCCATGACCCACTAGTGTCTACTTCTGTGTGTCTTTGTGCCAATGGCAAATGGCAGCTGTAGGGGCTTCAGAGCTTGACCAGGGCCATGGAAGCAGTAAAAGTAAAAGTTTCTTTCATCCACCCACCCTGTAGTCATGATGTCAAGCATACAAAATGCAACCCATACAATTAGTTTCCTGACATGCCTATTTGCCCCTCTGTCTGAGTAGGTGTTAAGTGTGATTAGCCACAGTCATCTCTTTATTTCCTAGTCTCTTCCCCTTTTTGTGTGAATTTCCCCACTGTCTAGTTTAGATTGTAAGATTCTGCAAGAGCACCTCTTTTTTGCCTAGGAAACTCTGTAACATGACATGCATGATTATTATCCTTCATTATTATTGTTGCTATCAATAATAGTAGTAATAGTGAGCAATGCACAATTATTTACCATTTCTTGCATCTACTATCCATAACTTCCTTGCCCGCCTGCAAGGTTGCACTATTGTGGAGATTTCTGCAGTATATATTGGGGGGGGGGGGATGCAATACACCCTCACAGATAGCCCATACATTGCAATTCTAGAATTGCTGTATTGAATGTGATTATACAAGTATTATAGGTAGCTACTGGCTACGTGCCATAACTGGAGCTGTGCAATTACAAACCCACACCACCCTGCACCATTTTATGAATTTGCTGATTTTAGTTTCAGATTTTTTTGGGGGGGGAATTGTGTTGCCTCTGGGCTCCCATGCCATATGGCCAGCTGTCTTTGCCTGAGAGGTTTGGTAACATCAAAGCTATTCCCTTGCTGCAAAATTATCACTCTCAGTCACCAAGGCTAGATTCCCTGTCCCTTCCTCACCCACATCAAGATATACTGTTGTCGATGAAAAGTCATTTGTGAGAGTAAAGAAGCCTGAGTGTTCCCAAAAAAGGAGAGCCAGTCTAAGTAATATATCAGGAAGAATTTAACTATGACAACACTTCAGAGCTATCTCTAATCACTGAACGTTCAGGGATGGGTGACTTGCCACTTTTAGAATGTTGTAGACAACAAGACAGGAGGTGCCTGTAAAGAACTGAGAATGAATCTATGACAGATGTGAGCAAAGATAATTATAATGCAAAAACATGTGTTAGGGCAATGGCTGTACTTAGGCTATTACTACTGGTATTGCTATTAAGATTTCCTTTGGCATGAACTGTGGAAGCTTACTTTCAATGTAAATAGATCGTGGACTGTCACCTAGGACTACAGCTTAGAAATTTGTAATAGTGTACTCTGGTTAGTACAGTATTGGCCATTTTTAACTCACTCATTCAGTCCGAAGCCCAGAAATGGCACTCAAAATTAACTACAATCACATAAACCAAATGAATAATAATGAAATTTGCCTGTTTTCTGTTGCCAAAACAATGGAGCTATTTGTGGTCACCCTCCTCAACAGAAATGTGAGGGCAGAACTGGGATGCTGTCCTTCCTTTCCCATGGCATGTCATTACCCAAACCTCTGCTAGTTAGCAAGTGCTGGGTGGGTGCCCAGTGTTCTGTTTTGCTTTTTCATTGTTAGCACTACTTATAATTTGTGCATAACACCCTCAAGCCTTCATGCCTGTTTTCTATTCTAAGCCAGCAGCAGACTGTTCATTTTCCCTGTCCTATTCCTGCGTTAGCGTTGTAAACATGCAGATCTAGTCTAGTGTTTGCACAAGAGAGCATTAGGCTTTTCTTCTTGTCTCTGGTTCATAAAACATCATAGTCTTCCTGGCCCTATGCTAATCCTTCTTTTGGGGTCCCTTTCACCCTCTGTTCATCTTCACTAGCTCTCGTCCTCTCTTCAGGCTGAGGCTGAGCCAGCCACAATCCTAGGATATAACAAAACGATCATATTGAGAAGTAATGCATAAAAGGCTCCCTTTGCCCATACCAAATGATCTAGCTCCAGCTGCTATTTTTTTTCCAGGACACATGTGAATATATCCCCATTGAGCTTTAATATATGAAAGCTGAGACCCAGGGTTTTTAAAAAATGACGTTGTACTCAAGCCAACACAGTGCATATCAGTATCAACTTTTCAGTGTGGTAACAGCTTTCCAAATCAGGCTGAGGCACAGGTCAGTTTGACTTGGAATTTTAGTAGCACCCTCTGAAAGGACCTTGATTTGGAGGAACGAGACATTGTAAAGTATACCAGTCAAGAGAATGAGCTCCCTCTTTGTTCCCCTGCTCCAGAAGATGGATGCTTTAATGGACTCTCTCACATAAAAACAAGCTCTCCCCAATTCATGGAACACCACCAGCACACCAGAGTGGGCTCTAGGGTAGCCTTCTCCTTGACATGTTAGCCTTATACATCCAAGTAGTACAGATGAGGGAGAAATTGGATTCAGTTTGCACTTAAAGCCTAATTTCTCAAAATCACACTTTCCAAAACAATATGAGAACTGAAACATAGCCATCCTTTTTAAAATGTGCACTTACAGTGGTACCTCGGGTTACATACGCTTCAGGTTACATACGCTTCAGGTTACACACTCTGCTAACCCAGAAATAGTGCTTCAGGTTAAGAACTTTGCTTCAGGATAAGAACAGAAATCGGGCTCCGGCGGTGTGGCGGCAGCAGGAGGCCCCATTAGCTAAAGTGGTGCTTCAGGTTAAGAAGAGTTTCAAGTTAAGTACGGACCTCCAGAACGAATTAAGTACTTAACCTGAGGTACCACTGTATCTGAATTTGTAATGCAGTTCTGCAACCAATCAATGTTTACAAAAATGCGTATATAATGCAATATATTAGGCAAAATTGCTTGCAAAAAAGTGTGCTTTAGTTGTTGTTTTTTAAAAAAACCCATACAAAATGTGTCCATTTTGCAAAAAACACACACACACACAAAATGCTGATGAATTTTCATGAGGATTTTTTTAAAAAAGAAAACTTTCAAATTGCTGCAGAAATGTAGAGAACTGAATTTAGCATTCAAAAAATGAGAAACTGAGAGACCCAAATTGACAGATTCTTCCATCTCTACCAATGAGATTTGTTGTGATTGATTGATTGATTGATTGATAAATAATGTTTGCCTGATGACATGTATAGATGCTTGATGGCTAAGGACTTGTGCAAACATACAACAGACATGCGCCTTCGACAAAAAGGTGATTTATCATGAGCTCCGGCCCCTAATTCTCCTGTGTGCTGTCCATTACCCCATCAGGTTCTGGCCCTTTGCTTGTTTGGGCTCTTTCCTCTAGGTTCCATTCAGGTACCAGAATGTTTACTTTCATGAATTTGCAACCACAATGAATATTGATTATTTGGAAATTTGAATCATCCTGGGTGCAAATGCGCTTATGCTCTTTGTTCTAGGAAGAATTTTACCATATATTGATGATATGAAGCATGCATTGCCACATCTGATTGGGTGTCAGCATCAAGTGCTCCAACACCCCTCCCCCCATGTTAAATGTGTGGTACTTACTGTAACAACTTTACAGAGAGTACTGGCATCCTTTCTCTCTCTCTAAAAAAAGCACTGGTCAACATGATCCGAAATCACACCATACATTTAAATCACTATGATACCACTTTAAACAGTCATGGCTTCCCCTAAAGAATTCTGGGAGCTGTAGTTTGTTAAGAGTGTTGAGAGTTGTTAGGAGACCCCACATTCCCCTCAGAGAGTTACAATTCCAAGGATGGTTTAACAGCCAATCCCTCTTCCCAGAAAACTCAGAGTGGGGAACAGGTGTCCCCTAACAATTCTCAGCACCCTTAACAGACTATACTTTCCATGATGCCTTGTGGAAAGCCATGATTGTTTAAAATGGTATCATTGTTGTTAAGTTGTGGGCAAACATATCAGACGACACAGCAATTCTTCAAACAGCTCTTCTTTATTCAGATGCCAGAACAGAACTAAGCTGAGGGGCTCAGTTAGCCTGCTTATATAGAGCTCCAGAACAATTGTAACTGTTGCCATTTTCTAAAACTATCCAATCACTGAACGTCACTTTTCGATCCTTCATTTGCATAACTATCTACAGTATCCCCCTGCTGGCCCAGGGTGAGAACATCAGTACGTAACAATTGTGCTGTAAATTTATGGTGTGAATTGGGTCATAATCACATGGGCAAAAATTCTCAACTTCACCTTACTGTGTTTCAGTCATTTGTGCAGATGCAAGTTGTATGCGCATAAAATGATGGCAGCTCCCTGCCCCGTGTCCACTTTGATCCCTTCGTGTTTGGGGCAAATCATTTTCTTTTTGTTTGTATTTTGGACATTTGCATAACTCTGCAAATTCATTTGCTGAGCCAATGTGAATGATGCCAGATCTTGAGGAGTAAAACAATAACAATAACCATGTCCACATAGTCTATATGGACAGCCCATTTTCCCTCACACTAATGTTTACAGGCATCAATATGTACTTTTGGGGGGGAAAGATATTTGAAAGAAGCAAATAAATATTATTTGCACTGTATATAGCACAAACACTTCCCAGAACAAAAACACAGTAACAAGTTATACAGACATAGCCCTGGCCACTGTAAATCTGTCTCTTCTTCTGGTGTTAACTTGGTTCCAATTGGGGGATGGGTAGTGCAATTTAGACAAGGCAGATGATCAGTAACAAGAGAGAGCATGTTATGTTCCAGACAGTTATTGGCCCATGTTAATCTATACTAAACCCTTTTTAAACAAGTTGCAATCAGAATGATATTGCTCTGTTTTAATTCATTTTGTAGATCTCTAAATACAATGTCAAGCCTCACATTTTCTTCAAACTAATAATAAATAAGGGAAAACTATATAGGATGAAATCCTTGTTGCCGTGACATTCATAGGTGTATTGCCACTGATTTTACGGAAATCAATATACTAGCACTAACTGAAGGATCTGTGTGTCTAGCTGTGTTTAAATCAATACCAAATATTAAGCTGATTATTAGAACCATTTTCCCCCCTTCGTTTTGAGAAATATTCAAATGGGTTATAATTTTAGCCCTTTGCTAGCAATTCCTGCAGTTTAATGCTAAATCCTTGTAGCTTTAGCCTTTACTCTACCCAGTCAGGCAGCAAAATAGGGAAATCCCAGCAATTTAAACTTCTGATGATCCCTGAGATTTGAGGATTTTGTTCCCCACTCAAGCTAGATGTTGATAATGCTTTGGATTCAGCTCTGCCAATCACATCCTTTATATCTAGGGAGTACGACAAAAACAGCACATTAAAATTTACTTTCCTAGGAGGAAACGAGAGTGAAAGAAAGAAGGATCAATTTGCCAGTTTTGCCTTGCTGAGTATATAGGTCAAGTAGTTAAAACTTTCCTATTTACAGAGCTGTTTGTTATGCTGGGTAATCAAATAAGACCCTGCTATGTACTAAGTCCAAGGGACGCACGGGGCACATAGCCTGACCTATACTTGAAGAATGGTATGTACTTTGGGATGCTACTGAAAAGCTAGAAGGTTTCAAAGAATTGAAAAAAGAGTTTTCAGATTCTTAGGAAATGAACATGGAAGCAGGGCATGCAGCTGCCGTTCATGGCATCTGGCACCTCTAGGGTTACTGAGACACACACCACTCCTTTGACCTTTGGCAAAACAAGTATTACTGCTACTGACAAAGAGGAATCTATGCTTGTGCTGTTATTGGTTATTTGCATTTGAGCTTTCTCATATCAAGGCCAAACATATTGACAGCATATTCCCAGCTCATTGGAGCCGAAAGGGCAGTTGTTGCTTGCTTTTACAGAATCATAAGCTAAATTAGTTATCATTTTCTCTTTGGGCTGTTGGCATGGATATTTTAAAACTTCCTGTGGGGAAGAAACTGTTAGATCAGATGCTTGCATGTGAGTAGCCCAGCCAATCAGCCTGCATAAATTGCAGGTGGATATGGGGATGATGAGAGGCTACAAGCTTTCAGCCTCTTCCTGACAGCTTATAAAGGGAAGGTGGTAGAGTACAGAGAAAGAAAATGGAGTTGGGGGAGAAATTTAGCCAGGCTTCAGATTTGCACTAAAATGCAGTTGAATTTTCATGAGGATTTCTTTTTAAAATTGATGTACAAATTTTAAGAATTGACCTTAAGACTGGAAAAAGTAAGAAACCAAAACTGACAGATTCCTTCATCCATTGCTGGCAGTGGTAGATGTGTTGTCTACCTCTTTTCCCCTGATGAACATGGCTTCTCTGGTCCAATGGGAAGGAGGTAAGAGAATGCATGCAGCCTGTGCTTCTGAAGGAAGCTCTGAGAGTTGTGGACTCTGGAAACTGTGACCACTTCCGTTAGAAATCTTGCAGCCCTTTCCTTAAAAAATAGAATAAAAATCTAACACACATATCAGTAGAAACAACACTTACTAATTTGAGGCACAAATCTACTTGAGAAGACGGTTTCATTACCATACTAGTAGGCCTTCTGGTATTATTCGTTTATTTTTAAACTGTACGGTATACCACCCTTTACCATTGTTTCCAGGGCAGCGTGCAACAACAAATAAAATAGCATGAAAGAATTGTAGCTGCAGGAGGTAGGCTTCAAAAGGCTGCAACCGTATGTAAATTTACCTAGGAGTAAGCCCCACTGAACTCACTGGATTTGCTTGTGAGTAGGCATGCATGGTAAAATACTTTAAAATATCTAGAATTTAGTCTCCATCTGGTACCTAAATGATAATGATGTGGGTTGGTTGCTGAGGTGAGCATCCTTAGGGAGGAAGTAATACAGGTGGGATATTACAGCCCCTAAAGCCCTTTCACTGGTCACTTCACCTCCAGTAATGGGAGCACCTGAAGGAGGGTTTCAACGCCGTTGAAGCAACGGACAACTGCAGACATGCATCTAAAGGCACTGTTTTCCCCACAACTTTGGGAGTGAATTACTCACATCATGCAATGTTCCATGCTAAGCAACAAGTATAAGATAACAAACCACCCCAAAGTGGCCCCACAAATCCTTTGACAACCATTGCAGGTTTGGAAAATCATACAGAAAGCTGAAAGGGATTGTAGGCTTATTTTTAGTCACATCAAGTCTTTATCTTTAAACAAAAACAAAAACCTTGTGTTTATGTGAGAGCACTGATGAAAAGTGTGGGAGAGCGCAAACACACACACACACAGTTCTTGGCTAAATAATGAAAAATACACTGCTAAATAATGAAAAATATGCTCACTGGGACATAATGGAACATAAAAAGAAATGCTGAGTGTCAAAGATCAAGCTTCTACTGCAGGTCATCAAAAGTTCAACAGAGTGGATCATATTTCACGTTCCTTGCAGCTGTTCAGAGCTAGTTGCAATCAATTGGAATATAGTCTGTTTTTATTCTGGGATTATCCCATAAAAAATTGCAATCTTTAGTCACTTAATCCACCAGAGAGAAATGTTGATTTATAGTGGAATGAAATCTTCAATCCTTTGCACATGGGGTGTTTTAGAGTTAAAACAACAATTGAGGTTGAACTGCTGTGCAATGTTCCTTCCAGCACTCAGAGCTGTTCCTTCCAGCTTCAGTCCATTCACAGTTTGCAGTGCTGACCTATTGCAGATTTATGATTGGAAGACAACAATGAAACTTAATGTGTTGCACACCTCCCAGATCACCTGGTTTCCGCATTGCTACTGAAGCAGATGGGCTAGTTCTTGGCTCCCCAAGTGTATGGTTTGGTGGCAGGTTAAAGACCACTGTGGACTGGGAGCAGGACAAGACTGACCAGGCATTTGAGAGATTGAGTCCCTTTTCATGAGTAAACTGTTCATATTATATAGTGCAGAATAAATCCTCCTTGGTGAATAACATTTTTCAACTCACAGCTTAACACAGTTTAAATTAGCAAGGGGCAGCTTGTTGTCTGGACAGACTAGGTTACCAACTTAATTTGAGCACATGCACACATATCTGGTTACTGGGGATTTATCTGGCTAAGTTTTACTTAAGAGCAGACCCATTAAATTAATGAGCATGACCAAGGTCCATTAATTTCAATTAGTATATCCTGAGTAAAACTTAGTTGAATACAACCCTGTAATCTTTAATCATATTTGGATAATAGCTATGTTAGGGTTTCAAATGGATGTCTCTGTGACCGGAGGTCTATTCAAACAACAATATTCATGTGGTGAGGGAAAGCCCTTTCTGTCATGCTAGCTCACCAAATCTCCATAACTGAATTTGTTGTTGTTTAGTCGTTTAGTCATGTCCTACTCTTCATGACCCCATGGACCAGAGCACGCCAGGCACTCCTGTCTTCCACTGCCTCCTGCAGTTTGGTCAGACTCAGCAAAACTGAATAGCAATGCCTATGGCATTGAACACAATTCTTACGTTAGGCCTATAGGGAAGCAAGTGGTCCCTAAGGTCACCTGGTCCTAATGCAACTATAGCATTAAAGGCCAGAACCAGCATTTAGAACAGAGACCGGAAGCCAAAGGAGCTGACATAAAGATAGGTGTTATATGCCTTAAGCTGCAATTGCTGTATTTTGCATTAGTGGAAGCTTCCCGCCTGGCTTCTAAGGCTTCCCAATGTCTAGCAATAACTAAATCATTAATGACTGAGACCAAGTCCGTCTTCATCAAGAAATGCCAATCCTGATAAAAGGCACTCCTAACAACTGCAATCACCTGAGCATCCAGGGGGAGTGATGAATCAAGGAGTACTCCCAAGCCATATACCTGCTACTTCCAAAGGGGAGTTCAACCCCAATCTAGAACATGTTGACTCGCCTTATTTAGATCGCATCTATGCTTGACTAGTAGTACTTGCATCTGGATTCAGTTTGTTTGTTAATCCCCACCTGAACTATAGGAGTTAATGCAATTTAATTTCACAGGGTCATATAGTTTCTGTCAGAATATTCTTCAGATCTTGTTAAAATCCTATGGCTTCTGATGGAGGAAAATTCTACTTTTGAAGCTTACTTACTTGGAAGTAAGAGAGTGCTGAGTTGTGAATCTGATACCAGTGTCCCCCAGCTGATGTCACTATTTTCCTCACAGAGTCATTGCATAACAGTAGAGTGATTGAGGCTATCTAATGATCAAATTCTCCATGCCATTTCTTTTTAGCAAGGGAAGAATATGATTAGATGCCTCCAGGTCTTATCCCTTACTTTTATATTAGCTGCTAACAGTGATGTCCCCATAGTATGCAGAAAAGTAAAATATGCTGAACATCTAATCAGTGCATTTCTGACTGGTACACACACACACACACACACACACACACACACACACACTACTTGATACAGGGAACATTATAACTTTCTGAAAAGGATGACACATGTCACAGTTATTAGAAACTTTATTATGACCAGTTTTGACTACATTAAATGCTATCCTGCCAACTGAGCTGGAATTCTAGGGCTATGTTTGCACGCCACGTTAAACCATAGTTAAACTTGTCATGGGCACCACAAAATACCCATTAAACAGAGGGAAAAATAGCAGTGCTCAGACCTTTCCTCTCAAAAAATCCAGGCAAAACATTATCCCCAACCTCACTCCACAGACAAAAAGAGCCTGCAGACACACCCATACCAAAGTGGAGGGGGGCAATAAAACCTTTATTTTTTAAACAGAAATATTGATTGGGGCAGTGAGCCTTCGGGATGTATCTGAGGGTGAAATGATACCCAAGAACATCAAGTTGGAGACTCCAGGTTTAATGTGGCCTGAAGATGAACTTAAATCCAGCCAGACTGATCACAGACATAGTCTGATGTATACAGTTCAACAGGACACTACTGGCCACCTTTTCTACAGTGGCTGTGAAACCCTTTGTAGAGGTGATTCTGTCTTACTATTGTTCACCAGAGTTAGGGTATGCCTCTGGGGAAGGGGGCAAACAGTGTACTGTATTGTGACCACCCCCCTTGGTTGCAAGACATTTTGTTTTTAACATCGGAATGTATGAACAGCTACATTACTACAAGTAGACATCTCTGCAATACCATAAAAGATTATTTGTTCTCACTTTTGCAATGAACTAAGTGTCTAAAAAGCAACCGAGATTACACAGCCTTACTTGCAAAAAAGGAGAGAGACATTTGATGATTGCTGAAAGACAGTTATAATTCTGAAGTCGGAATAGCTTTAGGAACAAAACACCTCAGCACTTTTTCTGCAAAGGTCACTTAAATCCATGGGGAAATTAATGCTGTATTATGTTCCAAGGATGCTATGAAGTGATTTTGTCATCTACTCTTCTTTTTTTTTAAGTGAAAAAATCTAAATTGTCTTCCAGAAGCAAGTTCTCTGGAGACAAGGCTGATGCTAATTTTAGTCACTGTGTAAACTAATGTTCTGTCGTTCAGTTATTTAAGTTCCAACATAAATTTACCTCCCAGTTGCTCCTTTCTACTGAGCTTTTATCCTAAGGGGCTTACATTTACAGATAAAAAATGAAAGTTTGTAACTGGAAATACACATTTAAAAAATCCTCATTATTTGATCCTTGTACTATAAATCAGGAAATATCCATCTCCCTTGGGCCCATTAGAGGCTTATTTAATATTCAATGCATGTGTGGCAAATGGCTTATCCCTAGTCGGTGACTCCCAAGATGGCTTCTATCTGAAGCCACCATGAGGCCAGGCACTAAGCCTAGTTCAGGAATTGCTGTGCTGACAATCAGCTAGGATGAAGATAGCATAGCCTGGTGATTAGCTGTTCTTTGTGTGGAATGCAGCTCCTGAGACAATAAAAGCAACCCTGGGTTGTGTGACCGGAGCAATTGAGACAGCGGGTGTACTGGAGATGGGGCAGTTTCTAGGGCCTGTCTGGCTCCCCTAAAACAATGTGGAGAGCAAGAGGAGAAAGCCTTGGGAGAGTTTCTGTGAGAATTTCCACAATGGCAGAGTTACACTATGCTCAAGGCCTGTGTGCCCTTTAACTGCCAAGATTTATATAAGCAAGTGTTAATGTATACACAATCCACAAGAATAATGAGCTGGTTATTTTCCTGTCCAGGTGTTCAGGAATACAGCCTACTGAGCTAGAATAGTAAATATAGATAAGAACAATGGGTTTTAAATAGAGGGCACACTGTTCCTTGCTATCAGCCCATGCAAATATTGCAGATATGTGTGTGTGCGTGTGCGCATCCATGCACACTCACCTAGCTTGCACATGCTCATTATTTTGAGGCCTCCTTTACTCAGAAGGGTAGTCCACACCAGAAGCTTCCATGTGTTAGTATGAAAACAAACATATAGGATACTTTTTAACAATCAAATAGGAAAATGGGAAACATACCGTATTTTTTGCACCATAACACTCACTTTTTCCTCCTAGAAAGTAAGGGGAAATGTCTGTGCGTGTTATGGAGGGAATGCCTGCGGGTGGCGGGGGGATCTGCTGCAGTCGTGAGCAGAGGATCCATGGTTCCCCTTCCTTCCCTCCTCCGTGGTTACAAAGCATGGATCCACATGGATCCTCAGGATTTTTGCATTGGGCTACTCCAAACTCACTGTCAGATCACATGTCTGTGGCCACAGCATAAACCACAAAAATCATATATCCACTATTTCGTTTAGAATATTTTTTTTCTTGTTTTCCTCCACTAAAAACTACGTGCGTGTTATGGTCTGGTGCGTGTTATAGAGTGAAAAATACGGTATATAAAAGCACCTTATATGGGCTACATACTTTACATTAATTAAACTCAAATCCTTGACCACAGACTCATCATCTAAAAGCCAGCTTCAGTGTAAAGGAAAGCAAAACAATTTTTAAAAACCCTGTGAAAAATCAGAATTTTATATCTTTAAAATCAGGCTTCAATCCTAAAAGCACTTACTGGAGATTTGGTCCCATTGAGCTGAATGTAATTTACTCTGAATAAACATGTTTAAGATTACTTTGCCAGGCTGTGATCCTACACACACCTACCTGGGTGTAAGCACCAGTGACGCTTACTTGTGGGTAAACATTTATAGGATTACACGGCCTGTTATTTCTTGCAAACAGTTTTGAAAGTTGGTTGAAAAACTGCAGAATCCTTTGTCCTTTGTCCTCTGCCAGCACAATCCCACAGAATGCATGCAGAACTGTTATTTAAAAATTCTGTAGTCCTAGGAAATACCACAACACAGTTATTACTACTGTACTACTTCTGGCATTTTCATATTGACATGACTACTTGTCTTGTAGAAGACCTATAAGCAATCTAGCCACCCTGACTGTCCACTGGAGGTCACTGGTTCTTTGCAGTGACAGTACTGTTTTGGGGACTGAATAGATTGGTTGTAGAATAGAATTGTGGACAATTGGGGCTGTTTCTGTGGGTCCCTTTAACACGTATCTATGTAAACCTGTGAGCACTTTGAAGATGGTGCCCAGCGTTGTGGTGGCTGCTGTTGTATAGTGTGGTCCCACACTGCAGGGGATGTATGTGTGAATAACATGAAATTGTGGGTGGGGGCAATCTTTCAGCACTTGCCAGGAGGGATCAAACTACGCACAAGCACACACGTGAATAGGGTATGTGAATAGGACACTTGTTATAGGAGTATGAAAAAAGTAGTATTCAGTGTTCTGAACCTTGGGAAGTTAAGCATCTGAAGGACGCTGTAGATATGAGAAGGAGCCTTTTTCTAGTGGGTGTTTTACAGGCAAGATGAGCCACTAACCTTTATGGACATCTGCATTCTATTTTCGTTTGCTTATGTGTGTCATTTGATAGCCATCTTGGCTGCTCATTAACTTCAGCTGCTCTGTAGAACATGACTGAGGAAGTTCCTCCCTGAGGTCTCAGTAAGGGAAAGTTGAATGGTGGTGTTGGAACTGCAGCCTCAATACTGAGGTGTTACAAATTCCATATGTGCCGAGTGAAGTTGAAATAAGATAGAGTGGACATTTGTACGCTCACTTTCCATATCAAGATGATCCAGCGGTATTAAACTCTTTTTGTTAATCTGCCCCTTTCAAATTTCATTGCAGTCAACATAGCAGTGCACTTAGGAAACTGATTTCAATATAGTCTGGATATACGAAAAAAATTCTACTAGATTATAATTTGTGGGAGGAGAAAAAGTACTGAAATTTAGCCGTGAATCAACTATGGAAGCGCTATGCACATTTTAGGCAGACATACAGTCTTCTCCACTAAATCAAGCATGTGGGAAGCTTATTATGAGCACGCATCAATGCAGTAAAATCTCAGTGACCCCTCTTTTTATAAGTACATCTTTGAGTGCTTGTACAGAGTAAGTAGAACTACATCAAGGCTCAGGCCAATATGATGCAGTAGTGCAATCCTTAGCGGAGAACTGTTGTATTAAAGCTGCTTTATGCAAACTAACTTAGCGACCCGAAAGGAGGATGCAATCACAAGACATTGTTGCTTTCACAAATGTGGTTTTGGATTAGAGCTGCCAGACACAAGATGCTTTGTGCTCAGCAAAGATGGCAGAGGCATTGTGCTTGAAAGGCATCTCCTCAAAGTAATTGAAAATTACATGCAGAACGATTATAGGTTGGATGTGTACCAAAGGGTAGGCACCAACAGAAGAAAGCTTTGCATTGATTAGATTCTCTTTAACTTAAGTTGGTTAGAAATACGATATTCTTTTCTTCTGCCTGCCGTTTAAAGCACTTGGCAATATTTCCTTGCAACCCAAGGTTCTTCACCAAGAAGACACTTACTACTTGATTGTCAGAAAAATGGTTGCTGGGGAAAGCATGTGTGTACTCACATGTTGATTTTATTGAGACCTTGTATACAGTGGTACTTCGATTACAAACACCTCAGGTAACAAACACTTCGGGTTACAGACTCTGCTAACCTGGAAGTAGTACCTTGGGTTAAGAACTTTACCTCAGGATGAGAACAGAAATCGTGCGCCAGCGGTGCGGCGGCAGCAGGAGGCCCCATTAGCTAAAGTGGTACCTCAGGTTAAAAGCAGTTTCAGGTTAAGAACAGACCTCCGGAACGAATTAAGTTTGTAACCCGAGGTACTACTGTATTTTCAGTAGAAGACTCTTCCTTGTGGCAACTATTTTCTGAAAGCAGCAGCTTGAAACCGTCACACTGGGTTTGCTAAAATATCTCCTAGGTCCTAGGGCAACTCTTGGGGAACTTTTGCTAGGTTGAAAATAAATGCATGAATTTCACTTCCATAACGTGTTTACATATGCATGAAGTGTGTGATCATATCTGCAATTTTGTTGCCCCTCCAACCTGCCACCAGCGACACGTACCCCCTTTTGTGTGTCTTCCCCCCTCCACCTCCGGCACTTCTAGAATATATCCTTTAACTGTGATCATGCTTGCCTGGATGGAGAGATGTGTGTGTATGCCAAGGCGGGAGTCAGGTACAGGCCAGCAATAACTGACGAGGTGTCAATGAAGTTAACTCTTTATTCAAAGAAACAAAACAGCTCAGGCCTCATGAGCACAGCAACTATTTCCTAGTACAGTAGTACCTCAGGTTAAGAACTTAATTCATTCTGGAGGTCTGTTCTTAACCTGAGATTGTTCTTAACCTGAGGTGCCACTTTAGCTAATGGAGCCTCCTGCTGCCACTGCGCAATTTCTGTTCTCATCCTGAAGCAAAGTTCTTAACCCGAGGTACTATTTCTGGGTTAGCAGAGTCTGTAACCTGAAGCGTCTGTAACCCGAGGTACCACTGTACAGTCGTACCTTGGAAGTCGAACGGAATCCACTCTGGAAGTCTTCTGCAGGAAGCCTCTGCAGCCCGTCGGAAGCTACGGAAGTCGTGTTGGGATGTTCAGCTTCCAAAAGAATGTTTGAAAGCCGGAACACTCACTTACGGGTTTTGATTGTTTAGGAGTTGATTTGTTTGGGAGCCAAGGCATTTGAGATCCAAGGTACGACTGTATGTCTCTCCCCACTAAGGCAGTTGTGAGGACTGAAGGCCCCCACCTTCCCATAGCTCTCTAAGTCTCCTCCTCCCCCAGGTTCTTCCCAAGCACCTGAGACTTCTTTGCCTTGTCTGCCTTTGCTCCGCCCTCTTCATACCTCTTCATACCTTTCTGGGAAATCAGGAGGAAGGAGCTGGTCACCACAGGAGGAGAGACTTCTTCAGCAGCCTGCCTCATCTCTGCCTCTTGCCCCCTCCCTCCAGCCTCCATTTCTACCTCTGATTCTGGACTGCCTTCTGCCATAGCCCCTTCCTACTCACTAAGCCCTGTTTCCTTTTCATCTTCCAACACCTGCTCCTCCTAGTCTGTTCCCTCTTCTCCTACTGACAACTCATCTTCGTCCCACCACCAATCCCATGGCTCTGGCCTTCTTCTCTTGGGGATTCTCCAGCTGGTGCCTTCCACCACTCCTCTGCATCCAGCCAGTCCATGACAGTGTGTAGAAACCTCTGACTTTTGCATGGCCCACTGTGAATGAGCAACAGGCTGATGAACACTTTCAGTTGTTCCTGCTTTGCTCCACACTCACTGTAACTGAGGGAAACAAACCATGAGACCTGTTTTAGCGTTATGTGCAAAACAGCACTCATGGTTTGTTTCTCCCAAACAAACAAGCACCAAGGCAAGAACAAACCATGGCTTGCTGCTTGTGGGTTGGAGAGAAACAAACCATGAATACTGGTTCACACATAATGCTAAGCCAAGGCTTGTGGTTTCCCCCACCTGTAGCTGCAGTGACAGTGAGGACTCACACAGTCTTTCTTTTGCTCTGCATTTCTAGACACAGGTCTGGGCTTTAAAACTCTGTGTCTGAGAGTGTGTGTGTGTGTGTGTGTGTGTGTGTGTGTGTGTGTTTGTCCCAGCACTTTCCCTGGGAAAACCCACTTTTATCTGCTGAATCAGAGCAAACAGAAACAGGGTTTTCAGTGAATTGCCTTTTGCTCCAATTCAGTGGTAAGACACTGGTGTCCCTGAGGAAAGCTCCAGGACAAAAGAAAAACCTGCTTGGACCTGTGCCTGCAAAACGTGGTGCAAAAGGAAGTCAGGATGAGCCCTGACTGAGCAGGGCGTGCCAGCATGCTGCTTCTTCACAGTAAGCTGTGGTTTATGTCATATTTTGGCTTACTGTGACATGCATACCAGTCCACTGATTTCCCAGCCTGACAGCAGTCATGTCCTAGCAAATCATGACAACTGTGCCTCTCCAGTAAAACAAACAAACAAACAAACAAACAAACAAACAAACAAACAAACAAACACATTTTTATTCTATTCCAGTTAAAGCTAGTTGTGTGACTAGGGAAGTTGCTGAAGTTTGTGATTACTTGGCTTGGAATTTGAATTTGTCCAGCTTGTTAATGCTCAGCTCTGTTATAAATCAAGTGTAATTTCACCCAGACTTTCTTCCCTGGCTCGGAATGCAAAATGAGATTCTGCACGTGTGAGATCAGCATTCAGGCTGCTTTTGCTTGTGCAAATGTTCTTTCGGTTAGCCCCATTTGTTGTTGTTGTTTAGTACTAGAGGCTATGGAGATGGAACTCAGTCCCAGTTCTGTCTACTCCAATGGAAAGTAGCTCTCCAGAGGTCTTTCACAGAATCTGCTACCTGATCTGTATACAGAGGTCACACTGTATGTCATGTCCAGTTGTGGTCTTTCTGGTGCTATGCAGGAAAGGAAAATGAAACTCAAAATCTTTGGGGTGGGGTGGGGGCTCTTTTTAAGCTAATGTAAGGGTGCCCTGTTTAAAATCAAACCATTTATGTAAGCAGACCAGCCTTGATATAGATGAACCATATGGTTACCTTTTCCTCATTCTGATTTTATTTAATTTTGTTTTACATTTATTTTCCCATGTGTTGCAGAAGGGCTGAAGCTTTATGGTTGCCTCTGGGATCACTAATAGAGAACATTTCTCTCTCTCTCAGCTCCCACGTTCATGAAAATCAACAGGAGGAGCCACAGTGATGTGTATACCAATGTTTCATGGCTCCAAATTCAAAACATCTCACTCAGAAGTAAGTCCCACTGTTTTCAGTAGGGCTTATTCCCAGGAGTGTAGGTATCAGCTCGTTCTGTTAATCTCTTTGGGTTACAGTCCTTAAGAGAAGACAATGCGAGCATGTCATAGAGCAAGTCTAATCACTTTTTAAAGCTATATCAAGCACTGAATACTTTAACCTTCATCTCCCATCCCCATCCTTTTCTTTGAAAATGTCTGTTTTGGGGTCGGGTGGGGGAAATGTTTGCTTTTAAATAGTATTGTTTGCAGCAACTACAATATAAAAGTTTTGGCAGCTGTTTTTAACTGTGGGGTTTTGCAGGAGGAGAGAAGTGCACACAGCATTGTATTTATAGGCTTCTGTAGGATTAAATACAATGTGTGGGTGTGTGCAAACAATATGATTGCTGTAGTTTTGTGCTTGATTTTTTTTTCTTTTTTAACGTTCCTTATGTAACAAAAACAACTCAAGAATTAAGTCCGTATGAACACTAGACTCATTAAAAAAAATAAATCTATTTGAGCTTCCATAAAATTATTCATGGTTATACCCTCTATACTGTATTGTGTATATTGGAGAGATTGAGATGGGGGAAGGTGGCGTTCACACAAGCCACTATAGGCACATCTTTTTTATTAGAATCTGTTTGCACAGGTGCTGGGTAATTATTTTGTGTGTGTATGTTTTGTACTGTGAGGCTGAATTGTCCTGAGAGTTGCTGTGGCATAGTGAATACAGTGTTGGATTTCAACCAGAGAGGCTTGTGCTCCAGGCCCAGGAATGCAGGCTATTGGGAGCAAAAAAAGCAGAACAAAACCCACACAAAGAGACTGGGAGTGGGTGAAATCAGGGCCACAACTTACAATCATAAGTGGCATTAGTATTGGGCAAGGATCCTGGCTGGATACTTGGAGGGTGTTGCTGGTCAGCAGAGACCTGCCCCAGTTCAGCCCAATCTGGTGGGGACTCTCGCCAGAACTTGGGAACCTTGGGCAAATATCACTCAGCTTCACAGCATTGTCACGATAATAAAATGGGGGAAACTCATCTCTGCCACCCTGAGCTCCTTTGAGGATGGCAGGATATAAATAAGAAATATTTATTTAGCAGGAATGGCATTAGATGAAGGAACACCATAACAGACTAATGCCTAAAGGGACTTTTCCCATAGTGGTATCCCAGCTATAGAACTCCCACCTCTCTGAGTGCAGTGCAGACTCCCTCCATGTCTAGTGCAGACTTTGTTCGCATTTAAAAGGTAAAGGTAAAGGGACCCCTGACCATTTGGTTCAGTCGTTGCCGACTCTGGGGTTGCGGCGCTCATCTCGCTTTATCAGTCAAGGGAGCCGGCGTACAGCTTCCGGGTCATGTGGCCAGCATGACTAAGCCCCTTCTGGTGAACCAGAGCAGCGCACGGAAGCGCCGTTTACCTTCCCGCTGGAGTGGTACCTATTTATCTACTTGCACTTGATGTGCTTTCGAACTGCTAGGTTGGCAGGTTGTTATCATTTAGGCACACGCTAAAAACATGGTTATTTGGTAAGGCTTTGGGAAGTAACTGAATGTTTCAGCTGGAACGGGATGTTTGGAGTTTAATTATGTGCCTTATCTGTGTGTTTTATCTGCTTTTCTGTTTTAATGTTGTATTTTAACAAGTGTTTTACTGGATTCTTCACCTAAGAGATGGACTATACTTTTAATAATAAAGCAAGTGGTGTGGAATCTGCACTGATTCCCATCTGCAGTGATCTGACTGACAGAAGCAAATACAGGTGGATGACGCTTGCAGTGGATCTGATCCTTGGGTTTCTGCCAAGAGGACACATGCACCTTATCTCCTTCTGCCTCAGCCTATCTGGATCATTTCATAGCCAGCCTGAATGTCACATAGTTCTAAGATTATACCCTTCTAGCTGACCTGGAAACAAACAGGCCAGACAGAACTGATAGAGAATTAACTGCATAGCACAGCCAGTTTGGAAAGAATGCATTGTTCTGTCACAGTCAGGAGTCCTAGCTGGGAGACAGGGCTCCAGCCAGCTGGGAGCTTGTACTAGGGACAGAGACTAGGGAATACCAGATCACGTATCACTAGCACTAGCTCAGTCAAGCATAGGTCATGTTCCAGCAGGGCAAGGTCAAACACAGCAGAGCATAAGTCCATATAAGCAAGGTCTGACAAATCAGAGGTCAAAGTCCAAAAGGTAAAGAAGCAAGCTATGTAGCGCCTGGATAGCTCCAAATTGTACCTAGGCTGTTCATCAGACAAGGCAGGCTTAAATATTGCTCCAACAACCACTGCGGGTGGCGCTGTGGGTTAAACCACAGAGCCTAGGGCTTGCCGATCAGAAGGTTGGAGGTTCGAATCCCTGCGACGGGGTGAGCTCTCATTGCTCAGTCCCTGCTCCTGCCAACCTAGCAGTTCGAAAGCATGAAGTGCAAGTAGATAAATAGGTACCGCTCCAGCGGGAAGGTAAACAGTGATTCCATGCACTGCTCTGGTTTGCCAGAAGCGGCTTAGTCATGATGGCCATGACCCAGAAGCTGTATGTCGGCTCCCCTGGCCAATAAAGCGAGATGAGCCCCACAACCCCAGAGTCGTCTGCAACTGGACCTAATGGTCAGGGGTCCCTTTACCTTTACCTATTGCAGCTTGTAAAACAGTGATTTAATTGCCCCCCAAACCTCAGGCTTTTATATACATTATTTACACAATGAGTCCTGTCTGATTGGCTGGTTCTGTTTCCCTCCTGGAGCCTGATTGGTCTTTTCCTGCAGGCCAATCAGTTGCTGCATTCTACGATCCTACCAGCCTAATAGGTTGATTGACTTCCTCCTGGAGCCTGATTGGTCTTCTCCCGCAAGCCAATCAGTTGTTGCATTCTAGGATCCTACTTGCCTATTGTTCTAGGATCCAAGCTTAGTACATAACACTCCCTAAGTGCAGTCACTAATTAGGATCATGCCAAGTGTTCATAACTGGCTTGTCATTGAAAGCCCTATAAAACCTACTATTCTCTGTTAGGGATGTCGGAGAAATCTGCTGTAAGCAGACGGATACAGAAATTCCCTTGTTTTGCTAATACACTTGCTTGTCAGGATAGAATTTCTTCTTGCGAATGCAAGCAGCGTTGTTGTCAAGGGTTTTGTCCCCACACCCTGAAGTCCACAGGTTATACTTAATGATGTATTGTACTCTTCTTTGGAATGCCTAAAAAAGAAATCCCATGATACATCAAAACCCACACATTGTTCTGTGCACCTATATGATAGACCCAAAACAAACCCTTTTGCTGTGGGCTTTTTTCAGCCAAGGTATTGAACTGTTTGTCCAGCTTTTCTGTTTTTAACATGAAAAAATGTTTTACTTTCCTCCACCAAAATAGAAATGGCCTCAGATGTGTGTGTGTGTGTGGAATGTGTTGGAAAATTTCTACACCAGCTCTTAATCCCATTAATGCTCTTGCTGATTTTATACTACTCATGTTTTTAAAGTTGGTTTTATCCTGGTTTTTTGGTTGATTGTAATTTACTTCTAAACAAAGTGTACTTCCCCACCCCACCTTGTATTGTAACCCCCTCCCCCTTGGATATTCTACAGGCAAGGATATACTTTAAAATAAGGAATGAGTAAATTGCAGGGTAGTGATAGCCTGCAATAGAATACCATGATTTCAAAAATGAACTTGCACTCTGGGTTTTGCCTAGCTGTGGGAACTTTATACATAATCATAAACACCTATAGTTCTGACAATACCATGGTGATGTTCCTTCAGTTATGCATTCTTCTAAAATTAATATATTTTTAATTGTGTACCTCTCTATATAGTGTAACTCTGCTTCGCTAGAGGCACCTTAGCTGCTGACCATATTCAGTAGTACAGGGATAACTGTCAGGAGAATCTCTGATGCCATTCATGTTGTGATATCACTCATCCATTACTAGTGCCTTCAACAACCCAGTATTTTCTGATAGTATCAAGAAGCTGCCTCCGGTGAAAAATATTGGCTTGTTGTACCAGAATGCCTTGTAAAAAACCATCAGCACTGCAGAAGGCAATTCACTCATTTGCAACAGAAAACTCCAGTTGTTACCCTGGCAACCAACCAATGAATTAGTCAGCATTATAATTATGAACACACCATTTTTTAGCAGTTTCAGTAGCACTTTAACAGGGTTTTTCTCTTACTATTATTTTTGTAAGATATAAAGTAGAAACAAAAAAGAGAAAGGGGATTACAGAATTTATACAATATTTAGTATACCCTAATATACTCATTTGTATGTTTTTTAATCCTGTTCCGGTATAGTCACAAAAGGTCTCCAGTTGTCCTTAAGTGAGAACTGTGTATTTTAAAAATAATTATCAAAGTCTGCCATACACAAGCCTAGGCAGTGTGTATAGAGGTCCTCCTGGCCGCCCAGATGACAAGATCCCTCTCTTGGCCTCCATGTTGTGGTCCAAAGGAAAGCAGAGCAAAACATTTTGGCACCAGCTTAGCTGCAAGAGTTGCTAGAAGGAGGTGTACAACCATATTAAAACTGCAGAATCTCCTTCAGTCTAGATGAGCTTCTAACCTTTCCTTATCAGCTAAATGCCAGATGCTGAGTCGAAACAGGTTCTCTTCCAGCACCTGTCTTTCAATTAAAATCTGTGGCTTTTAAGCCCAAGTAAAAGTAAAGCAGATAAAACAGATATTGCCTGTATGTTGCAACTAATATTGACAGCTGAGCCAACTGACTTTAAAACTATTCAAAATAAAAACAAATTAAAACAGATGAGGAACTCGAGGACAAGCAGCCTTACTCATTGCCATCTTCAACTGGAAGTCTTGTTATTGTGGCCTATGGGGCTCATGGTAATCATGGTCCAAAACATTTAGGGAGCACCCAGCTGGCGAAATTGCACAAAGTAGCATATGGTGCAAAACTAAGGCAGAATAGCCTATCCTTTCTAAATTGGTTTAAAATTCAAACATAAAAATGTTTCAATGGCCCTCCTGATGTGTATTGTTCAATCCCCAAACATGCAGTGAAAGTTACAGAATCTTTTTGCCAGCTTTTGTTTTGGCACACTAGCAGGGGGAAAATCCCAGCTGAATCTGCAAGGCCACCACTGTTGAACAAGTGACTACTGGCAGCATATTTTTAGATGAGCTATGGTTCTCTGTGTTTTTTTTTTCAAAGATCCCGGTTATTTGAAATGATTTAAGCTGTGGGATATGGTGCTGTCCTACCAATATTTATACTTTGTTCATATAAGTCTGAGCTACCAGATTTACTACTTGCAAAGCATATCCAAGTGTATTTTTGGTTTAACACATGGGGAGATGTTCTGCAACAAGACTGTCTGGCCATGCAGCAAGAACTAGTATGCAAGCTATATGGAGCTATGTAATGAAAACCATTAGGCTGGATGCCGTCCATGAGCCTAGTCCAGTTCTCTAGTGCATAATGAGACCAAGATGCAGGTCCAGTCATAAATCTGTCTGCTTCTTAACAGTGAAATATATTGTTTTTATAAAGTTTTTATGGCTGAATGTGCAGTTGTGTGAATCTTTCGCTTTGACTGCTTCTTTAATGAAAAGCAGCATTGGATGCTAAAACCAAGACCAGGAAGAGAAGGGAAGTTGCTCAACCCTTTTTTCACTTGTCTATTCCCCCCACAGCTCTTTTTCTTTCCACGTAGGAAAAGATATGAGAACCCTGTGTCTTTTCCCTTGTGGCTGGTAAAGCAGCACGAAGCAGCATGATTTTGAGTGAAGTGGCAAAAGCCCTTAAAAAGGGCAAAGAACAGGCAAATGAGGGATATTGCCCAGGAAGTGAGTGTTGCCAAGCGAGAGCCCCAAGGACCAGATAGAGGGGCCTGGAGGGCTGCCTCGTGCCCCTGACCCTGAGACTATTGTGATGTTTAGCAGCAATATTTCTAATAAATTAATCACATAAGTTTGTTGCAGAGCCCAGTTCAAAGTGCTAGTTGTCACGTTTAAAACCCTAAACAGCTTAGGGTTATCTGAAGGCCCACTTCCCGCCCTGTTATCTGCCCAGCCATTGAGGGTATCACTTGGATTTATGTCCCAGCATTGAGGTTAGGCTAGGTGTTCTGGACAAGGCCTTCTCAGCAGTGGCACCTCTGTTCACTCTTTGGACCTCCTTCCCTCAGGTGGTGCATTTGTCTCCCTCCCTTTTTTCCCCTTCAATGGATGATAAGCTTTTTACGATGACTGAGGCTTTCTCTTGTTTTCTCCCACATGTTTGCTATGTTTAATCTGTGAATGAGGCTATTGCTAGGTTGTTGTTTTTTAAATTTGTTTGGTTTTGATGTTAGTAGTGCTGTATTTTGTTATGCACTTTTAACTCCTTGTCTGCTTGCTGTGAGAAAAGTGCAAATTAATATTTGTACTTTTGGCTGAAAAGTACAAATAAATATTAACATAACATATAAAATTTCCTATGACATTTCAGATACATGTCGCTTGTAAGAGTTCATCATGTCAGTGCAGTCTAGAGCCAGTAATTTGTTAATTTGACACATTTCAGTTGTGCAGTGCAGTAATCAGTTTAAGCTTTGCCTTGCCAAATATAGCTCACTGAGTATTTTCAGATTATGACTTTACCCAGGGTGTTACTACAGGAAAAGACTCCTGCTATAAAGGTCTCCCTTGACTAAGTGAGCATCCTGTGAAAGATGTCACAATGTTCATAGTTTCAATGTATTATGTTGATATATCACTCATCCATAGGAATGGCAAAGTTGTTTCCAGAAGGTGAAATAATCTGATAAACAAAGGGAATTTGCAAAGGCAGCCACTGTGAAATATGGGTATAGCTGGAATAAATTAATCAACAAAGAGCTATTGGTATTTAGGTGTTGTGTTGATGAAGCTTCAGTCCTATATCCTTTTACCTACAGTAACTCCAGCTAAACACATTGGGGCTTACCTCCACATCAGCGAATACTTCATATATGAAGAAACTACTAACCTTGTTTTCTGAAGGCAGTACCCCCTTTGAATTTTTGCCTCCTTAAGGCCTTACTCTGCCTTTAAAAAAACACAACAGCCAGCAACCCTTCTGCTCTGGGCAAATGTACAAAACCAACATGATGAGCAGTTTATTTTGCTTGTAGACTCACTACTGAGCACTATAAAGAGCCATGAATATTTAAACACTGGCTGCCTAGTCATCTTCTGTTTGCATTCCACTGAACATTCTACTGATGTAGCACGCCAACAGGGATGTTTGCGGGAGCATAAAAGAGAATGTGAAAAATATATATTAAAGCAATGCGTTTGTTCTAAGAGTATTCACTCCCGCAGAAGAAAAAGACCAGCCTTTCTTTCAGCCTGCATGTGTTTTCAGCAACCAGGTTGGCAGTCAATGCCATGTCCAAGTTCCAAGTGAATTTTGAGCAATTGCATTTTCTCTCGGTTTCAGGTCACTGAAGTTTTCCCCCCAGCTCCCAAACCCATGCAAGGCAAATGAACCTGAGTCTCTGCCAGCTTTATTTTGGAGCATAAGTAACCTGGACATTTCGCCAGCTGTTGCTTATGCTTTCATGGGAATGTTTTATATAGTGCAGGTGATGTGTACAGATACACAATAGCTGTTCCTTCTATGAAATATGCAGCATTAGATATCAGAATCTTGATTTCAGCCAGGCATTTAGGGTATTTTCAGACATGAGTTTATTGTGGAATTGGTGATGTTCATGCATGCAAGAGTATTGGAGTCTACACAACATTGTCATCAAAATGCCAGCCTATGCTTTTTTAATGATTGTAGGGGAGGAAGCGCTGAGTGACATATTGTTTGCCAGTTAGCTCATGCTGTCTACCTTTCTGGTTTTTTGCCTTAGCAGCAGCTGGCAAAAGCTTCTACATGAAAGAGAACAGGTTAATGGTTTGGGAAAGTCAATAGGAAAGTTTCTTAAGGACATTCTTAAGGATATCAGAAGGATCAGCTGGCATTAAAAGCGCCACTGGATTTAAAATATTTATATCTCACTTTTCTAGTTATATTGTTTCATACAATAAAGTGTGGACACTTTCTGTGGTTGCTCCCTGGTCCTAGAATTGCCTCCCAAAGAAGTTAGTCTAGCCCCATCCCGGATAGTTTTTAGGTGGATAGTAAAAATTATGGTTTATTTTGTCTCGTTTTCAATGGTTTTAACTTCTCTGCTTTCTTTGCTTTTACCCTTTCTTTGCTCTTAATTTTTGCTTAAGTGCTTATAATTTATTAAATGGATGAATGGTTTTATTGTTTTAGCGTCACAAGTATTGCTTGGTTGGCCCTTGTTTAAGAATGAAGAGAGGCTTAGAACGCTCTGAGAAATATTTTTTTTTTTTAGTGTAGAAAACATCGCCAATCAGGAAAATAGCACCACGTGGCAACCTCAGAATCAGCAGTGGCATGTGAGGAGGGTGGATCGGCAGTGTCACCCTCTCAGTGGCAGTGCTGTGTTCACCAGGATGAAGATGGGTGAGATGGCATCAAGATTGGGGTGGTTTCAGGTTGGTGGCATCTCCATGGGTGTGGAGGTTCCCCAGATAAGTAATGTGTAAAAAAAAAAAAAGCATATACTAGGGTAAAATGTGCATAAAAATACATACATTAGTGAAAACAACATACAAAAATGCATTATATTAAGAAACATTGCTTTGCAAAAGTGTGTAGGTTAGGAAAAATTGCATACCTATGTGTATATTATGAGATTGGCATTTTGAAACGTTGCTAAATTTTCATGAAGACTTTTTTTAAGCAATGCGGAAAAGTGGAGAACTGAACTTAAGACTGGAAAAATGAAAAACTAAGAGAATCCAAAATGATCAAATTTTCCTATCCCTAAAAGTATGAAAGAATATCTGTGTTTGAACATATGAATGAATCTGAACCTTATAAATGAAACTCGAAATGTAGTCGAAAAGTTGAATAAAGGATTAGGGAATGAAGATGAAAAGCCTTTAGGACAACCATTTTTTAAATGCCCCAGCAATGGGTGAATGAGTGTTTTGAGGTTATTCAGTCAAAAGCTGTCTTTCATTTTAAAAAAAGCACTCTGTACCTATTACTTACCTGTGGCATTAGCTGATCAAAGAAGCTGTGCAAAGCCAATGTAAACATTCTGATTCCATATAGAAAGCACTTGTTATCAGGGATGTGTTGGGATTGGAGTTCATAGCACAGAGGATTATTTATCCAGTATGACGATAATTTTTCGTTGGCCCACACTGGATTTTCCAAAGCTGAGAAATGAAGGTCAGGAAGTAACTCTATCTGGAGTTATTTATAAACCAGGTGCTTGCCACTTATAATAGTGACATTTGACATGGGGAGTTGTGGTGGGGGCGGCACACCAGTGGTGTGTATTGATTACCAGCAGTTTAACAACCGCTTCCTTTCAGGACCTCACCAAAGGGCTAAAATGTGAGAAAGGGTGAATTGGGCTGCTGATACTCAGTGGCAACACTGATAAATGTAACTCATTGAAAAATGCAATCTAGACAGACATGATCTGCCTAGACTAAAGGCATCTTTTATTCACATCCAAATAATCAAATAGTAACATTTATTTTTCTTTCCTTAAACTGGATTGATGTCTTGCCCTCAGCTTAATTATTTCCTTGGGGCTTTGTGTTTATGTGAAGTTGTTTGTTGTTTTAAGTTCTAGGCAGATCAGAACTGTTTAAATGTGGTCCTAGTCAAAGATTTTGTTGAGGATCTTGGAAAGAGCACTGTGTACATACCTAGCAGGCCAGCTCAAGTAACCGCCTCATAAAGCTTGTGCCAAAGCTCATCCCATATAATTTGTTGACACTCAATAGTGAGCAATGCCTATTGCTTTAGCACTGAGGTTCTCAGACTTCATGCTCCTTCATGCTACCATTAGGCAGAGTGAGGTGGCCACTTCAGGCCGCTGATTTGACTGCTGTGCAAGGGCAGCTAATTGTTACTTAAAGTAAAGGTAAAGGGACCCCTGACCATTAGGTCCAGTCGTGACTGACTCTGGGGTTGCGGCGCTCATCTCGCTTTATTGGCCGAGGGAGCCAGCATACAGCTTCCGGGTCATGTGGCCAGCATGACTAAGCCACTTCTGGCGAACCAGAGCAGCGCACGGAAACGCCGTTTACCTTCCCACCGGAGCGGTACCTATTTATCTACTTGCACTTTGACGTGCTTTCGAACTGCTAGGTTGGCAGGAGCAGGGACTGAACAACAGGAGCTCACCCCGTCACGGGGATTTGAACCTCTGATCTTCTGATCGGCAAGTCCTAGGCTCTGTGGTTTAACCCACAGCACTATTTACTTAATAGTTATATTTTTACTTCCAGGCAAGGAGAGAGGTACTTGTGGGATTATCTACATCAGGTGCCAAAATGAACTTGCTGGCTTGGTTGCTCTATACCTTACTGTTGGGGGGGAGAGGGGGCACCATTTGCTCTTCTGCCTCAGGCAGTGAAATGTCTTGGGCCAGCTCTGTCTGAGAAGAGACCATTGTTCCTGTTTATACTGTATCAGCAATGCTAAAGAGATAATTAAAATGGATTTCCCTTTCCAAAGTTTATTTTATTTCTTAGCTCACTCCTCATTGGTAGGAGGTCAGGGTACAACATAAAATAAGTTATAAAATAAAAAAACAGTAAAACAAAAAGAAAAAATATGAAATACACTGTAAAACAAAGACAACTAAGTACAACTAGACAGATAGGGAGGCTAAAATAATTTAAGCAGCGCACAACATTATCTGTATACATGTGTGTATGTGTGAGGTTCCAGTTTCTATCCTCACCCTTCATTTTTGTGATGAATTAAGATGGCTATCCTATCACAAGTATTTGATCTGAAAGTAAAGGTAAGTTTTATTTGTTCTTTTATGCTTTACCATATTGGCTTATGGCCAAGCCTCAGGCCATCCTCATTCTGCTGCTTTTAAAAAACCATACAAATGTTGCCTGTCATGTTAATACAATGGGCTGGAGTCAAGCTGCTTTCTATTTATAGCTTTCTTGGAACTAAGAAAATGAGACAAACTGAAAATATATGCTTAATCACCCCCAGGAAAAGCTACCATTATATTTTTGGTTGCATAAGCATACTAGATTGGAAAATCTGGGATCTGTTCAAGACCTTTTGATCAGAGCTTTGCAAGTGCAGAAAATTAAAAACACAGACAGATGGGGATTAGAGTTGAGCATCGGGAGAATAATTTCCTTTTTTAATTTTAGTTCCACCCATGTATAAAAAGTATTAACAGCCCAGTTATGTAACTTGCATCAAAGCTCAACTATATATGGAACAATAATGCTAAATGTAATTAAGTCATTACACATTCTGTGTTTGTTTTTATGGAGAGGAGATTATTTTCACATGCATGAAGAAAATGCACCAAGCATCCAGAAAGATAAACAGATGGGCCAAAATCACTCATCCAAACTTTTTTGGATGTTGAGTGTTTGGATACCCAGTGCTTTTTTGTGGGGGTACTCAAGGGTACACAGTACCAGTGCCTTTTTTCTTTCAAAGTTGAAGACGGTTGGGGAAAACCAATTTTGCAAGAGATACAAAGAAGAAAGAAACACCTGCTTCTTGTTCCCTTAAGAAACCTCTCATTTTAAAACAGGATTTTTTCCTTACAATTATGTTGCATACACAAACAGAACACAACTTACATGTTCTAATTCATCTGAATTCAGTTTTAAGAAATGAGAAGTCATCCAGGAGGAAACGGAGCATGTATATAAAAATTGTAGCTAAGAAAGCAAGAGTAAGATGAGGCGAACAGCAACAGAGTTGAAGATCAGCACACAAATAATCCTGGAAACAAAACAACACCCCCCCCCAAAAAAATCCCCCTGCAAAATATTAGATGCAGAGGGGAAATATAACATTAACAAAGAGATTGAACTGTGGACAAAACTTTCAGGAACAGGAAAGGACCACAGAAAAGTTGGGGAGAGAGAACTGCTCACAGAAACTTTGAAGGAATTACCTGGCTTTTTAAAATAATAGCAGATGGCTATACTAAGGACTATCAATTATACTGCAGTCCTCTGCCCCCACCCTGCCAGCTTATTTCCTTCTCATTAGAATCAATGTGAGGGAAACTTGTCATAACTGGATGGTGAGGAAGGAAAGATGCAACACCCCCCCCTTCCATGCATTTCTCTTTTGCCCTGTTGGTACAAACTGAGCAGAATACAGGAAAAGGTGCTTTGCCTGCCTTTGGCTCCATCTCCCCCTTTTTTTGGTATTGCCCTGCCTGAGTTTTTTCTAATAATCTTGCTGAATCCTTTTACTCTGCAGTCATTGGTTTTGTGAGAATTTTCTCCTAAGATTTTGAATTGAATCAAATTAACTCCAATTTCAGAGTAGTTACTTGTCTGCCATGAAGGTCAAGGGACTTTCCCCTTGTGTGTATCATAACACTTCAGAGCTGATTCCTCACACCATGCTTTCAACCACATTTAGGTAATTTTAGACTCTGGACTTAATCTTACGGGGATTCCCACCCCCTCCGACTTTAGATGGTCATGTGTACTACGTAACTTGCTTCAAAATGTGGTCAGGCAGTCATGCTATGGTTTTTGGAGGCCCTCTTTTTGCTCATTCTTCTGAGCAGGGGGTCCTGGAACTCTGCCCAAAAGTCCCGCCCTGATGTCATCATCACTGTTCAGTGTTCACATAGGCATGATGGTGGTAGTTTGCCTTTGAGAACATGAAGGCAAAACTTTTGTGTTGTACCACCAAAAGATTAAAAAAATCCAGACAGACATGTCTATTTTAGCCTGTTGTAGCCAAAACAGCAAAAGGACTTGTGGCACCTAAAAGACTAGTCAAATTATTGTGCCATAACCTAAGAGAGAAAAAATATTGCCTTCATTTGGGAGCCAGACTTCCCCAACACTCAGCTTCCTGGCTTTGTTTCTTTGATAGTTTAGATAAGCAAACACTGAGTGAATTCTAGACAAGGGCCCTTTGAAGGCCCTTCAAATATCATCGGAGCAGCTCTGGGACTATCTGTTCTGCAGCTGCAAGTTCCTAGGGAGGAAATGGAGGGTGAAGCCCAACTGGAACAGGAAACAGAATGCCTTGCTGCTCTAGAAGAAAGGGCAGGAGCTAGAATTCCACAGATCCTGATGTTTCCCCCAATGTAAGCAATGTGAGCATCTTGATAGCCACATATGTGTGTGCGGAACTAGATAGTAGTCCAGAATCAGCATTTTGGTCTTTGTCCAAGGTCCTGATCTTTCCTTGCCTTACCTTCCTGTTCCAGGCCTGCAAATCTCCACCATGGCTTGGGCTGTCACTTTCCCTTAGTGGTGGACCAAGACCTTCTCCTGTGCTTTCTAGGCGTGGGTCCAAGTGGTTTTTCGTTTGTCCAATCTTTTTCCTAGGGGAATCCCGCTGTTTATCACCAAATCAGAACAAATGTCAGTCTGCAGAAAGACCAATTGATGTTTGTTCCAATTCAGTGGTAAGCAGTGGGTTTTCTTGGGAGGAAGTACCCAGACAAGAAGAATGGATGAGCCCTTTTAAATGGGTCTATTCTGAGTAAAACCTAATTGAATACCACCCATTGCATGTACAAAGAGCAGAGAGGAATGATGTATAAAACTGGCAGTTGAGAGGAACAAGTCAACTCTCACTGAATGAGATGGCAATGGGGTACAACTAATAGATAGCTAATGTTAGCACAGGGTAACAGAAACTTTCAGAAAACCTGTGGCAGTCTGCTCTCTTTTTGGAAGTACTCTAAAACGGGTGGGCAACCTAAGGCCTGGGGACCAGATGCGGCCCAATCACCTTTTCAATCTGGCCCATGGACAGTCTGGGAATCAGCATGTTTTTACATGAGTAGAATGTGTGCTTTTATTTAAAATGAATCTCTGGGTTATTTGTGGGACATAGGAATTCATTCATTATTATTTTTTCAAAATATAGTCCGGCCCACCACATGGTCTGAGGGACGGTGGACCGGCCCACAGCTGAAAAAGTTTGCTGACCCCTGTTCTAAAACTCTGACAAGGCAGGCCAGGTCAGTGGAAATAATGTCAGAGAAACCTGAAGCAAAACTGACAGGCTACAGTTCTTGTTTGTACCAGTATTGCAAGGGGAGGGGGTTCACCATTTTATTATAAGTTGACAGCCCTTAGCACCAGCTAGGTACCAATAAGCTTGCCTTTTGTCTAAAATTATATTATTATGAAATATGCTTTTTGTTTGCTATGCTACAAACTGCTCTTGATTTTATTCTGGGGATAAAATGTTCCTTGCATAAAGAGTCCATTTGCATTAAATCAGTGAGCATGTACCCAGAAACATCAATTAAAGTTAATAAGATACTTTCGTATGGCATCAGGAAAGGTGGAATCATTTAAAAACTGTTAAAACCACTTCCCTCTGGTGCTTATAGCAGCAGGGTAGCTGTAATCTCTTGTTTTTCCTTTCCTCCCTTGGAAACAATAAAATCCCTTAAAGTTTACCTTTTGAAGCATTCTTAAAATACAATCATATTAATCTTTAGTCAACCCAAAACCAATCTACAGTTTTTGCTTATACAGTAAAATATCTCTTATCCTGAATTCACTAATCCTTGTTCTGGATGTTGCATTATATAACTCCCACACAGGTCTGGCCCTACCATTAGCCTGAGTGAGGTAGCTGCCTCAGACAGCAGATAGGAGGACTGCAGCCCCACTGATATTCCTCCTGTGTCCTTCAGCACCTAAGTTAGCCTGCTGCCCTCAGATGTAATGATGTGCACTAGCCCATTGCTAGTGTTGAAGTGAGATTCAGTTGCAGCACCATCTTGTCCTTTGCCCCAGGCAGTAAAATGTATTGAGCTGGTTCTGCTCCCACAATAACTACCATGGACAATTATATGTATACAAACATGGTAGTGAGTTTCCTACTGCTCATTTGTTCTCACTTGTTGTCTTTTTTTAACAGACTCACAAGACATTCACTGTTTTCTTACAGTGCCTGCCATTTGCTGGAAACTAGCAAAGTTTTACCTAAAATTAGAATAAGATTATTTCCCAAGAGATCAAGCAAATCTCTATACTGTTCTAATAACTGACCCATGTTCCTTCATAAAAGAATGTAAGTGATTTGCCATTGGAATGGTTCACACATAGGTTTTCTTCACCTGATAGCCCCATTTAGTGCCAACTACGTGAGAGGGTTCTGAGAAGGCACCCAGGTAACCCTACCCATGAACACTGACATGCACAATAGTAATAAAGAGTTGACATCAGACTGAATGGGGCCCTATATGTATGGACGCAGACATGTCTGACAGCTTCTATGGGGATTTAACCTGGGGTGAAAAGAAGTGTAGGGGGTTAGGAGGTAGGAGGCTATCCAACAGGTGCATCACTACTTTAAAGATTAGATCAGGATATAAATTTCTTCAACATGCAGTGACAATGGCTGTTTAGATCAAATGTTTTGGGATCAGTCCAGTTTTCTTCTCTAAAAAGCTGTTCCCATCAAGTTGCAATGATGGGTTTTCACTTTCACAGTATGCCCTAATAGAAGAGAGAGGTGTGTGTGTGTGTGTGTGTGTGTGTGTGTGTGTGTGTGTGTGTTCAGCTGAACAAACTATTTGGAAGCTATTATTCATACGCTTAACTTCACAGTGGATTGCATGCATGATTCAGCAGCTAAAATAGTTCTACTATCTTCACCTTCAGATATTCATTTTATTGTTATTGTTACTGTTATGGGTTGTTGTTTTTAATCCTTACTCCTTAGGGCCAAACCTGTTCCTATTTCATCACAGCACTATAATGAATTGCGGCATACAAAGCTTGTCATACAATATGCAGTGCTAGAGCAGAGCAGAGAGAATCTTTGGGGTAGGTTACCATAGAAACACTGACGTACTGCCTGGCTAACAGGACATTGAGTTCTTGAATGAGAGGCAGTTTAAAAAAAGAAGAAGAAGCTGTTAAATGGCTGAAAGCCAATCCAGCTAAACCATAGCTTTGGATCTTCCTGCAGAGTACAACTCTAAAAGCTGGGGAGAGGGGGTGGGGTGGGATGGGGAAACTGCCCTTCACTTTATAAAGTTATTACTGTTGGACAGCTGTATTTTATAAATAAGGGAAAGCAGCAGCTCTAGAAAATAATTAAACTGCTAATCAGAACAGAGTCAAGTGAGAGTGCCAGAAACATGTCAGCACCTGAGGCTGCAAAATGTCTCAAACCTGCTTTGCTTCTGTCACCAGATGCAGTGACCCGGCTGCCTTTATGTCAGTAGAAATCCAAGCCGCAGGGTTGCAACCCAGTGGCAAAGTCCCCAGGCTGGCCCTGAAATTAGGCAAGGTATTTTCCTCAAGTTCTGCATCTGTATTTTGAAATGTGTCATCCTCTTGTCTGAGGAGGAAGAACCTTCTTGGCTGGAATACGATGCCTGGGGGTGATCACTCAGAAGAATAAAACAGGACTGCTGTTCTGCTTTCCCCATGTATGAAAACTAAAAGAAAAAGTAGGTTTGACAACTTTTTCTATTGGCTCCCCTTTTGTACCTTTAACAACAGTCTGGCATACAAGATTTGAACAGAAAAAGATTTGATGGCATGGTGATAAAATGATGAGAAAAGCTTCATTTGCTTTATTTCTGTTAAAAGAGCAGGCCCAATAAATTAAAAAATATGGCAAACTAAGAAAATTTAGCCTGGTTCAGATGTAACCTGGCTATCTTGGTCCAAGAAACCACGGCTTGTGCCTGCATATTCCCTCCTCCACTTTCTTCATGTGCCATAATGCAAAATTTCTAGTTTGACAGAACACAGTTTCCAGTTATGCCCCAAGCTGCAATTTTAAATGGTTGCAGTACACTTGGGAATAGTGGAACCACATGGAGATAGTCAATGGCATGCATCTTTCTTACACAAACTCTGCCTTCCCTCCCAGCAGGGTGAAGGTTGAATTGGATGAGAAAGGCCCAAGTGATTGGTCACACCCACATGGTTCTTCAGTGCTGTTGTGTGGCATCAGGACACTCAGAAGTGCCTTCCCATCTGAAGGAAGCTTCCAGGTATTCTATCTCCTGGTGGCTAGAATAGCAACTGTAATACCAAATCAGTAGTGGGGAAAACAGTTGCTACTGGAAGAGGTGCTTCCTAACCTGGGGGAGTGGCACTATTCCCTCTCCCAATTACTGCTGGTGATCACTGCCTTCATTGCCTATCTGGCTTATGGGTGTTGGGCATGCTGCAAATAGCACTCTCAATACTACCTGTCGGAAAGTTGTTACTTGGATTAAGAAGTATTTCACATTCCTGTTTTTCATTACATTGCCAGATATTTTTCTGATTTGTATCTAGTTTGACATCACTATTTCTTACTGGAAAAATAGTCAAATATTAAATAATACATGGTGTGGAGGGAAAGCCACTTTTATTCAAGTGGCAATTTGCATGTGTGAATGAGCCATCAGAGAGCAATCCGCTCAGACAGAACTTTAGTAGTACCCCACATAAAGCTTTTCAGTGGAGTCAGTTCACACATATAGGGCACTTCCAGACTTTCAGATATCTGGGTAGTTGAAGTTTCCCATGACTACTATATCTCTCATTTACAAAGATAACTTTACTAATATTTTGTTCATTTTGCATCCTGCTCTTTCTTGTGCAAGTTCATAACCCTTCAGAGCAGTCAGCAATATATATATATATATATATTCCACAGTGCAAATACTTACAAAATGCTTTTGGTATGTGCCACATTGCAAGCACTTTAAAGATAATTGCTACTTCATAAATAAGAATATTCTTCAGAGTCAGAACACATAGATTGCTTTCATCTAGGAACCATGAAGCAAACCTAGTGAATGTGCAGCAAAGGCAACTAAGATTCAGTGCCAGTAAATAATGCAAATTGAGGCAAATAATAATAGCAATCCTTGATTTAGTAGGCCTTTAATTCAAAGGTTTAAAGAACACTAAGTAATGCTGCCTTGTTTAGGGTTCAACAACTTTTGGCCCTTCATTTAACATGAAAGAGGCTGCCTATATATATAAGGTGGGAAACCAAATATGCTCCCTTAATTCTTCTCTCTAGTTGGAAGGTTAGAACTGATCTCTCCAAAGCAAAAGCATCAGGAAAACTCATTAAAACTCTTGCATGCTTTTACAATTATGCCCAAGCCACCAAAGTCTTTGAAGCAGAAACCACAGCGTAGAGAAGTATTTTTTTTACTGACACCAATTTAACAAAATAAACTATTATTTTCCGCCAAGTTTGCTGAAGCATTGTTATATGTGGTGCTTATTTAATCCTGGAAGTACAGGAACAGCAAGTTCAGTTATCTAACTAAAGAAATAAAATGAAAATTGGAGTGGGGTATGAAAGAGGTGCTTCTGCCTGATCTCCAATGTTTGTGTGTGTGTGTTTTAAAAATAACAACATAGCAATGTGAGCCACACTCCCCCCTGTAACAGCTGAATGCCTTTTTAAATTATGTAAAACCACCAGAAGGTTGCCGGTTCGAATCCCTGCGACAGGGTGAGCTCCCATTGCTCGGTCCCAGCTCCTGCCAACCTAGCAGTTTGAAAGCACATCAAAATGCAAGTAGATAAATAGGTACCGCTCCGGCGGGAAGGTAAACGGCGTTTCTGTGCGCTACTCTGGTTTGCCAGAACCGGCTTAGTCATGCTGGCCACATGACCCGGAAACTGTCTGCGGACAAACGCCGGCTCCCTCGGCCAGTAAAGCGAGATGAGCGCCACAACCCCAGAGTTGTTCGCGATTGGACTTAACAGTCAGGGGTCCCTTTACCTTTTAAAACCACCACAGGGCGGCTTGTGAATATTACATTCATTTAATCGATCCTGATCTTGAATACCAGCCTTTGGTTCTGTTTTTATAACAGTCAAGTCAGATTAAACATATACGCCACAATTTGTTTTTAAGATCACCTAATATGGATTTAACACAATTTAAATATCTTCGCATAGTGAGGATGGTTAAACTGAGATTCCCCCCCTCCCCCTCTTTGTCAAAAATTCTGATTCAGTAAAACTGGAATGTTTTTGCAAACATGAATGTAATTTAGAATGACTTGTTTTCCTGAGAAGGGCCCTGTAACTTTTGAAGAGTTGTACAAAGAGGTAAGCTAGAAAAGGTGGCAGCACTAGGTCCGCCTAGCCCTGCAGTCTCCAAGTCTGATGTGGGTTTCATCAGTGAGGCATGGGCAGTTGCCAGGTTAGTTATACAACCTCTTGCCTGATGCTTCACAGATAAGTTTTTGTGCACATCTTGCTTGGCCAGAAAGCAACATGCTAGCTATGCAAGCAGCACCGTGGCCTGAGAACCAGCTCTGCCACTAAATCTCAACTGAAGTGTGCCATAGATAATTGCTTCATCCTGTAGCAACTTGCATCAAATGAGTTAGCTGTGAATGCACACTTGCTATGTACCTATACACAGTAACCTATGGTTTGTTGTCTGCTGTTTTTAAAATCTGCTTTTCACTGTATAGTCTTTCTGAAGAAACGTGAGGTCCCCATTAGTTTGGAAGGAGAGGCATTGGGAGCCCCAGTTTGCTGAGGCTTACTCAGTTCTAACTTTGAGGCCACTCAAGGAGCTCCATGCTGAGATCTCTTACTGAATAAGAGTTCCTTCTTTGCCTTTCTATAGCACCAGACCCTCAATTCGACCTTCCACTCAAGACAATGGTGAGTGTGAAGACAGAGAATTTCTATCAGCTGCTGCAGGGAAAGTGCTGCCAAAGTTGGTGGGAGAATTTTCTTGCTTCTGCAGAAGGAAGGAAGGAAGCAGAACCTCATGGTCAATAGCAGGAGTGAGCACTGCAGGTTATCTCCTTTGACATGAACAGGAGGAAATGTTTTACAAAACAGAGGTGGTCTGTGGAATAGTAGATGATTGGAGTTACAAAAGATACCTCCCTAGATAGGCTGGTAGTACCACTCTGTAGGCCTCATTATCCTACCAGCCCCCCTCAGGGTGTTCTTCAGTCTTCCAACTATAGAAATAAAGTGCAGAATTCACACAGGCGTGCAGAGCTTTGAAATTCTCTATTATGTGCCTTCAGCAAAAGCAAATATTCAGGGAAGCATTTATTTAAAGCCAGAAAATGTCTGGCAGAAGAGAATACGATTGAAATACGACCGCTTTGCAGAACCTGTTGTGGATTTTGATTATAACTTGGATCTCATTGACTACTATAATCACCCAGACAAATCTATACATGCCAACTCATATCTTCACTCCCCACTCCCCAGGTACACCTTTGACATGGTATTTAGAAGCAGACAGGTACATTATGAATTTCTTTGCTTTTGAAAATGCTGTACTGCATCCTTATGTGGAATTTTATGTAGCAGTTGATCTACTTTTTTAAACGTATTCCCATACCCTCCATCTTTTCTCCAATTAAAATAGGGACATCCTATCCCATAATGATAAATTTCTATTTATACCCCACACATCTTATTGGGTTGCCCCAGCACTCTGGGCATCTTCCAGCATACATTAAAAAAATAATAAAACATTAAACATTTATTAAATTACAGTGGTGCCTCGCAAGACGAAATTAATTCGTTCCGCAAATTTTTTCGTCTAGCGAATTTTTCGTCTTGCGAAGCACGAAATCCCATAGGAATGCATTGAAAATCAATTAATGCGTTCCTATGGTCAAAAAAAGTCCAAACAAAGCCAAATTTGGTACAACAAGAGTTTATTAAGTGCTCTTTAAAGTCACACATACTGTAAAGAGCATTTCAAAATTCAAACCCAGATTTTTTTAAAAAAACAGCAGAGTTGCCCAATGGTCACAGAAAATCATAAAAATGCAGAAAAAAACACACAAGCCTCCAGATTCTTGCAAACCCCTCCCCAACTGTTCCCCCAGCCACCCAGCACACAGAAATTCAAATCCAGAATTTTTTTAAAAAAACAGCAGAGTGGCCCAATGGTCACAGAAAATCATAAAAATGCAGAAAAATACACACAAGCTTCCAGATTATTGCATACCCCTCCCCAACTGTTCCCCCAGCCACCCAGCACACAGAAATTCAAATCCAGAATTTTTTTAAAAAAACAGCAGAGTGCCCCAATGGTCACAGAAAATCATAAAAATGCAGAAAAAAAAACACACAAGCTTCCAGATTCTTGCAAACCCCTCCCCAACACCAAGTCCTTGAATTCCAAACACCCCAACCCAAAATCCAAAACCCCCCAACCCCCCCCAAAAAATTTTTAAAAGCTTAACTTACCAAATGGCTGCAAAGAAGTTTTGGAAAAGCTTCAAAAATCACCAAAGTCTTTAAAAACCTCAAAAAAGGCTACTACTACTACTGCGTTCTATGAGTTGCTCCTCGAAGTCAAGTCGCAACTGTATTAATGGTGTTAAGAAAAAGGAAACAAACTTGCAAGACGTTTTCATCTTGCGAAGCAAACCCATAGGGAAATTCGTCTTGCGAAGCAGCTCAAAAAACGGAAAACCCTTTCGTCTAGCGAGTTTTCCGTCTTGCGAGGCATTCGTCTTGCGGGGCACCACTGTACTTATACAGGATTGCCTGCAGACAGCTCAGGGGTTGGATAACTCCATACAATCCATCATTTCTCCAATGAAAATAGGGACGTTCTAAGGAAAAGTGGGACATTCCATGATCAAATCAGAAACCGGAACAGCTTCTCTAAATCAGGGATGTCCCTGGAAAATAGGGACACTTGGAGGGTCTGTACTTGCTAATATTTGATGAACACGATGATGAGAGGAAATATATGATCCATTGAAAACTTTCAGTACAATTCAGTGCACGGTTTTTACTTGGGAGGGTAGTTAGATACAGTATGTGAGTGGCCTTTGTTGTAAGCATAAGAACAAAATAAGTGCCTGCTGGATGAGGCCAATGACCCATCTAGTCCAGCATCCTGTTCTCACAGTGGCCAACCACATGCCTGGGGGAAGCCTGCTAGCAGGACAGGAATGGCACAGCTTTTAAGTGGGGTAAGTAGGATTGATTCCTTTCAAATATTTTGTAAAATGAATATTTTACTTTGTGCTTGCTGCTGTTGTTATCTGACTTTAATGTCTTTGTTAGTTTATTTTTACTGTGCATGTCGCTTTAAAGCACTTAATTACAACATGTGACTAAAACAACAACTTGGATGTAAGCCCCTTTCTTCAATGAAGCTTAATATCCTAGTAAGTATGGACTGCAGGTAAGGTAAAGGTAAAGGGACCCCTGACCATTAGGTCCAGTCGTGGCCGACTCTGGGGTTGCGGCGCTCATCTCGCTTTATTGGCTGAGGGAGCCAGCGTACAGCTTCCGGGTCATGTGGCCAGCATGACTAAGCCGCTTCTGGCAAACCAGAGCAGCACACGGAAACACCGTTTACCTTCCCGCCGGAGTGGTACCTATTTATCTACTTGCACTTTGACGTGCTTTCAAACTGCTACGTTGGCAGGAGCAGGGACCGAGCAATGGGAGCTCACCCCGTCGTGGGGATTCGAACCACTGACCTTCTGATCAGCAAGTCCTAGGCTCTGTGGTTTAACCCACAGATGCCCTAATTTGGATTGTGATCACAGCAGAAGGAAAGGGTTAAAATCCCACCATCTCCCCTAGGCCTCCTGCCCCAGCTGTTTACTTTTTAAAAGGTCATTCACACAGTTACATGAATGGTGTTGCATCTAGCTTCGCCCTGTATTTTGGTGAAAATAGAAACTCTCAGCAGGGGATGTTTATAGGGCAGTCTTATAGTGTCATAACCTTTTGGGAATAAAATCCATTCATGGTGTTGCTTCTAGTAAGATCAAACACAGGCATCTGAAGAAGAATCAGAGTTCAGAAGGGGAAATCTGAGCAATACTGCAAAAAATAAAAATAAATCACTGTGTGAGGAAGAATGATATTTATTGTGTGAATGAAATTTGCAAGTGACCTGTCTAAGAAATTGCTGCTGCCACCATCCTGTGCTCTGCTTTTATAGTTGCTTTTTGGAGTGCTGGGCCCAAAGTTGGAACACTGTGCTAGGTTAGGGGGCCTGATACATTCTGCACTGCAGGCAATGAGCTTTAATAAATAAATAACCTCCTGAAAAGCTATGGTTGTAGTTCAGTGTATTGCACTGGCAAATAATGAGAAACAAATTTCTATATCAAAGAGATCCAAAAATAGACCAGGGCCAGGCACAAACACAGTCATGAAATTATTTGTCCTTGATCTCCTCAGTATGTCAGATTCAAAGCCAGGCCTCCTGCTTCCACTCTGGCACCTTATCCTCTAGACCACATTGACTCTACAGAATTGTCCATATAAATTGCTTACAAATTGTTTGTCTTGCCTCCCCTGCAAATTTATAAGCAGGCCACACAATGTATTCTTCGAGTTAAAAGGAAATACCTGCAGAGGCTCCATGTTCCTTGCTCAGCAGAACATCATTCATTTTGATTTGGTTAGAACTTTGTGTAGAGGTCGTTTTTAATTTTAAAAATAAAATAAAGAGCTACAGGAGAGCTGTTGATGCAGGAGAAGTTCAACAATGAGCATTCAGCCTCTAAGGAAGTTTTATTTAAAGTGTACAGTCACAAAATGGTGTGGGCACAGGGTGAGGTGTCACTCCCAACGTCACCAAATGGTGGGTAAGCCATTGTTTTCTAAATGTTTCTCCACACAGAAAACGTGACAGACGGGTAGAGGCAATTGGATTCATCTCAACTTAGTCCAGCAGACAGTTTAGTTCTGAAAGATACACCTAGCAATTTTCACAGTGATTTCTGTCTGAACCAAAATTGGCAGCCATTTCATAGAACTGCTATCTGGGTGGGTATAGTAGGACAATTATTGCCTGCACCTAACCACAGATATGAAAGGAAAGGAAAGTGGACATCTAATTTCCCTGAGAAATTTTTGTCTCATCTGTCATTTTCTGAGTCCCTAGAGAAAAGCAATGCATGCCATATGAGAGCATGGGAAATACTTTGTGCTGTTGTTTTAAAGCCAACCTTTTTGTCCTCTGCATTTAAAAAAGTGGAACCTATTTAAAATGGCATGGATATGTTGCAAGTATTCAATTACCTTTGCAGGTCATTCTCTAAAAATGGATTTTATCCCTAGCATCATACCTATACATGCTCTGAGTCAGCATGAGTGGTGTGAGTGACAACTTTTCCCCACATAATGGACTGGAGCGGTGGAGAAGGACCTCTCTCTCTCTCTCTCTCTCTCTCTCTCTCTCTCTCTCTGTATTTGTGTGTGTGTGTGTGGACTATTCTGCTGTTTCCAGCTTAAAAATACTAATTGCTAGAGGAGCACAGCAGGGGAGTGCATAGTTAGGAATAGTGAATCTGACATCACAGAACAGTATTTCATAGACTGTGGGCATCAAGAGATTCTTCTCACAGGTCAATCCTAAAAAGCTGAGCAGAGCCAGCTCTGCCATTAGTCAGAGTGAGGCAGCTGCCTCATTCAGCAGAAGCCCCCGAGGCAGCAGCATCATGGCTGTGCTGTCTGCCCCACCACCGGTGCATAAGCGGCACTGGTATTGGCTGAAATCACACAAGATCTTATAGAGCATGCAATATCTCATGCAATTTTGCTGAGATCTCATCCAAAGTGGACAAGCTCTCACCCGAAACTGATGCCGATGGCAATGCCTCTTCTCTGCCAGTGGCAGAGGCGGCAGAGGTGACGGGGCAGGCAGAGAAGCGGTGCCAGCAGCTGCAGGTATGGAAGCACTGGCGGCGGCAGCAGCAGAACAAGGCAGCAATTCCTGTTTTGCCTCAAGCAGCAAAACAGGAGGTGCCGCCCTGGATCTGAGCATCTGCGGTGACATGAACAGTACTTTGCTCAGTAACAGCAACTGCCTAGGACTGGGAAGGGCAGTGCTGTCCTAGCAACTGGGATATTCACTATTAAGAAGAAAAGCTTTCTCTGAAAGCCCTTTTGGAACTGCAAGAACACCCAAACAAGCATGCAATGGGTTTGTGGAGGAAAATGTTGATTTAAGCATGTTAGGTGCTGACTAATCAATGGCAGGGCATCTGGAAAATACATTGCAACATATGGAAGGGCAATTCTAATCCATGTTAATGATTTTGGGTGCTAAGCATGTATTAAACAATGACAGTGAAACAGACCTTCCAAGTGTCCCTATTTTTCAGGGACGTCCCTGTTAGAGAAGCCGTCCCGGTTTCTGATTTGATCCTGGAATGTCCTGCTTTCCCTTAGGACGTCCCTATTTTCATTAGAGAAATACTGGAGGGTATGGTAGGATGCTCCTATTTTCAATGGAGAAAGCTGGAGGGTATGGAGTTATCCGACCTACGAGCCGTCTGAAGGCAATCTTGTATAGGGAAGTTTTTAATTTTTTTGTTGTTTTATTATGTATTTATATATGTTGGAAACTGCCAAGAGTGGCTGGGGCAACCCAGTAAAATGTGTGGAGTATAGCTAGTAAAACTATTAATATGGAATGGGACGTCCCTGCTTTCATTGGAGAAATGTTGGAGGGTATGGTGAAACAGTGATGGTAGAGCTAGAGTTGGGGGTGTTTAGTTCAGATTAGTTCATACAAAAATAATACTGAAAATCTGCTAGGGAAATGATGCTCTGCCTAAGAAACTAATCTCTCTCCTTCTGCCTGCTCCATTAGTTACAGGACTAAATTTGATATAAAATGGGAAAAGAGGGAGGACCTGAGTTTGCATTGGTTGCTGGGGAATAAGCATCCCATTACCTATCACAGGTTTATAGATGACTCTCACCATTGTAGCTCATATGCTTATTACTACTCTGGCAATGCCTGCGAAGTTGCATTAGGAAGAATGGCAGTGCATCAGACACAGTCTTTTTAAAACATTACTGGAACATCCTATCCCTCAAAATATAGCTGCAAAAAATATCCATTGTGGAAAGACATGTGTCTGTGTCAAATGCTTCTTTAGGGAAGCTATGCCTCTTGCAGAGCAGCAACACACATGTGCAAACAGAGGAAGCAGAAAACACACACACACAACCCCCCACTGCTATTCTTACAAGTGTTCTGTGTCTCTCAGATGCTGAGGCTGCAGAAACAGTAGATGGTGCTGTGGGAGTGTTCCTGGAGATACAAGGGAGTGATTGTTTTTCAGCTGTAACAAATGCTGGCAGCTAGGATGTCCTTCCCACTACAAGTGGGCCTGGTAATGGATGGACATTGGGATCCCATGCTTTGAGACAGATGATATATTTCCAGGTTTCTCCTAGTCCTGAGCAGGCATGCTGATCTTCTTTCTATCTTTCCATTTTTAGTTTGTGCTGCCAAAATGAGCACAATCCAAGCCAACAATATAATCTTCTTCACTGGATTTTGCATTGAACATTTTCCCCCCATAGCAGGCCTTCCACATTGTCACTATTGTGTTTGGGTTGGAAGATGTTCTCAGTTATGGAGCAATGTGGTTTTAAAAAATACAAACATGCTAAAAAATAAACAGTTTCTCTTCTCCACATGCCACAAGTCCACTTTTTATGTACCCACTAGCAGTGCAACCTAGTCATGGCTGAAGTGCAAACACAAAGATTCCAGAAGGGTTAGAGTTGCCAATTTTTGTCCTCAAAGAATCTGCCACCTTGAGGTAATCACCTCTAAACATGTCCAGAGTTCGTTTTCTCTATGGAAAGAATCTGACCTTGCTTCCATTGCCAGAAGCTACCTGGTCATCAGTCATTAGATCTGGTATTCGGTATCTGTATTTGTTTGTTGTTATGTTATGTATTTTGTGTTTTTATAATGTAAACCGTCCTGTGATCATTGGATGAAGGGTGCTACATACATACATACATATATACACCACTTCTGTTTTCCTGCCCAGGGCAAAGTAGCCACACAACTGCATTACAGGCCAAGAAGCAGCCTGGAATAAGATCAAGAGGCTTGGACTCTCTTTTAGGTGGTTGCTTTGGCTGGTAAACCAATGTTCACACTTGGTTCACACTTGTTGTAGAATAATTATTTTTATTTTTACCCTGCCCATCTGGCTAGGTTTCCCCAGCCACTCATCAGATGTGACCTGCAAACAGTATCAGCCACTTTCATACTTCTCTTTTTAATGGTTTGATCTTATGTGGTAGCATCATGCACATACATACACCTTCTGAACACATAAATGCCCTATATACAAGCACTCAGGTACTCCCCACACAGTGCTTTTGTGTTAATGTGTTTATTGTGATAGCTCAGCTATATGTATCAATAGGAAAAGTGGAGTGGGGGGAAGGTCTTCTGGATTTTTTTCTCCAGCTCTGCATCGTTCAGTTATGATAAGAAGATAAAATGATGGCCCAGCTCAAGAAATTCTAGCCTGCTGGGAACCCTAAAAAAAGAATGTGAGACTTAACCCCTTATGATTCAAACCTCATTTATTAAATATGTGTTAGCCCTTATTAGTATGCTCCCTTCAGTTCTAATGATTTAAAAAAAAAACCTCATGTACTTCAGTTTCAGTTTCATAGAATATAATCATAGAGGTGGAGGCAGAAGAGTTTTCTATCTGATTTGCAATAAGTTCTCCCTGTTCTCTGGATGTGCAATGCAAACAGGCAAATCATTTGGTCACCTACTGACCCATGAAACACGGGTGCACTTCAAAGAGGAGTGCTGTACTCTGCAATAAAGATTAGTTTCAGAGCAGCCAGAAAGAAAGAAAGAACGAAAGAAAGAAAGAAAGAAAGAAAGAAAGAAAGAAAGAAAGAGCAAAGTACAATGAGTGCAGTGCTCAGGGACAAGTTTGAATGAATGTTCTCTTATACTATAGCTGGACATCTCTAAGCACTAAAAGTGCAGGTCATTTGGAAATGTTCATTTTAACACCAAGTCCAACTGTGTCTAGGGTCATTGCAAGTCAATAGAAGGGGTCAGGTTTTGGGGGCCCAAGATGAGCAGGGGCCCCAGGCTCTCAGCTGTCATTTTTTAAAAAGAGAGTAAGCTGACCAGACGTTTCTCAAGAAAGTTAGTACGCAAACCATGGAAGCAAGCACTTGGCAGGCAGCACTATTGCTAAGGACACTTAATCACTTAGTTGTTGTTGCTAAGCAATCAGCGAAAGGCACGTTGACCACTCCCAGAGCAGCCCCCCTCCCAGAGCAGCAGAAGCTGAATGAGGGAGGATATTGGGGTATATTTCTTTAAGCACTTTCCTCATGATGTCCACATTTGCTCCCCAAGTGTGCTGCCTTTACAGAATAAAACACAACTGGCAGGTTTTAGTATGATTTACTTTAAAGTAAAAATAAGTGAGGTTGAAATGAGTTAGGTTTCCTCCCTACTGATTTTTTTTTTAAGTGACATCAAAATCATCATCTCCCCCCACCCACAATTTTCCATGTTCTCTACACAACCACAAGTGGTCTGCTTGTAATCACTGGGCTGTTATTTATTAATATACGGTAACCATAAAACAAAAATGCAAAATGAATCAGCACATACAATCATAAAATTATTAAACACCTTACTGATGCAACAAATTAAAACTCCTAGATTCTGTACTTTAACCCAAGGATGTCTATATTTCTGTACTGAGGTTGGCAAAATTTTTGTGCATATATATGTTTCGCTGAGAGTTGTGAAATTGCACATACACTTGTTCAGTTTTTGTGTTTTGGATTTTCCTCCCAGGAGTTCAAGTCTATGTACATTGTCTCCCCCCTTCACCATTTGATCTTCACAACAACCCTTTAGGGTTGGGTAGGAGAGTTGGCAGTTCAGGCATCAGAGTTGTAAAACCACACAGAGTACTTTTTGCTTGTTGTTATTTAATCAGGGTTCGTTTGGGTATTTTGCTGTAAATATCAGGACTATGAAATGTAGTCAAAGGCTGCTTTTCTAGCTTCCTTTACATCAACTGTGAATAATAATAATAATAATAATAATAATAATAATAATAATAATTTATTATTTATACCCTGCCCATCTGGCTGGGTTTCCCCAGCCACTCTGGGCGGCTTCCAACAAAATATTAAATGACATTACTTAAGAATATAGGAAGAGCCCTGCTGGATAAAGCCAATGACCTATCTAGTCTAGCAACCTGTTCTCTCAATGGCCAAACCGATGCCCATGAAAAACCTGCAACCAGGACCCGAGCAGAAGAACACTCTCCCCTTCTGTGGTTTTAAGCAACTAATATTCAGAAGCATACTGTTCTAACTATGGAGGCAGAAGCATAAACATTGTACCCATTTGCCACTGAAAGCCTTATCCTCCATGAATTTGTCTTTTAAATCCACCCATTTTGGTGGCCCTTACCGCCTCCCATGGGAGCGTATTCCATAGTTCAACTATGCACTGTGTGCTATATATTTGCTTTTCCGCCCAGGAGCAGAAGGTTGTTCACATTTCCCTCCCCTCCCCACATTTCTGTTTGCAACAGCCCTGTGAGGTAGGCTAGGCTAAGTTAAAAATTGTACATAAGGAGCAGCCCTTGTCCATAGATTGTAAGGGGGTGGGAGCAGAGTATAAGGTCCCTCATCCAAATACAGTATCAGTATCAAACTTTATTTTGGTCACAGACCAGCATAAGATAAAACATACGGATAAACTGAACACAGAAGACTTAAAACAGGTAAGGAATAAAAAACCTAGTAATAAAAAGGTGATTAGATCATACATACTTAAAAAGATAGAAACAGGGACAAACAGTTCAAAGTGACTATAAAGGAGGGAGTGTGAAGGAGCACAGGCCTTGCATTTTGGGCCTAGTTTGTGGCGCAAACCATCCTTTGGCGAATATCCATCACGGCAGCACAGAAACTAGCAACTCAGTATGCAACACCTGTGTTTTCATCTTGAAGTAACAGGGAGGTATAGAGTTCTTCTGTGCAACCTGGGAATTTGTGTAGTATAGGCAAGATGAACCTAGCTCGTATATCTGTATAGTATTGGCAGTGAAAAAATACATGTTCTGTTGTTTCCAGTTGCCCAGAGCCACATGGGTATTTCCTCTCCTCGTACACTCCAAATACAGTGTACCAGGCTAGGAAATCCTGTTGGCATCCCTGACACTGTCTGTGGTAGGCATATTCTTTCGTGCTGGCAGAAGCAGCGCTTGTCGGTTTTCAATTTGTTAGGCTAAAGTAAACAAAAGCTGCCTTTGTGGCGGAAAATACTAAAGCTGAGTGTGTTGGGTTAAGAGTTTTAGTTAGATGTCCAATGAATCTGTGATGAATTCCTTGGACTGATTTGTGTGAATTCAGTGCTCTCATTTCCAGAAAAGTTACCAGCGTGCATGTTTATCAGACCCATCATTTGGGCTGTAGCTGCAGGGGATTTTGCTCTTCTCTTGCTAGACTGATAGGCTAGGAGGACTGGTAGAGTTAGAGCCATAAATATAAGCATTGGTGCAGGCTACCCCAACCTGGTGCTCGCCATATTTTCTGGATTCCAACTTCCAGCATCCCTGACCATTGGCCATGTTGGCTAGGACTGATGGCAGTTGTACTACAAAACATCTGTAGAGCACCAGGCTGAGGAAAGCTGCATCAGCATGTTGATGTAGAAAAGTATGAGATGCCAGTGAAAAGATATAATAATAATAATAATAATAATAATAATAATAATAATAATAGAGAGCCAGTGTGGTGTAGTGGTTAAGCGTGGTAGACTCATAATCTGGTGAACCGGGTTCGCATCTCCGCTCCTCCACATGCAGCTGCTGGGTGACCTTGGGCCAGTCACACTTCTCTGAAGTCTCTCAGCCTCACTCACCTCACAGAGTGTTTGTTGTGGGGAAGGAAGGGAAAGGAGAATGTTAGCCGCTTTGAGACTCCTTCGGGTAGTGATAAAGCGGGATATCAAATCCAAACTCCTCTTCTTCTCTTCTTAATAATAGTAAATTTTATTATTTATACCCCGCCCATCTGGGTGGGTTTCTCCAGCCACTCTGGGCAGCTTCCAGCAAAATATAAAAATGCAATAATTCGTCAAATATTAAAAGCTTCTCTAAACAGGGCTGCCTTTAGATGTCTTCTGAAAGTCAGATAGTTCTTTAATTCTTTGACATCTGATGGGAGAGCGTTCGACAGGGCGAGTGCCACTACTGAGAAGGCCCTCTGCTTGGTTCCCTGTAACTTTGCTTCTCGCAGTGAGGGAACCGCCAGAAGGTCCTTGGCGCTGGACCTCAGCGTCCAGGCAGAATGATGGGGGTGGAGATGCTCCTTCAGGTATACTGTGCCGAGGCCATTTAGGGCTTTAAAGGTAAGCAACAACACTTCAAATTATGCCCGGAAACGTACTGGGAGCCAGTGTAGGTCTTTCAGGACCAGTGTTATGTGGTCCCGGCGGCCACTCCCAGTCACTAATCTAGCTGCCGCATTCTGGATTATGTGTGGACAACATGATTAAAGTGAAAAGGAGCAGAAATCATTTGAGAGAAAACTTACTGCTTTGTTTAAACTACTTTTAAATTGTGTTTAATTGCCATGGAGACGTCACTGTTGCAAATCAATTACTTTGTGCATATGGAGTTGTCTAAGGCTAAAGAGCAGGAAAAAATATCCATGTTTCTCAAGTAGGGCCAGTACTTTCTTCCCCAGCTGTCAAAGTCATAGGAAAAGGCAGCTGAGGAGATGTTTTGAATAAGCAAGCCTATGACCCCATCCGCACTATATTTTTAAAGCACCATGGTGCCACTTTAAATAGCCATGGCTTGCCCCAAATAATTCTAGGCAGTGTAGTTTGTTAAGGGTATTGAGAGTTGTTAGGAGACCCCTATTACCCTCAAAGAGTTGCAATTTCCAGAGTGGTTTAACAATCCATTTTCAGAGGGAACTCTGGGAATTGTAGCTTTGAGAGGGAACCAGGGGTCTCTGAACAACTCTCAGCACCCTTTACAAACCACAGTTCCCAAGATTCTTTGGGGGAAACCATGACTGTTGAAAGCAGAATGAGACTGCATTAGATGTTAGAGGTGCAAACAGCTATTTCAAGTGTATGCATGTGAGGGCATGGGGAGTGGTAGTACAGACATATGATTATGATTACCAAAGTACAGCAGAAAGTGCCATATGACAATTACTGCCTCTTCCATTGCTCAAAATTTTGGAGTGGTATTCTCAATCCTAAAAACTTCCATGGATGCAATGATATATTTTGAGGGTTTTGCACTTGTAAAGTGCAAAGAGATATGCCCCGTTCCATCTTACTTATTTGCTTATACAAAATGCCAGATGCTATTTTTCATACATGGCAGGGCTGTCTAGCTTACAGAGTGGTTCTGCCTCAGAGGGTATTTTTGGTGTCCCTCCCAGACTCCTATAAATTTGACAGTTTAAAAACTGTTCTGCTGAGGTATCTCCCACCATAGTGTTGTAGTGTACCCACTGAGGTGCTTGCAGGGTACAGAACCAACAAAAGTTGGACACCTCTGTGTTGACTTACCTTACACAGAAGCCTCTCCTCTCTTTGGTGCAGCACCACTGCAAGAAGATCCTAGAGCAGGCATGGCCAAACTTAGCCCTCCAGATGTTTTGGGACTACAACTCCCATCCTCCCCAGCTAACAGGACCAGTGGTCAGGGATGATGGGAACTGTAGTCCCAAAACATCTGGCGGGCCAAGTTTGGCCATGCCTGTCCTAGAGCATATCTTTGGCTGGCTGCCTTCCTATATCTCCCCTGCTCACCCACCTGGCTGCTTGTATGGGGCATGTGCTGTCTGTATGTGTGCCTGCATTCGCCATGTCCATCTCTGGCATGCAGCCTTCGGAGGGGTGGCAAACTCTCTATGCAACCCTTGGGCCACAAATAGTGAGCCACCCCACATATATGGCATTTTTTTTACAAAGCACACTTGAACATCCCTTCCACTGTTTATACTTGCGAATGGCATTGTTGTGTGAATCAGACTGATTAATCTGTGGAGTAAAAACATTAAAACTACGGTACTTAATTCTTTTTATAGTTTCATGGCTAATGTCACATTTTGTGGCAACAAACTCCATGCTTGCTGCTTTGTCAGTGACTCATGGAAGGCTGAGCAGCTTTAGTTTTCCACTTTGCATGAGCCCTGATTTTCAGAAGTGGCTGGCATCCTTTTCTCAACCCTGGGTATATATGTGTGTGCTTTCACTCTTAAATGTTGGGTCCAGATATATATATTTGAAGCATCTGCTTTGTTTCCTATTCCCTAGCGATACTGTGAAAGCTAGTCATTTTACAAAGTGCCATGGAGATGCATGTAGCTGTCTACATGAGCTGTACGTCATCAAATACGGAGATGAGTTTTGTTCTTTATATGAGTCATCATTCCCTTTCTGACCTACTCTTCTAATTGCTAGTCATTTATTCTTTGGGAATTCATTATCCCCGCCAGTAGCTTTTAACAAACAGGCAGCAGCCTGGAGTGGCAGGTATTTGCCTCTGAGGTACCTGATGTGTGTGACAAATTAAAAGTCGTTTAGAAACCTGACAGTACTTTGCCATGGTTCCACCACCAAAAATGATCCTCCATTCAAGCCTCCTGCATTTCACATGTTGTCTTTATTCCAAGGTCAGCCCAGGGCAAGGCCATTTAACCGACTGAGAAAATTCTGATGCTGAGCAATGTTCTAGTTAAATAAGAGGCCTTGGGAAGGGATTCTCTTGAAGTCCCTTGTCTCTGTCCGTCTGCATTTCAGTCTCACTAACTGTGGTATCAGGGCAGTGATTGGACTGTGTGTGCTGAACATTGCCAAAGGTCTACACATCTTCCTTCATAGGTCTATTGCTCCCACATTCCCATGAAGGAGAAGATTCCCAATATATGTTTCTTTCAGAGGAAGGAATACCGGAACTCTTAATGTTTTCAATAAACCTTTCTACTAACAAAAGTTACACAGCCGTGGGAATCAGGCAGAGACTGTTACTGCCCTAGGCAAAATCAGAGGTTATCCCCTTGCTTGGATTCATACAACCTCAGTTTCCCATTGCAGTTTTGCTCATGTCTGCCTCAGCTGCTTCTGTGGGTTCTGTAAGGGCTGCAGTCCTAACCCCACTTATGTGGGAGTAAGCTCCATTGAATTCAGTTGGACTTACTTCTGAGTAGACATGGCTAGGATTGCATTGTTAAGGGCACTTCGAGATGAAGGCAATTTAGCAGCACTTTATCATTGCTAATCTGCTTTAAGATGGAAATGGAATAGCAACTTTGCTTCCAAGCTTCTAATATGCTGTGGTCAAGTGGCAGGCTCCCTTTCCCTTGCTTGAAATATCAGAGGTGACAGTGGAGTAGGGTGAGTTATTTTCATTTTAGCCATTATATGTGAGAAAAGATTAAATGCTCCCCACCCCATGAGAAATGGCCAGCTGAACAACCCAGGAAATGGCTAGAGCAATTTAACAAGCTGCAATAGCAGTACGAGAGGACATCTATACCTGAAAAAATTGCACTGCTATTCCACTGAGTTTTGTTTTGTCAGATTTTCTGAACTTGGGGGGGGGGGGGGGGATCCAGAAGCTGAACTGGGAAAACATGAGAGTTGGATGTTTTGTCCCCAATGTTGTTCTTATTTCCCCTAAAAGTAAGTGAATGAAGCCTGGCTATTCCACAGTAAATGCCCAGTGTGGAACCAGGCTAAGAAACAGTCGTTTATTTCACATATCTGTGGTTTGATAAAAGGTGCAGAGGTGTTTGGAAGGTGCTTGTTTCCAAAATCCTGAAGCTTATACTGTACTGAGGTTTATACTGTAAACTGTGATCCTCAGATGAAGTGTGGTATATAAATTTAATAAATACTAATACGTAATAATATTCCTCCTTTTTAAAAAGAGTTTGCTGTGTACACCTTTAAAGCACACTCAAAACACTTTCCCTCAGAGAATTCTGGGTACTATAGTTTGTTAAAAAGTTGCTGGGAAGTGTAACTGTGAGGGGTAAATCTCAGGGCCCGGAATTCTTTGAGGGAAAGAAGATGCTTTGGATGTGCTCTAAAGATACAGTGTGCATACATAGCCTTTTTTTTTTTTGGCTGCGCTATGTGTCCTTCACCAAGTTCCCAGCTGTGTCCTCATAACTCTGTCAACACAAGGACATGGTGATGTAGAGTGATCCATGCAAGAGGTTCCATGTGTTCCATGGCTAAGGTTTTATATGCTCCTGTTGCTGTGCCATGATTAACTCTTGGGTGAGAAACCTTGATCATGAAGGAATCCTAACTTCTGATGATATGGGGTAGGAAAAGTTTGCTGTTGTTTTGGGCTTTTTACTGACTCCACCAGGAGTTTTTGAATTTACAATCCCTACTTTGCTGACACAGCATTAGAACAGGGCAGGGGTTACCTTTGAACAGGCATAGGATTTCATCTGAACACGATTCCATTTTTGCCACACCTCCGGCTCCACCCATTGGAGAGGACTGTTTGATGTAGTGTTCAGTTACATGACTGAGAAAATCTGGGTTCAAATCCCACCTCAGCCATGAAACAAACTGTGACTCTCTCGGCCTGCCCCACCTTGCAGCAGTCTTGTGAGAATAAAAGTTGGAGACACACCGCCCTGAGGAAGGGTGAGGTTAAACTATACCGTAATAAATAACACACCCACCCCTCTGCTCTGGTATTGTGTCACTGCACTCTTCCACTCATGTAACATAGGTAAAGGGTAAAGGGACCCCTGACCATTAGGTCCGGTCGTGGCCGACTCTGGGGTTGCTGCGCTCATCTCGCTTTATTGGCCAAGGGAGCTGGCGTACAGCTTCCAGGTTATGTGGCCAGCATGACTAAGCTGCTTCTGGTGAACCAGAGCAGCGCACGGAAACGCCGTTTACCTTCCTGCCAGAGCGGTACCTATTTATCTACTAGCACTTTGACGTGCTTTCGAACTGCTAGGTTGGCAGGAGCAGGGACTGAGCAACGGGAGCTCACCCCGTCGCGGGGTTTCGAACCGCCGACCTTCTGATCACCAAGTCCTAGGCTCTGTGGTTTAACTCACAGCGCCACCGGTGTCCTCCTCATGTAACATATTGTCATGCAAATGTAGTTTCAATATGCAAGCATCTTTTGTGTTCCACTTTCAAAAGGGAATGTAGCAGTGATCCTGTCTCACCCAAGTGAGTAAAGTATGGAAAGACTGTAGCCCTGTACACATTTAAACAGCCATAGTGTCAGGCTGATAAATGCCTTGGTGTGATGCATTTCCAACAACAAATGTACTTGGCAAGATTAATGCCAAGTACAGCATGGCTGTTTTCTGCTGTGGTCGTGCTCCAAGATACACATCAACCAAGATCTGACCTCTCTGTTGACTGCCTGTGCATTGGGTTGTGGGCTTCCTGGTTAATGATTGCAGGTGCCCCTTCCCTCCATTATGCTAAGGTCATGGTTATTCTTCCACTCCCATTCCTTATGCTGCATTCAAAGCACAAGGTGCCTCCAGGGAGAGGTAAAAGGTCAGAGGGCTGGCATGCCTAATTGCTACAGCCAGCAGAATCTGAGATCTGTGTCCTTGCTGTTTATCTTTAATTTCATCAAGGTTGGCTGAACCAACCTCTAGGCACATACCCATGATTCTTAACATTGTTCAAATTAAAGCCTAGGCCAAAAAGAAAAATAAGTCAGAGGCCCCCTTAGTACTCTCCAAGCACAAAAGGAAAGGCAAAGGTTTTCTCAGCCAAGTGAGCTCTGCTTGTGTGATGAACAAACAGACCTTGTTCTTTCATTACACTTGAGAGTAGCCAGTTTGGCTCATTTCATTCAAAGAATCATACAAAAGCTTGATTAGGTATTTCAAGGGTTCATGTTTCCTCAGACTGCAATGTTCTTCTGAAGGGAACACACAAGGTCTCTGACATTAAGCATTCCCACTGCTGTGTTTGTTTACAACATCACAGCCCATGTTCAGTAACTAGTAAAGCCACCTATTGCACGGGATCCAAGTGTCTAAGACGGACCTCCTCCTCTAACAACATCCTCATTGTCATTACCTCCTCTTGACTATAAGATCCCAGGGTGGATTACAGCAATTAACCTGTCCAACAACAACAACTACAACTACAGTCAGAGACTACTAGGTAGCTGGGAAAGGGAAATTTTGGTCCAGTCCGACCATGAAGCAGAGTGAAGCATCTGCCATAAGCTCTGGGGCCCCTAAACTAGGATGTTCCTAGATGCAGTGGAAGTTGATATCCTGTCACCAGAGTTGAAGTAAGCTGCCAGTTCAGTTGGATTCTGTATGTGGAATGTAAGAGCCCTATCTTGGCCTTTTCCTCAGGCAGCAAAACGACGACCCTGTTGTTTTCACATCCCTTTGTCATGCTCTCCACAGGGAAACCTACTCAGCACCAAACTTTTAGCTGCCAGGTAAAAACCTGCTTATTTTATTTTATTTTTAATAATTTTTTGTTGGTTTTTACACATATTTTCCAATATAACATCCTTTTAAACATCATTTAGAAATTTTTGGCTATCACAGCCTAAGACTTCCTTCAACCTCGACTGATGGTTTTCTAAAGTCTTTCTAATTATGCATTTTGTTACTATAATTATTGCTATAAACTCAAATTTCCAGTACATCTATTCTTAATTCTTTTCACAATAATTTATAAATTACTCCTTACAAAACTTCTTTTAACCCTACAAGCGATGTCAATTGGTAAAAACCTGTTTATTTACCTTAGCTTTTTTGTATATGTTCTGCTGAAGAGAGCACAATTTACCTTAGCTTTTTAAAATGGCTGGCATAACATAGCCTTTCCTCTGCTGCAGCCATACTTAGGTGCCCCATGCCTGCAATTTGCAGTTGGAGGGCAATTCAAATGAGGATGGTGACAAAAGCAAAAGCTAAAGTCCCTTTCCGCACATCATGGTCCTTATGCAGTTTATGCCCTCCCTCATGTACTTTCATCTTCTTTTTCTTTTTTGCATGCCATTTGTTTTTATACCAGCCACATTAGGGTCAAAGGCATTCACATGTCACATTTAATTGGGCCTTGGCTCTTCATATTTTCTCACTGTGTTTTTTTAAGCATCTGGTGTTACGTTATTGTCTTTGGTCTCTTGTTTTTAATTCCAAAATTGGAAGTGGAATATATATATAAATAAATGTGCAGATTCAGGATGTCTTAGGGAAAGCATATAGGATTTTAAAGACAGGTTGATGCTGGCAAATTTGGCATATCCTTTCCTTTCTCTAAGCAAAAGGTAACAGCAGAACCTCCATGATTCTCGAAATTCCCTTTCAGCCACTTTTGCTGTGTCCCTTTACATTGCTCCATGTCAATACCATTCATGTAAGCAGTATTTGCTTTGCTTCAAGATCTGATGGTTTGGATGTTACCCAAGTCATTTGGATAAATGAGGTTGAATTGTATAAGAATCATGGCTGTTTCCAAGCTAAATGTGAGTTTCACATGGCAAAGCATTCTCTCTCTCTCTCTCTCTCTCTCTCTCTCTCTCTCTCATGTTTTTGAGCATTGAAAACCCTCATCAAACCTGCCATTATAAATGAGAAGCTTCACAAATGCAAAATTAGAAGGTTACAAAAATATATCCTGGAACGAGGAAGGAGAGAGTTTGGGTGAGTCTGCCTACACAACATACATTTAAAGCTTAGTTCTTCCCCCAAAGATTCCTGAGAACTGTAGTTTACTCCTCACAATTTGCAGTACCCTTAACAAACTATATGTCGCAGGAGTCCTTTGAGGAAGCCATGGGCTTTAAATATATGGTGTATACTACTGTCCCAACTGAGTGTGCATAGGACTGCAGCCCTGGGTTTTGGGGTTTTTTGTTGCAAGGTTAGAAGGCCAAAGAAAGATGATAAGCTTGGAATTGGTATAAGGAAAGACTGCAGGGGATAGAACTCTACCAGCAAAGATAAGAGATGAAACCACAGATAGGGGATTAAGCAGCAAATTGATCAAGATTCTGCAGAGGAAAAGAGATGTCTTAGATGGATTTAGCTGGATAGTAGGTGGATTTTTAGCATCCAATTCTGAGTTGTAGGAAATGGGACAGTGGCAAAAGAAAGTACATGATGTGTTTGTTTAGAGCACAGACAGATAAATAGAGAGCTTTCATCTAACATGAGGAGGGGGAGACTTTGAAGACAGCTTAAAATGCTTCACTATTTATCCTAATCACAGGGTGAGTCAGTGATAAATTATGTTTATCCAGTCCTGTATTCAGCTTTCTGTAATATGGTGAAAGAGCAGCTGATAATATAGTCATACAGTGGGAGCAGATTCTTACCCCTCTCTCCAAAAAGGGGCGGGTGGGGAGAATTGAGTCAGCCAAAATCATGTAATTATTATCTGAGGTAAGAAAGAGACATCATTTATTCCCAACCAGTTCTTAATGCAAAGTTATACACTGTGTAGAACTGCCCAGTTTTCTCTTAAGAAGCCCGTGCCAACCACTGCTGGGCAAGTGAGGGAACAAATACAAAGGGAATAAGGAACTGAAAAAAATGAAGGTTTAGCTTGACTTGAAAAGTTTGCCATGACAAAAAATGAAGAGAGCTCCTTATCCTTAGGCAGATGAGCTTGAAGATTTCATACAGGTTGAACCTGAATCTGAATTTATACTTAACTAAAGAAAATGCTTATCCAGATGCTAAAGTCCTGAAAGATAATAAAAAATAAAAAAAATTCCTTCCAGTAGCACCTTAGAGACCAACTAAGTTTGTTATCGATATGAGCTTTCATGTGCATGCACAGTGTATCTGGAAGGATTTTTTTATTTTTTATTTTGTTTTGACTACGGCAGACCAACACGGCTAGCTACCTGTATCCTGAAAGATACATAGCTATTCCTAACCGCCCTATGTGTCCATGTTGCAGAGGAAAAGCAGTAGCCATTAAGTGATGGTGTCCAGAAAGAAATAAGAGTAGGATGGTGTTTGAAAGTGGGGGAAGGAAATTGTTTAGTGCACTGTGAATGGTTAAGGCTAAGGCAGCGAATGGACGGCCAGCTTCTGAATTATAATAAAGTTGGAGCCATCTACCAGTAACAGCTTCATTGTTGTGGAACACATGCACTGAGGCATAGCCAGGACGTCCCACACAAAATCCAAAGGAAGAGGTAACATTGGCATGTGGGTTCCCACTCACCCTGTCTCTTCTCCATTTCTGTTGTCTGTTAGTATTTCACAAGACTAATCTAAGATGGCAACCAGAGGAGGGACTTTCCACTGGTGATGCCCTGTTCATGCAATGCCGTGTAAAATTGATATCCTTCATGGAAGCCTCCACTTGGATCAAAGAGCTTCTAGGACTGATTACAATTGGGGGGGGGGGAGCAATGGCTAAAATGTTTTGATTTGAAAGACAGTTAAATTGATCATTTAATCTACTCCTTGATGGTACCTGATGATTGCTTATTTTTATTTGTTTATTACAAATATTGTGCATGTGTGTTTAAATTCTGTTTTCCCTCTGCGGGGTTATTGGGTTGTTTTTGTTTTTATTTTGTGATTTTATATTGTGATTTTATCCTGTGAACAGCCCTGAGACTTACGGGTTATAGGGAGGTATATAAATTCAATAATAAATAAAATAAATAAATAAGCTACTACTGATGTCAGGGAGTCCACCTTGAGTATGACTGACCCATAACAAATACATACATTTTCTCCTCCCCCCCCCACCTTGTATATCCCCATCTTGCCCAGCTGAGTCACTCCTTTTGTTTTAACGATTTAGGATTTTATACTCCAGAATCATTGTCTTCTTGCTCTTCCTTATAAATGCCATGAAGCCCCCTAAGTGGCTTGGGGCAAGTTGCTGCCTATCAGCCTACCCTGCCTCACAGGGTTGTTGTGAGGATAAAAGAGTTAAAGTGTGCATGCCACCTTCAGCTCTTTGGACAAAAGGTGGGATATAAGTGCAATACTAAATTAACTAACTGTAATCCTATCTTGCGGGGTCGAAACATCATCTGAAGTCAAACACAATAAGATCGATATTTATTATATTCCTGCAAAATCTTCTCCTAGTAACCTAGCTGTACTTGCTATTAACCATACTTCTTTTACAACTCATTCTACTGTTTGCAGTTGAAAATGTATTAATTCGATTCTGGGCAATCTTTTCTTTCGCACATTAATTCTGTTGCAAAGACCTGCTGTTATTTCTTGTTTAACATTGCAAAAATGAAACTATATCTGCCTTTTGCTATAACTACAACTCTAGTTCAAGTGATTGTTTCTCATCTTGATTGGGTTAATATTAGGCCTGCTGGTTCCCAACTTTTCATCTTCCCCTTATTTCAGCTTTGCTGCTTGTCTGGGCTGCTGTTCTGCTCATGTGTTATCTCTTTTTTCTTTTCTTATTTTGCTTTACTGGCCCCTTTTTTTCCTTTTTCCATACTTGCTATAAACTCATTTTTACCATTAAGGCCCGTCATGCTCTTGCGCCTTCCTTGATTTCTCCTTGTTGTTCCATCTTGTTCTTCATGCTTTGTTTAATCCTATCTTCAGGCTAAGCCTCCAGCTTTCTATTGTCACTATCTTGTTGTCACTGATCCTGTGGGCCTAAAATGGTCTTTTAATAGATATATTGTACAGGTGCAGTATAAATAAAATGTGGCGACAATCATGAAAACAAGTTTTCATTTCTTTAAAAGTGAAACTGTGGCCAGATAACATTTGCCTCACCTTTATTAAAATTGTGTGGCTATATCTGTTGCTAGATTAAACTGCTTTGAGGAGCAGATCCAGGTTACACATACGAAGTTTTCTTACTCCAGGTCAGCTTATTTATCCATCTAGCCCAGTGTTGTCTGTTCTGACTGACAGCAGCATTCTGGGGTCTAAGGTAGAGGCATTTCCCCTCATTTGATGTTTGATTCTTTTAAGTAGAAATGCCAGGGATGAAACAAGATTTTATGCATGCAAAGCGTATATTCTATCACTGAGTTATAGTCCCTCGCGAATCAATAGACAGGTTGATTATCCAATGCAGTAAGATAAGATAAACTTTAAGTATTGGTAGGAATTGAGGCGGTATTGCAGGCTGTGGAAGACACTTATTCATTCTGCTGTGTTTATTCAACCATGTGAAGAGTGAATCAGTAACAAACTGTACAATCTCGGAAATTCCTTTTGAAAAAGAGACACTTCTGAGCCATTTCAGCAACTGCTTTCTATTTTCACTAGGAACTAAGGAGACATTGATCTCCATTTTGTGACCATTTATCTGCATTTTATGATCACACAATGCAGTTTGTGAACACATAAAATTCAAGTTCCTAAAATTTCCAGGCAGGTTTTGTTTCACCTTCATGACAGTTCTGAAATAGGTTAGATCCATTGAAGTCTAACAATGGTGGTTTTTTTAAAGGGTTTTGTCATCTTAATTGCTTGTTTGTTATATCTACTTCCGTTCTCATGCCTAAGGGATTTTATACTTCATTACAACCCTTTTTAAAGCAGATATATTTTGTGGTAAAGGTAAAGGACCCCCGACAGTTAAGTACAGTCGTAGACGACTCTGGGGTTGCGGCGCTCATCTCGCTTTACAGGTCGAGAGAGCCAGTGTTTGTCCGCAAACAGTTTTTCCAGGTCATGTGGCCAGCATGACTAAGCCGCTTCTGGTGCAATGGAACACCGAAACCAGAGCAGCACACGGAAACGCCATTTACCTTCCCGTTGGAGCGGTACTTATTTATCTACTTGCACTTTTGGTGTGCTTTCGATCTGCTAGGTTGGCAGGAGCTGGGACCGAGCAACAGGAGCTCACCCCATCACAGGGATTTGAACCTCCGACCTTCTGATCAGCAAGCCCAAGAGGCTCACGGGTTTAGACCACAGCGCCACCCTCAGCCTATGTATTTTGTGGTAGTTTCCATTGAACTGGGAGAAGCCACCATTGAGTTGAATCCATACTGAGTCGTGCTTAACCTTAACAGCTTAAAAATATATTAAAACATCAGCCATCAAAAACTTCCCTAACAGGGCTGCCTTCAGATGTCTTCTAAATGTTATATAGTTGTTTATTTCTTTGACATCTGATGGAGGGCATTCCACAGGGCGGGCGCCACTACCGAGAAGGCCCTCTGCTTGGTTCCCTGTAACTTTGCTTCTCACAGTGAGGGAACTGCCAGAAGGCCTCGGAGCTGGACCTCAGTGTCCGGGCTGAACAATGGGGGTGGAGATGCTCCTTCAGGCATACTGGACTGAGGCCGTTTAGGGCTTTAAAGGTCAGCACCAACACTTTCAATTGTGCCCAGAAACATACTGGGAGCCCGTGTAGGTCTTTCAAGACCAGTGTTATGTGGTCTGTCGCCGCTCCCAGTCACCAGTCTAGCTGCCGCATTCTGGATTAGTTGGACTTTCTGGGTCGCCTTCAAAGGTAGCTTCACATAGAGCATGTTTCAGTAGTCCAAGCAGGAGATAACTAGAGCATGCACCACTCTGGTGAGACAGTCCGTGGGCAGATAGGGTCTCAGCCTGCGTACCAGATGGAGCTGGTAGACAGCTGCCCTGGACACAGAATTGACCTGTGCCTCCATGGACAGCTGTGAGTCCAAACTGACTCCCAGGCTGCACATCTGCTCCTTCAGGGGCACAGTTACCCCATTTGGGACCAGGGAGTACCCCACACCTGCCCACCCCGTCTCCCCAAAGCAGTACTTCTGTCTTGTCAGGATTTAACCTCAACCCGGTAGCCGCCATCCATCCTCCAACTGCCTCCAGGCACTCGCACAGGACCTTCACGGCCTTCACTGGTTCCAATTTGAAAGAGAGGTAGAGCTGGGTATCATCTGCATACTGATGAACACCCAGCCCAAGCCTCCTGATTAGATCTCTTGTTATGAAATTCAAGTAATTGCAGGTAGATCCAAGTGGGATATACCCTTGGAATGCTGGCATTGACCAAATGCATCCTTGGAAAAATCAGTGGGCTAACATCTTCACCTATGTATTATTACAGAAGGGTGAGGGAAATGCTGTATAGTCTGAGCACAGGAAGAGGAATCAGATCCTCTCTCCTCTTATCGTTGTTGCTTTCTATAAGTCCTTCGTCTCCTGTATGACTTAGTAGAATAAATCATTAGGGATGTTGACACTTTGCAAGGGTTACTGGGGCTGTAGAGATGACATGTGTGCTGATCTTCCCCTACCATGCAATTATTAAAAGCAGGGTGGCTCCGTTGGGACCATGAGCTGACAACCATGTATATGAATGAAGCATGAGGTTGGTTCAAGTTTTGCTAATATCTAGGGAAGAAATAATTCAACACCTGAAGCCTGTGACGAGCATCACCATGACTGATCTCTCAACCTTTCCAGAATGAACACAGGAAGAGCTCTGCTGGATCACACCAAAGATCTAGCTAAGCCAGAATCCTATTGACTGCATTGGACAACCAGATGAGTCCAGTAAACCAACAAGCAAGACATGTAAGTAACAACCCTTCTCTTCCTATTTTCCCTCTTCTCCTGTAATAATTGGTATTTGGAGGCATAAGTTTGCCCTTGAACCTGCAGGTTCCATTTAGCTTTTCAGCTACTAGCTGTTAACCGGCCTGTTCTCCATTCATTTCACTAGTCTCTGTTTGAAGCCATTTAAGCCAGTGACCCTCACAATATCTAGCGGCAGATGATTTTGTCAGCTAATTATGTGTTGTGCAAATATGAATTTCCATTTGCCATCCTAAGTCTATTGCCAGTCAGGTTCACCAAGTGACCCCAAATTCTTCTGTTATGAGAGAGGAAGAAAAATGATCTCTTTTCACTTTCTACACACTGCACACTTTTTTTTACAAACCTCTTATCAGTTATTATTGTTGTTTTATTGATTTATCCCCTGCCTTTTTCCATGACGGACTCAAGGCGGCTTATAGATAAATAGAAACAGCCAAAAATATTTGGGAGGGGGAACAATCATTTAAAAACAATTGAATAGAATTAAAACTATATATAACTATAAAATATCTATTAAAAACACACAGGTAGTTACAATCAAAACAGCACGGCACCAGCCCTTTCTTTAAAAGTGGTCAGTTCCCCAAAGCCTGTTGAAATAAGAAGGACCTGCCAGCAGAAGGACAAGGAGGGAGCCAGTCTAACTTCTCTAGGGAAGGAGTTCCAAAATTTGGGAGCCACCACTGAGAAGGCCCTCTCCTGCTTTGACAGTTGGTATCCTTTTAGGTTAGAATAGGGCTGCTTTCTTAAATCAGGTGGTTTCAACTGGCAGCACACTGGTAATTCAACTCACACCACCAGATGCATTCATGTAGCACTGGTGGAAAAGAAACAGCACCAGCGACAGCTAGCAGTGCTTATTTGTTACTATTTTTTCCACCAACTGAATGAGCTACTGTAACTGCAGAATACTTAATGCTATGCTGCTTTGTGGCACTTCCAAAAAACAACAACCATACAAATAATCCTGGTGCACTCTGCCCTTGTAGGTAAGCCTAACAACTCCATAAAAGCCATATATTTTCCAAAATTAGTAATCACTTATTGGAGAGGATGATTATAAAGGTCTTTATTGATGGATGAAGAAGTGGCACAGCTACTTTTAGATAAATTGTCCCTTCATTCTGTTGCCAAAAACGTCACTAATATTTTATTATAAAATACCTGGTTTGTGTGGACTCCTGAGATAACATAGTATATTAAGAACTTGACAAATGAAAAGTCTTTCCCATATGCCACAGTTTGTCATTAGTGGCATTAGTAATTATTATCATGGATGGTAACATAAGCACACACTTCATGTAGTCCAACAGTCATAGAGGCATGCTGAAAGCTTGAAAAAGTACTGGTATTAATTAAACTTGGATGACTACGTTATGTACTGCCATTTTCCCTCCACATGATTGACACCTGTGTTCACCAGAAAGACTGTCCAAGGACCACAGCTGATATATTATTACTGAAAAGAATAGCTATCATGATTAATCACATAGATGAATAACAATGATGAAATATCACCAGATAAAATGTGGTTATCATAGCATGTGTGAAATTAAAGTAGTTGACTTGAAGTTAACAATTTATGTACTTCCTTTGGGTGTTCAGTGTTACATTATTATTATTTTTAAAGTACTCTCCCTTTTCTGTAATACAACATTGGCTTTTCTTCCATAAAGAGGTCAAAATGTATTGCTCAGCCCACTTTATACAATGGGAGCAATTGTCAAGGTGTTCACAGTACACTATTGCTCCTGACTGTGAGGTGTTTTGAAAGACCAAAAGATATCTGGGAAACCAGGTAGGAAAGGGTAGCTAATAAACTTCAAGAAAAGAGCTGTGGCTCAGTGTTTAAGACAAAAAAAAATGTTTTGCATGCAGAAGGTCACAGGTTCAAGCCCCAGTGAGGAAATAGACATGGCTGAGTCCTTGAGAGCTCCAATATTTATAGTACTACAATCCTCTGGTTTGATATAAGGTGGCTGCATATTTCCATAGTATGGGAGTTCAGAGATATGAAAATCCAAGTGACAGATCATAGGCTGCCTCTAGTAAGTTCAGTTATATCATACTTATTGCCCACTAGACAAGAAATAGTTGGAATTAACATTTTAAAAGGGCTACATGGGTAGCTCATTGGCTGACCCTGCACCAGTCATTCTCTTTTGGTTCGCTTAACCTGCATCAAAGTGTTGATGTAACAAAATGGTGGAAGAGGAAAGAACCTTATATGCCGCCTTCAGCACCTTGGAGGTAGGGTGGTATAAAAATTGGGAAATTTCCAGAATCGTTATATTCATATGCAAATTTAAACAAATGTAATTGATTAAGGCTCAAATCTTAACTCTGCTTAATAGAGAATAAGTGTCATTGAAGACAGTGGGACATATCTGAGTAGACTTGCCCTGCACAATTTCTTTGATTAAGCAACTAAGATAATTGATGACAGCCCTGATTATTTTCTTCTTTCTTTTCTGTCAAACTTTAGTTCCTAAGATCTTGGGAAGAGGGACCTTTTTTGCTTTAACGTATGGTATAAAACAAGGATAGGGAACCTGTGGCCCTCCAGATGTTGTTGGACTTCAACTCCCATCATCCCATTGGCTGTGCTGGCTGGGGCACATGGGAGTTGGGAGTCTAACTACAGGTTTCCATCCCTGCTATGTAGCAGGCACCTGGATGCCTGGTGACCCACCAGCCCTACTAATTCTGCTATGTGCAGTTCAGCTTGAAGTTTTGTATTTAGGAAGTCCTGATGCTGCTCAGGGACACAACACATGCCTTGCATGCAAAAGGTCCCATATTCAGTGCCCAGCATCTCTAGGTAGGGCTAGGAAAGAGCTGAAACCTTGAACAGTCACTATCAGTCTGTGTGCAAACAATGTTTATTTCAGAAATGTATTTCCCATTTTCTCCTCCTAGAGGAGCCACTCAGAGCAACTTACGAAATATAAAAACAAGCACAAAAATAAAAACAAGAATTCAACATTAGAACAAATTACCAACAACAAACAAGACTAAAAGCATCATCAGAGAACACAGGGGCTAGAGCTAAAAGCAAGCAAGCAGGCAAGCAAGATACAGCAGAGTCAAAGGCTTCAAAGGCTGGCAGAGCACAAGAGAAAAATAAGCTAATTTCTTAAGGCAGGGAATTCAATGTGCAGGGTGCTGCTATAGAGAAAGCCCTTTCATGCATTGCCACCCCACCAACTGTAACTCAGAAAGCAAATGGATGACACAACAGGGCTATGTTCTCTGAATACTGGTTGCTGGGAAATCACAAGCAGGGAGAGCAAGGTTGTGCTAAGGTCCTGCTTGTGGGCTTCCCACAGGCATCTGGTAGCCATTGTGAGAACAGAATGCTGGACTGTATGAGCTTGATCCAGCAGGCCTTTTATAAGTGACACATTCACCTTGGAGCAGACAGTCTTTCAAGTAGCTTGGGCTGAAGCTATTTAGGAATTCAAAGGTAATTACTGAGCCAGGTGGACCAGTGGTCTGACCCAGTATAAGGCAGCTTCCTATGTAACACCAGCGTTGGCTTTTTTAATTTACAAAAGGAAACTTTTAAAAGTTGTACAATATATTATATGGTTATCCAAAGGAACTCACAGCTATACATCTCCTTCCTGTCCCCATTTTATCACCACAACAATCTTGTGAGGTTAGGCTGAGATAAAAGGAGGTTCCAACAACCCCACCCCCTGTATTCAAGGATTGTGTGAGGTGGGGTTGTGGGGCAACGCAGGCTAGTCTCATCACTACCACACCCAGCAGCCGTGCCCCTTCCCTGCCACCCACACATTTGGCATGCATGCACATAGAGATCCTTCATGCAAACATTGTGTGTGCACACATATAACCTGGCATGTGCCCCACAACCCACTTACACTTTCCTTGAACGCATGGCTTCCCACACCCCACCACTACCAACAGCACCATATAAACTCCCCAATAGTGGCTGGCCAAATCCTGTGAGCTCCCTGGCTGGATTAGGCGGCCTTGTCTAATATTTTAACCATTTAAGAATGCTGGCCTCATTTTTATGCTTAGGACATGTTTGCTTGCCTATGTACCCCTTCCAACGGAAGCAGTTTTACAATCCCCCCTCCCTTTTCTTAAAAACATATGGGTGACCACTAGTTTTCACAGGAGCACCACTCGTTTTAGGAGAGTTGTGCTTTAAATATATTTTTTTCTTGAATTACTCTGAGGCCAGCTATCCTGGAGGGGGGGCTGTTTGCTCTCCCTGCCTCCTTCCACCACGTGCCCCCAGTTAAGTGCGTCCTTTGACGTTGCTGAAGCAGGTAAGTGAGGCAATGGCTTGCTGCGCTCCAGTCACGGTTATTTTCTTTCACAGTAACCTCCATTAACTTATTCGCCGCCACCCCCCTCCCAAAAAACCCGACTTTGACGTATTCCTCCTGGATACTGAGTGACCAATCAAGCAGTGACAGAGGAGGGAATGTAGCCAATGGGTCATCGTTGCTACCTGTGGGCAATATTTTTAGCTCAAAGGGAATTAAAAGAAGGGCGGCGAGAAGATGAGAAGAAGGGAGAGAAAACAAAAGGAAGCATTTTGCGCATACAACTGTAACGTTTTTGCGTACGTTTTATTATAAAAAAAACCCAGTAAGTTACGTATTACCGTGAAAAACAAAAGAGAGGCATCTATGCGCATAAAGGCAAAGAAGGTTTCAAATATGGAATCGGACACAAACGCAGAAATCCGGTTGCTTTTCTTCCAGTCTTGTTGGCGACGCTCGCACGATTCATAACCCCCACCCACCACCCCGGCCTCGCCTGGTTTTATGTGCTTTGCCTGGACGCTGCACAGCCCCATAAGTCCCCCATGCAGCACTTCAGGCTGATTTCAGTCATCTTCGTGGAGAAAGAAACCAACGCAGTTCCTTCCCTTCTTGTGAAGATGGCAAAGCTCCACAGGGAAGGGCTGCCTGGCAAACCGCAGAGATCCTGCCTGGTTCAACAAAGCCTCGCCGTCGCTACTACGGAAACCGGACCCCGCAAGTCCCTTCGCTGTTCCTCCCTTTGAGTGGCAGATTCCCGCGCCCAATGACTTTCTCTTCCTTCTCCCAGCTCCAACCAACGCAGTAAGACTGGAAAGATTGCGCTTTGCCTCCGCCTATAGAAAAGGGCAAAATTGCAAAGCGACGTTTCCCTCCTCACCCACCCCCTCGTTTGCTTTACCTGCAAGGCCTCCCCCTCCGCTTCCTTTCATCTCTCTGCTTTAACTTCTCTTCTCCCGCTTCCTTTGCATTGCTTTTTTCGTCCCTAATAATAATTTTTAAAAACCCAGGGACTACCAGGAGCAGCGCAGACGCATGCGTTTCAGCAGCGGGGTGGGGTGTGCGAGATTGGCACGCAGCCTGGTCACCGGTGAGTGACCAGCTTGGGAACCAATGATAAGAGGAAAGGGGGCGGGGATTAGAATTGGTGGATCTGAGATTACTCAGCCGCTGCTCTGTGGTAGGAAGCTTGCCCACCCAATGCCCCCCTCCCGCTTTCACTGTTTATACGTCAAAAAGAGCTAGAGATGAAGGTAACTCCCACCACCACAAATATCCCCGAGTTTTCCTCCTTTTTTGCCATCCCAGATCACCATCATCATCAACAATTAACTAGGCATGCTGGGTGCCTATTACCTTCATCATCATCATCTGACACTTTAGAAGTGTTACAATCAAGCGGTATATAAATAAGCAACACTAAATTATTTGCCACGCTGGATACTTATTCCCTTCAACATCATCATCATATGACGGTTTTAAGAGTTGTTACTACAATCAAGCGGTATGTAAATAATGAACACTAATTATTTGCCACGCTGGGTACTTAAATCCCATCTTTTAAAATTCCTTCGCAAGATCCAAAGGCCAGAACTTGAATATATCCAACACAATTTTTCCAAAACAACACCAAAACCTTTGTGTTTTTCTATTAGTGTTCGTTGCGGTTGGTGTCTCGCTAGTAAAAATGTATGTCGCTATGACTGACATGGGTGTGTTTAAAGGGAGTGTATTATGCTATAGTGTATGTTATGTGAGGCAGTGCATCGCTGCGCCCATTGAGGTACACTGCACCACCCGCGGGGATCAGTCCATCCAGTTTTAGGGTAGGATGGAAGACAAATTAAAGGAGTGCATTTAGGAGCACTATTTGGGTGAGGATAAAACTGCTGCCTCCCTTTTGGGAACTCAGCCCGTGAAATTCAAACAACTTCCCCGCCACATAGCCCTGCCTTGGGATTTGTTTGTTTGACAGGTTTCTGAGTATGACGATGTGTTAGGAGCTGTGCTGGGTTTTCTTTTTTAACCCAATATAGATAGTAACTATAGCAACTATCGATTCAAATCACACCCTCGCTTTTTGATAAGCCAGGTTGTGGTTTTTTTTTAAAGGCGTTGTGCCTTAGGTTTAGGCTCTTCTCAATTACAGAGGACTATTTAATGGTCTGTATCAGTGGTCAAGGCTAGAGACAGGGAAAGAACGCAGGCATTCAGAGTACAGTCGCGTTTCTTTGGACCCACGCTGATACTTTTGAAGAATCAGGAATTTTAAAGCAACGCAAAAGCCTGCAAAACCTGCTTTGCCAAAGACAAAAGGTGTCAGCAGCAATCTCCATTTCCATTTGCCTTCATTCCGGGGAGGGGGCACCGGGACCCCCTGACTGGATGTAGAAGCATTGAGTTTGCCTGGGATATATTCTTCGGGAATAATTACGGGCGGAGAAATCCCATCCCTGGTTAAACCAGGTAAGTCTAATGCTAGCATTGCTTTCTATCAAAGGTATGTCAGTGAATTAATTCTCCTCCCAAAAGGGAAGAAGCGCGAGTGCTCCCTGCCCGTGTAGTTAGTGTCGGGTCACCTTAGATAGGAGGAGGCTGAGGAGCTGTTGGCCTTTGATGCCTCGCAATTCTCCCTTTCAGGTTCGGGCACATTTTTCCCCTCGATGACGTCAAAATCAAGGAGCATCCTGGGAAACGTAGTTTCGTTCTTCCTGAAAGGGAGGGAGGGGGTGTGATCAAAGGAGAGTGACGTAGACGTTTGACGTAACCGCAAGCCTCGCAGCAGCAGGGGGTGGGGATGAGGGAAGGCGTGAGCGTAGCCGTAGAGAGAGCCCGTTTCCCATTGGCTCCTGAGAGGAAAGAGGGGGGGGTAGAGAAGGGGAGGGGGAGGCACAGAAAGCAAGATGGCGATGAGCAGAATATATCAATACACTAAAGATGTGTGCATAAGAAGGGTGGGAGGGGGACCCGGAGCGGACGTATAGGCAGGGGAGGAGCATCTGCAAAGATGGGGAAGGAGGAGGCGGTGGCAGCAGCAGAGGACGACGCTGTTGGCAGGAGAGTTAAAGGAAAAGCAAACAGCAGAAGAAATGTGGGAAGAGGAGGGAACAGCTGCCAGAGGAGAAAGAGGGAAGCCTGAGGACGACGGCAGAAGGGAGAAAAGAAAAGGCGAGGCGTAACTCAGACCTCGAATGCAATGCAGAGCTACGTCACTGCCGAAATATTAAACAGAATAGAACAACTGGGCGGGGAGGGGGAAATGTGTGTCGCAAAGTGAAACCTACAGCAGAGAGACATGCGGAGGGCACTCTTAGTCTGGGGGTTGGGAGTGATCTGTGAGTCCACCTGGAGAAGGGAAAAGGGCAACGATAGGAACCCTCTGCTGGGGGGAGAGCGAAGACAAGGGGAGGGGGAAGTGGGAATGTGATGGGACCGAGGGGTTAGGAGCAGGTGGGGGAACAGAGGTGGGTGGGGACTGTGCCTTATTGGCAAGCCCAATGCCCCAATCAGGAGCAGCGCCCGGGACAGGGGACGGCCGATTGGTAGGTGGGTGGGTGGGGCCAGAGAGAGCTGTGGGCGGAGAGCGGGTGGGCGTAGCCACACGGGATGAAGGGGCGGGGCAAGGGAAGGCATATATAGAGGAGCGGCGAGCGCTCGGGCGCTACAAGAAGGCGTCTAGCAGCTGCTGAGGCGGAGCGCGCTGTCTCTCTCGTCCCGGGGTGTGAGAAGCGCCATCCTCCCTTTTTCTCCCCCCACCCTTTCCTAGCGCTCTTCCTGGGGTTATGGGGCTTCGGTACTGAGCTCCTCCCTCCTTTCCTTCAACCCCAACCCCCGGGACTGCCACCGGGATTTGTTTGCACTATTCACATCACCTTCTTCCCCCACTCACCCCGGGTGAGTATCTCTCCCTCCCTCCTTCCTTCCGTGTGGGGCGAGCGGTGGGGAGCTGCTGCTTCTGTCAAGACCCGGCTGTGAGGGAGGAGGTGGAGGTCGGCGACTTGCCATAGGCCGGCGGGGCTTGGAGGGACGACAGCGGCCGAGAAGATAGATTCGGGGGGGTGGAGGAGGGCGACTTACCGCACCCTCGCCTGGTCGCCCAGCCCCATAGAGCAGGGCCGGCGGTGTGCGTGAGGGGTGGCGGTGGGGGGCTTTTGTGCCAGCGCCTCTGGAGGAGGAGAGACTGAAGAGTTGGCGCAGCTCGACTGGGAGGAGGGGAGTATTGGGGGGGGGGGGAGAGGCTGGGGGAGCCTTCGTGGGGCCGCCCCACGGAGGTCGGCGAAGGGGGCGTCGGACCAGACCTGGCTGGCTGGCGTTGCTGGTGCGGAGGCAGAGGGAGGGTGTTGGCAGAAGGGCTGACAGGGCAGCGCCGGCTGAGGGTGTTGACACAGCCCTGCAGAGGGAGGCGGGGAAGCGAGCGAGCGAGAGGCGCTGGCAGGCGCAGCCCCTCCGAGGCAGCGGCTGGGGAAAGGGGGCTGGCGGGGGGGGGGCGTCGGTGGCACAAGGCAGCCTCGTACAGCAACCGTGTGTCTCTGGAAGGGGGGGAGGATTCGGGTGCCAAGTGTGTGGGGGGTTGTTGTTGGTTGGCACAGCTTTTCTCCCCCCACCCCACCCCCCAATCCCGCCGTGGCTGGGGAGGGAGAGGCTGCTTAGGTTGTCTGGCACAGCCCCTCCTCTGGGGGTGGGGGGAGGAGGCGGGGGAGGAGGCAGAAGTGTTGGGACGGCCCTCTTGAAGGTTGGCGGGGGAGGGAGGGGAGGCGCAAGTGTAGTTGGCACAGCCTGTTCGGGGAGGGGAGTGCAGTTGGAGAGGGGGGGTGGGGTGGGGAGAAGGGGGTCGGCATAATCCCACCCAGAAAAGACATTGTTTGGGGGGTGATGGGGATTCAATGCATTGGCAGCAGTCTTAAGATGGATGTGGTGGTTGTGAGGCTGTGGTGGCAAGGGCTGAGAGAGAGAAGGTAGATTATAGTATGGTGCTGAGAGAAACACACCAGCTATAACTGGAGGGGGGGCCCTTTGGGCAGGGAGCCTGTCTTTACAGAGTAGAGATCCAGACAATACCAGGTCGGAATGGGAGAGCGATTATAAGGCGATCTTGCCCATATCTGTTCCTACATATGTTCGATCAGGTTGAAAACTCACTTTTAAAGGTAGTGGTTGCCCTTCTGGCTCAAAATCTTGTTCCTAGCACAAGGAGATGAGAGGGAAGGCCACTGGGAGTGACACAGTGGAGAACTGGGCCTGGCTTGACCAGGGGAGAGAGGACTTGGCCAATCATCTTGCTTTTCATAGAAAGCACTTTTTCTCCTGCTGCTGGAGCTCCAAGAGCTGTGAGCAGAAATCTAATGAGACCCAACTGCCTGGTTATGTAACGCCCATATACCCCGCTTAAAAGTTCCACCTTTTCCGCTCTTGTCTCCAATTACTTGACTAACGTAATTAACATATATAATTAATTTTAAAAGGTTCTTTTTTAAAAGCTAGAAAACATTTGAACTGTTGCAGGTTGTTTTGTTTAATCAGGTCTTTGTGCCAGGGAAAGGATGCCAATTTAATTTCTGTTCTTCTTGAAAGGGTAATATATTTCCTACGTGCAGGGGTGGTTAAACAGATGGATTAATAAATCATTTTGTATGTTCGATGTAGCTAGTCCAATCAGATCATCTGTACTTTTATATGTTGCATTTGTAAATATCTTCTGTTTGCCCTTGATCTTTCATTATCCCCACCCAGTGCTGATCCAGCAATCGTTTAAAGGTCGCCTTATCGTACAGCTGGTAGTTCTCTTATCATGTAAAGAGGGCAAAAGGAAAGGGAAATGTCTTTAAAAGCTGGGTTAACCTCTGAAAGCTAATTATTTAGGGCAAGGAAATAGAATCTACTCATTATGAGTGCATTTTTGCTTTCTAGCTTATGAACTTACTAGATTTCAAAACTACTGTTGCGATGCAATGCAGTGCAGTTGAAAAACAATGTTAATGAGTAAACATAACTTTATTAAATTTTGTAGTAACTTTTTAAAGATAGAAACCTTGTCTTTACAGGCTTTTAATCTGAGCAGTATGATTTTTCAGTAGTATGTTAACGTTATTGATTTAGCATTGTATTTTGTATTACAATTTATTATTAACTCTATAGAGCTGCTACATTGATTTCATTATAAACGAGAATACCATCTATGTAAGGAATTTGGCTAACAGCTTTTTCAATTTTCCCAGTACACTGAAGATTTTAATACATTCTCTTTATAGTGTAATGTATTCATAATTAAAAATTGGTTGTCTGGTAAGGATGGACTTCTTACTTGATACCTCATAATGAACTTCATGTGTGACTATTGTAATAAAATTATAATTCTGGAATTTTATGTAGATTTTTTTTTTAAGTATCAAAATATAGGAATTACTTCTCTTTTCTTTGAGCTCAAGCAATTTTGAAATTCTACCAGTATTGAAAACTACATGTTACACTCCAAACTAAGAGTTTTATAGCCTCAAAATGAGGAATTCCTTTTTAGTCTATTAGCATTATTTTCAAATATCTTAATGTTATGGCTGGCTTCTGTCAGTCACCAAAACTATAGGTGGTAGCAGAAACATTTACAGGACAACTACCACTGTTTAGTTTATGTCCTAGACTCTTGCTCTTCTCTCCACATTACTTAAGTACCTGAGCTGCAAACTCAGAACTTGAAATGCATCCATGGTGATCTTGCATTTGTTCTCTGTGTATTTAATCTGCTTAGCTTTTAAGTTGCATATACAGTGCCAGTGTGTTGCAAATGTCTGTAGTTGGGAAATATAACCTATTTTAGGGAAAGTGTGATGCTAAAATAAGAGGCCTAGTTGACTTGCTTGTGCACTTTCCTTATTTGGATCTTTGCTTTTGTTTTTCTTAAAGGAACAACACTACACAAGGTGAAGAATAATAATCTTCTAGAATCAGCACTTTGAACAAATTTTTGCTTTCCTGTGGTATTTTGAACATTTCTCCCATTCTTTGTGGTTTGAAACGGAGACTTTGTAATTCTGTGTTGTAGCAGCTATGCAGCTTGAAATACAAGTAGCACTCAATTTCATTATTTCGTATTTGTACAATAAGCTTCCCAGACGACGTGTGAACATTTTTGGTGAAGAGCTGGAAAGACTACTCAAGAAGAAGTATGAAGGGCATTGGTATCCAGAAAAGCCATACAAAGGATCAGGGTTTAGATGTATACATGTAGGGGAGAAAGTGGACCCAGTTATTGAACAAGCATCCAAAGAGAGTGGTTTGGACATTGATGATGTTCGTGGCAACCTGCCTCAGGATCTTAGTGTCTGGATTGACCCGTTTGAAGTTTCATACCAAATTGGTGAAAAGGGACCAGTGAAAGTGCTTTATGTGGATGATTCCAATGAAAATGGATGTGAATTGGATAAGGAAATCAAGAATAGCTTTAACCCAGAGGCCCAGGTGTTCATGCCAATTAGTGACCCAGCATCTTCTGTCTCGAGTTCTCCTTCGCCTCCCTTTGGTCACTCTGCTACTGTGAGCCCAACCTTCATGCCCCGTTCCACCCAGCCTTTAACGTTCACCACTGCCACATTTGCTGCCACCAAGTTTGGCTCAACCAAAATGAAGAACAGCAGCCGCACCAACAAGGTCGCCCGCACTTCTCCCACTAACCTTGGCTTAAATGTCAACGATCTGCTGAAACAGAAAGCTCTTTCCTCCTCCATGCACTCTCTCTATGGTCTTGGCCTAGGTAGCCAGCAGGTTCCACAACAGCAGCAACCACCACAACAGCAGCAGAAAACGTCTGCTCTTTCTCCTAATGCAAAGGAGTTCATTTTCCCCAATGTACAGGGCCAAGGTAGTACAAACAACCTATTCCCTGGCGACAGTCCCCTTAACCTTAGCCCTCTCCAGTACAGTAATGCCTTTGATATGTTTGCGGCCTATGGAGGTCTAAATGAGAAGTCTTTTGTGGATGGCTTGAATTTCAGCTTAAATAGCATGCAGTACTCTAACCAGCAATTCCAGCCTGTTATGGCTAACTAAAACAAAATACAAATCATATTGTACAAGTTGAAATGCACGTACCCAAGGGTGTATCTTTTCCACCTCTTGAGTTTTTTTAAAAAAAGCTTGTAGTATGAATACATTCAAGCTTGGTTAGATGAGGACAACATGCATCATTTTTTCATTTGCCAACCAAGCACAAAGTTATTTTTTACTGACTGTACATTAAATATACTCGAGATATGGCCTCTTACAGTATTTAAGATATAGCAAGGACATGGCTGATTTTTTATATATATAAAAAATTGGCACTAATAAGTGGGTTTATTGGTCTTTTCTAATTGTATAATTTAATTTAGTACAAAGTTTGTAAAATATCAGAGTATATATTGTTTCTACAACATGGTATTGCATTTTTATCTTTTTACTACAGTGATCTGTGACAACTGCAGCAGCTTCATGTTGTATTTTTTTTACTGAAATTATAAAATTCATCTTAAAAAACATCAATTCTAAAAAGTGTGCAAAATATTCCTTAAGCGGTGGAATTCAAATTGTATGGAATACTTTTTTCCAAGAAAGAAACACAAATTGTATTTTCTGTTAAAAAGTTTAAAGATTTTTTGCTATATATTATGGAAAAAAATGTAATCGTAAATATTAATTTTGTACCTACATTGTGCAATACTTGAAAAAGGTATAAAAGTATTTTGAGTCAGTGTCTTATGTTAAAGAGAGGGACTGAAATAGTTTATATTAAGTTTGTATTAAAATTCTTTAAAATTCAACTGGTGTTGTGGATTTTTTAAATGGTCAAATAACATTGCAGTGTTAATGCTGGGTAGCAGCCTTTATTAACATGGATCTTATAATATAAAGCAGTCTGCTGTGTTGATGCAAGCTGATAATTTTCTGTGCTACTTACTATTCTAACACAGTGTGCTGTTGTATTAAGTTTATACTTCATCAACTAATTTTCATCCTAAAGCTCTTCCTATATGAATCCCCTTTCCATACTGCAATCAGTTAGCGTTAAAACATTTATTCCTAAACAGTGAAAGCTCTATATTATTTAATGCTGGATTTCTGAGAATAGTTTATTAAATCTATAGAGAATTGGGGAGGGGTTATAATGAAACTCATGTGAATCCAATCAGTTTTTTTAATCTTGTGTTACAACTTTAGAGCTCAGAAAGCTACCTGAAAACATGCTTTTTAAGGAAAACCAGTTCTATAAATATATTTCACCATTGTTTGATCCATTCTGTTCTGATAAATATTGCAAGATAGAAATTGTAAAATATCATTTAATGGGTATTTGAAGAAACACACTCCCCCACTCCTTCCCCACCCCAAATAATAAGAAAAGGTGGTTTGTAGAGGCTAGTGAAATTTACACAGGCAGCTTAACACATAAAGTTAGTTCTGCAGTTGAATTTCTCTGGAGCCTGTTTGAAAAGTAAAATATGGAGCAAGATAGCAGCTGTGGTTTTCCAAAGCCTGACAACTAATTTGACTGACATTTTCTTGCCCCATATTGTCATTCTTGCATCACACAATCCAGGGTCAGTTTTGTAGTATGTGTATATATAATTAAGTTCTGGTGTTCTGCAGGCTCCATTGAAATAAATGCCTTGAGTCATCACTGCTCCTGGTTTTAAGTTGGGATGGGGGTGGGTGTTTCCAAGTTCTTGGAACAGAATCACGCATGCTGCTTAGCACCATTGTACACTTTGTTTTGGGGAGGCTGGAATCAGGCTGTGGAGGAAAATAAGGCCAGCAAGAGTAGGAAGACTGAATCCTGACATAGATTTTACTTTCTGTGTGTGCTAAAGTTCAATAGCTGTAATAGGGCTTGGGATTTTTGTCCCTTTATCACTCCTCCTATCTGGTCCGCTTGTATCGACCTCAGGATCTGCTTCACCTTGACATCCAGCAAATTGTACTGAATGTATAAAGCAACTTTGTCAGATCAGATCTGGCATAGCATTGTCTACTTTCACAGGGCATAGCTTTCACACAAGAATCTTCCAAATCCTGCTACCAGAGATTATGCTGCATATGCCATGGATGAAGCTGTGGCCATCTTCCTGTGTGATAATTATGTGCCTTTCTGCACTCCCATTAAGCTGCTCCCATTTGCCCACTAAAAGCAACACGGTAATATAAATGATGGAGCTCTCTGTTAGTGTTTAAATTATTAACTGAACAATGCAGTTATTGTTCAATTGAAGTTAATGTCCCAGGAATTAAGGTCAGACTCCTTTCAATTTGCCATATAGCACCAAGATCACTATCAGCTTAACAAACTTCCATGACACAGATAATGACACGATTGGATAATGTGTTCATATAATCAAGGTACAAGATATGCACATGCAACCTAGTTGAGCTAACACAAAAGTAGGGTTGAATTGCATCTTTTGGAGTAGGTTTTTTTTTTTTATTCACCCTCTTAAAACTGAAGGCATTGTTCTAACTGATGTACTTAATTCTGTCCAGATCCATACCATACATTTATAGCACATGACAGTTCCCAGGATTTTTCAGGGCAAACCATTTCTCCCCCAGAGCTACAGTTCCCAGCACCTTAAACAAACTACAAGTCCCAGGATTCTTTGAAGTTTTGTATTTTAAATGTACATTGGAGGTAGTGTGGATCTGGTTGGAAGAAAGACTGCAGATAAGGATGGGCAGTTTTGATGAATGCCTTTATTTTTCTCCTAAAGACGAACCCTTGGTGTATTATTTATGGCTGCAAAGTGGTCTAGAAATCCTTTAATAAATAAATGCTCAAATAAAAAAGAAAAGGTTTGAGTATTTAGGGCTTGCATTGTGAGTTTATTGTAGGTCAATGCAGAATTGAAGTGTGACTAATCACCAAGACACTATGATGATTACATATTAGATTCAACATAGGTACTACTAGGTTTTATGTTTTTGCTTAGGAAGAAATGCAGGGTTTCTGCTTAACCCAAGTAAGGTTCAGAGTAGTAGGAGGAGGAGGAGTATTTATATTCTGCTTATATACCACAATGGCTTGTAAGTGATTTACAACTATAAAATCAATGCATAATTAAAATACACAAAAACAGTTCCATTGGAATGTTAGAGGAGATGTGTGTCACGCAAGTTCCTTTTCCTCATTTTCTTTTGTCATTTGTGCAGTTGCATTAGTGTGTGTGTGTCCTTGCAATGTTATGCAATTGCACATTATTCAGATATTTTTCAGTTGGACCCATGACTTCTGGGCAAAATCTTTTCCAATATAGGTAGAAAATAAAATTAGGCTGAAATCAGGACCAGCCAATGCAATGTCAAGTTGGCCACTGCTGTTTGAACTTGAAGGATGTGCTCATAATTTGGCATCAAATAATAATTTGGAATCCAATAGAGAAGTGGAACATGCCTTCCTTAGCCTACACGTATTGTATCAGGAAAGTACTGTATAGTACTGTTGATTTCATCAGGACTTGATTTGTAATATGTTTCCACTTAATGCATTTGAGAACTTATGTCAAAATGTACTCTGCGCACCAGAAAGTGCTCACTTTTGAGATGGGAAATGTCAAATTGAATCATGCATTGCAAAATTATGCGACTTACCTGACCAGATTACTAAATCAAATGTCACTGTGGCTGCAAGTCCTGAATCTAATTACATTGCCTATGAGGTGGAACACTGCTGTATCCCTGTAATTTTTAAACAATGGCCTCATCTCATGAACAGTCTGCATTTCTCTCTCTGTGCATATTGTATCATTGGCAGAAAATAATACAGTGGTACCTCGCAAGACGAAAAACTCGCAAGACAAAAGAGTTTTTCGTTTTTTGAGTTGCTTCGCAAGACGAATTTCCCTATGGGCTTGCTTCGCAAGACGAAAAACGAAAACGTCTTGCAAGTTTGTTTCCTTTTTCTTAAAACCGTTAATACCCAGGGTGACTTCGAGGAGCAACTCATAGCACGCGGTGTGGTAGCCTTTTTTGAGGTTTTTGAAGACTTTGGTGATTTTGAAGACTTTGGGAAACCGTGCTTTGCAAGACGAAAAATTCGCAAGACGAAAAAACTCGCAGAACGAATTAATTTCGTCTTGCGAGGCACCACTGTAATAATGTGCTTACTAATTTTGTGTTATATCAATCTCAATGTAATCTCAGGACTGCAGTCTTAAGCACACTGATCATGGACAGGGAGCAAATCCCACTGAACTCAAAGACAAGCTCAGGATTGTGCAGTATACGGCTGAGTTTCTCTTACAGCCTCCATCACTGCCATTTGGCTCTGAAATGTAGTTACGAAGATTAGTGGGAGAGAAATTGTAACTTGTGTTTCAAAAACTGTATAGCAGTACAGAGTATTTGGCTACTTAGGCTGCGCATGCATCATCTCTGACACTGCTCAAAGTAAGCAGGTCACTTTTTTGTACATACAGTGGTACCTCGGGTTACATACACTTTAGGTTACATACGCTTCAGGCTACAGACTCCGCTAACCCAGAAATAGTGCTTCAGGTTAAGAACTTTGCTTCAGGATGAGAACAGAAATCATGCTCCGGCGGTGCGGCAACAGCAGGAGGCCCCATTAGCTAAAGTGGTGCTTCAGGTTAAAAACAGTTTCAGGTTAAGTATGGACCTCCGGAACGAATTAAGTACTTAACCCGAGGTACCACTGTAATTGCATTTTATAGGTTTTTAGCAAGCTGTTTTAAAACAGAATCTTAGAATGGTAGAGTTGGAATGGGACCATGAGAGCCATCTAGTCCAGCCCCCTGCAATGCAGGAACCTTTTGCCCAACATGGGGCTTGAACCCATGACCCTGAGATTAAGAGTCTCATGCTCTACAGACTGAGCTTAAAATAGGTTTGTAAAAGGGTAGATCAGCCACGTGACTTCTAGCATGACTTGAGTCTAGTGTATAAAATATATTTCCTCTTACAGGAAAGTGTCAGCTTTTGACCTGATGTGCTTTCAAGATACATGTTAGAAATATATTTCCTCCACATTGTATTTTCTATGTAGTTACCAGCCCAAACTTTTTCGGGTGAAAGCACACACATGCAAAATTGACAGGCAGAGATACGCCAAAACTGAAGAAGGGCAAATCATTCACTGTCTCAATTGCCTAACCCAGATCTGTGGCCCTTGAGCTGCATGCAGTCTGCAGTTTCCTCCAGGTCTGCCCTTGGCTTTCTAGATTGTTGTTGTTGTTTAGTCGTTTAGTCGTGCCCGACTCTTCGTGACCCCATGGACCAGAGCACGCCAGGCACTCCTGTCTCCCAGTGCCTCCCGCAGTTTGGTCAGACTCATGTTTGTGGCTTCAAGAACCCTGTCCAGCCATCTCGTCCTCCATCGTCCCCTTCTGCTTGTGCCCTCCATCTTTCCCAACATCAGGGTCTTTTCCAGGGAGTCTTCTCTTCTCATGAGGTGGCCAAAGTATTGGGGCCTCAGCTTCAGGATCTGTCCTTCCAGTGAGCACTCAGGGCTGATTTCCTTCAGAATGGATAGGTTTGATCGTCTTGCAGTCTATGGGACTCTCAAGAGTCTCCTCCAGCACCATAATTCAAAAGCATCCATTCTTCAGCAATCAGCCTTCTTTATGGTCCAGCTCTCACTTCCATACATCACTACTGGGAAAACCATAGCTTTAACCATACGGACCTTTGTTGGCATGGTGATGTCTCTGCTTTTTAAGATACTGTCTAGGTGGCTTTCTAGATGCTACAAGCCTATTTTTGCCCTCAGGCTTCAGTTTCTTTTAGCCTCGTGTGTTTTTCCCAAGAAAAAGCAAACTTGAGTTGAACGGAGAGAAGGAAGGAGAGGGCTGAGGTTACAGTGGCCTGGCTGGTTTATACAGTGCCAGTGCATTGTGATGATGAATTCTGGGTACATGGTGGCAGCTCCAGGGAAGATGGTGATTTCTAAATCGAAGCAGAAATCATTCTGTGTGGTGTGTGTGTGTGTGTATGTGTGTTAAAAAAAGGGAGGGTTTGTTGTTCATGTGTGTGAGGAACTACCTACCTGATGCCTACATTCTAAGCATAAGCAGAAATTGGTGGTAATGGTAAAAAAAAAAAGGACACCATGCTATTCCCACCATAACCCCCCCCCCAATTCTTTACTCAGAGCAAGCACTTCTGTGCAGCCATTCCCTTCCTTGTTCCAGAAAATGAGAGAGAAAATAAGTGGATCCACCCACCTTTGACCCTGGATTTGCCTTCCATCAGGTGAAGTCCCTGACTGATGCTTCCTGTAGGTCAACAGCCCTTCAAAGTTCTGTACCCTTGGTGTAGTCAGTAAAATAACAGAGGTAAAGGTAAAGGGACCCCTGACCACTAGGTCCAGTCGTGGCCGACTGGCGTTGGGGCGCTCATCTCACTTTACTGGCCGAGGGAGCCGGTGTACAGCTACCGGGTCATGTGGCCAGCATGACTAAGCCGCTTCTGGCGAACCAGAGCAGCGCACGGAAATGCCGTTTACCTTCCCGCCGGAGCGGTACCTATTTATCTACTTGCACTTTGATGTGCTTTTGAACTGCTAGGTTGGCAGGAGCAGGGACCGAGCAACGGGAGCTCACCCCATCACGGGCATTTGAACCGCCGACCTTCTGATCAGCAAGTCCTAGGCTCTGTGGTTTAACTCACAGCGCCACCCGCGTCCCTAAAATAACATAGACACAGGCTTATTTCTTGGAAGAGGGGCACCCACCATGTTGTGCCTTTTCTCACATTCTAGTCAACAGCACTTACGTGTTCCACAGCCCTAAAAGGGGTACACAAATCTGATGGTCAATACAGTACCAGGACTGCCAGGTGCCAGCAGGCTTATGTGATTCCATCCCCCTCCCCCTCCTATCCAGTTCTCTCTCATCTCCACTCTAAAAGCCTCATTCGCTTATTTTTGCCACCGCACTGGCACATTCTGTCCCTTCTCCCCGCCATGCTCTGCATGCACACCTTCACCTGCCGTGAACTGTGTGCAACCATCTGTTGTGCGCAGAACCTCTGCCACCCTTGCTCTGCTCCACAATTTGAATTTCCTGCCAGTGCTGGTGTGAAGTTGAAATGCCAAAGGGAAGTTCTTCCTCTGACTCTGGTCACCGTCATGGCCCTCAGAGGAGCCACACCTTGAGACTGTGGGCCCTGCCTGAGTTTTTGGCTGCTATTGCCTGCTGCTACCTCTGCACATCTGCTGGCGTGTACGGGGAACGTGGCTATCCCAATTAGCAGTTTTGCACTCTTTGTGCATTAACTGAAACATCAAAATAGCTGACTTCTGTACTAGCCAGTGGTGCTTTGGAAACAAGGACAGCTAGTTTATGTAGCATCTGTTTGCACATAATACGTGATCAGGTTGGTTTTAGAACTCTGTACTGTTCTATAATGTTTGAATAAGAAATACCTCAGAGTTTGTATGTCTCGTTTGGAAACCGATGAAGCAAACTGTCTGGTTCAGCACTCTTCCCTCCCCCCTCTTTTTTTGGTCATCAGCAAGCTGATTTAAATTGAATGAACAATGTTGACTGCATTCCTCTCGTGAGTAGCATTAAAAAAAATAATTGCTAAACTGTAAAATCCTGCTGAAGTGATTGTTCCAGAAAAGTGTAGTGGTGGCTGGGCATAGTCAAACAGACTGTGTTCCTGTGGCTTTTTGCCCTGTTGGCTTTATATATTAGTGGAGAAAGCTTGCTGCACAGAAGTGGGGGGGGGGGGCGGCATTTAGCAGGATAAAGCACACTGCCCTCAGTATTCTCAGACATTTACCTCACAGATAAAGCATGATCAGTGTGCAGAGCTGAGAACAGTTGTAAAATATTTTTAGAAAAATCTTGGCATGCAGCAACGCAGAGTTACAGACCCTTTTGCCCCCCATCTCTCTGCCCTTGTTTTGTTACTTTCAGATTTGACCCAACAGGCTCTGTTTTGATTGGATTTGTGTAGCTGACTTTGAAAAACCAAGCTTCAGATGAATAATCTGATAAACTGCTAGGCTGACCTCATTTGTAGAATGCAGGCCCCATAGGAAAACATGCCCTGTCTCTTACAACAAGGGGCCTCAATCTCAAGGTCTTGCCGAACCTCTTCCAGGTTCATTGAGCACCAAGGGGCAGTCCATAAAATATATGCCCTTTATTATGTATGTGTAGTAGATTTGTGGAAAAGACATGACTGGGCAATGGTTAAAATAGGACCAAGCATGAGAAGACGATCTTTCTTTCTTTCTTTCTTTCTTCCTCTTAAAAAGATAACTTTCTTTTTGGACGGTCCCAAAATGCTGGCCTGTTTATAGGACATACAGTACACAGAATATGAGAATAACAGCATCCTTTCTCTGCTCTGTTTCCAACACCACAGCAAGGTGCTATGAGGACAGGTGCAGGAAGGACAGAGAGAAGCTTTAGGAAAGGCAGTGCTGCTGTTGTGAATGGGAGTTGTAGTCCAACACTTGGAAAGCATCATGTTGGGTATTCGTGCGCTAACCAGTACACCACCCTGACCAACCTCACTATTCTTTCACCATCAGCTCAGCCTGATAAATTGGGTTTGATGTCATGTAATGCTGTTCTTTCTTGTTCTCTGTGTTTTGGATCAAGACAGCTGCCAAGGTTTTGGGCATGTCTATGGACTCTATTTGTGGGATGTGGCTATGGGCTTTTTTGGGGGGAGGGGGGAGGACTTTGTTGGGGGGGCAGAACTGACGTGATTGTTCAGTTAGTTAAATATTTCTATTGTTTTACTTGATGGGGGGGCAGCTGCCCCTCCCTGCCCCCAGCTACTCCCATGGCTATGGTGGCTGTCAAAATTAATACCTGCACCAACAGTTCCCATTTTGCCACTGATAAAAAGTTGGCCATTGATCCACAGAGAGATACTCACAGTGGTGTTTGCATAAATCATTCTGTTTGGCTGCATCCCTGTTGACTCTATTCTTATGCTGTAAATCAGCTCCCTTGGGAATTTGGAGGAGGGTTTTGGAGATAAGACTGTACCTCACTGGGTAGAGGGCACCGTTTTCATGCCAAAGGCCCAATCTCATTCCCTGGCATCTCCAGTTTCAAAAAGTCAGGTAGCTGTTGATAAGAAAGAGGGCTGCTGCCAGCCAGAGTGGGTAATATTGTGTGTGCTAGATGGACTAGCAGTCTGACCTGCTTTACAGTAGCTCCCTTGTGCACCTGAGACTGATGTTCTTAGCCTGCAGATCACGAAGCACTGCAAATCATGACGCAGGATTAGAGTGGAATTATGTTACAGTGAAGCCTTTAAGTGATCTGCTTCATGAATATGGCTGCGGATGTGCGGCTAAGGTGTGCTTTTTGCTGTTTGTTACACAGACTCAAGTTCCACAGTAATTTTGTGGCTGGCCTATAGAAATCAAGAGATTCCCCCCCTGAGCATCTTTCCATTTGCCAGAACAAGAGAGCTTGATTTGAGCAGCACATGATTAGGAAACTCACGTCACACCCACCCACTGAATTTCAAATTGTCTTTTCTGGAAACAACAAGCTGCTCTGGGAATAATCTAGTCCTGGATGACACTGGAGAGTGCCACTCTGGCGTTTTCCTGTCAGAGGCCTTTTAGGCTTTTGTTGGATGCTGCAGACTATTTTCATTACAAGAGCAAGAGCTGTATACTTGCTACAATACGCTCAGTTTGAAGAATCATTTGGCTTTTCATTGACAAGAAGGAAAAATACTACAGTATACCGTCCCATTTCTAGATTATGATGATTTTCTGCCTGCTTTTATGGATGCAGAACTAAAATGTGCTGCTCAGTCTGTATATTCCTCATCAGTCAATTTTTAAAAATTCCCTTTTTATGTTAAAAAATGTAATTCAAATTCTAAATAACAAATGAGACCTGAAATAATGAGCTGTATCCAGTGCTAGCCCCAGAGTAGACCCAGTGAAAGTTAATGGGCACGACTAACTTAGATTTATTAATTTAGATAGGCCTACTCTGAGAACTAGTGATGTATGGAAGTGAGAGCTGGACCATAAAGAAGGCCGAAGAATTGATGCTTTTGAATTATGGTGCTGGAGGAGACTCTTGAAAGTCCCATGGACTGCAAGAAGATCAAACCTATCCATTCTTAAGGAAATCAGCCCTGAGTGCTCACTGGAAGGACAGATCCTGAAGCTGAGGCTCCAATACTTTGGCCACCTCATGAGAAGAGAAGACTCCCTGGAAAAGACCCTGATGTTGGGAAACATGGAGGGGACAAGGAGAAGGGGACAACAGAGGACGAGATGGTTGGACAGTGTTCTTGAAGCTACCAGCATGAGTTTGACCAATCTGTGGGAGGCAGTGGGAGACAGGAGTGCCTGGCGTGCTCTGGTCCATGGGGTCATGAAGAGTCGGACATGACTAAACGACTAAACAACAACAACACTCTGAGAACATGTTGCAATGTGAGGTGAAGTTGTTCAGTGTTTCAGCCACTCCAACCTCCCCACCCCAGTTTTCTGTCTCCCCTCAACCATCTGATAGCACCAGTGAGGTGCATGTTGGTGCAAATGGTGACAATGGCCTCCTCCAGTGGCCTTGAGACTTTTGCAGCGCCTCCATTTTTTCTCCCTTTGGCTGTACTAGCAAGGCCAGATTAAGGTGGTTGGGGGCCCTGGAGGAATTCCAGAAATAGCACTCTCCTTCCCCTTCCAAAAGCAATGCATGAAATAAGGCACCAGAAAATCCATATTGATGTATCTTAAAGGCTATTGGTAGGATTCACCTAACAAACACCATCAGCAGAGGCCCTGCACAAGGCATCTGCATAATTGACTCTGGGGTGACTGGGGGAACCCCCAGGACAGCACATGGGGTCATTCTGTTTGGGTAACTGATAGGCTTGCACAGATAGAACATTAAACATAGTGTGAATTACCCCCCCCCCCAAATATTATTAATCAAACTTGCATTGACTACGAAAAAAAATACTCTGAGGCTGTACTGTTTCACATCTCTCAGCAAAACGCAAACATCTGGGCAACCTTAACAAACAAAAAGAGAATACTCTGAGCACATGCAGTCAGTTTCATATTTTAAACTCACTTGTTTTTGTTCACTTCCCATCTTAGGTCAGTCATCAGCTCTCAGCCTAACCTACCTTACGTAGCTGTTGTGAAGATATACGACATGGGTAGGCAAACTAAGGCCCGGGGGCCAGATCCAGCCCAAACGCCTTCTCAATCCGGCCCGCGGACAGTCCGGGAATCAGCGTGTTTTTACATGAGTAGAATGTGTCCTTTTATTTAAAATGCATCTCTGGGTTATTTGTGGGGCCTGCCTGGTGTTTTTACATGAGTGGAATGTGTGATTTTATTTAAAATGCATCTCTGGGTTATTTGTAGGGCATAGGAATTTGTTCATTTATTTATTTTTCCAAAATATAGTCTGGCCCCTCACAAGGTCTGAGGGACATTGGACCGGCCCCCTGCTGAAAAAGTTTGCTGACCCCTGATATGGGAGGAGGCAAAAAATCTCCACATGTAACTATGTGCGGCTGGTGGTGGTTGCCTTTGTTCCAATGAACTGATGCTTTGTAAGTTAATTTTACACTAAATTCTTAATGGCTACCTGGACCCCAGCTACTTATTGTGTAGTAGCATTTGCAGTAAATAACTTGTAGAGAGCATCTGATCTCTTATGAAACCACCATAGGACAGGTTGCCAGGAAGAAAGGAATCAAAGGGGAAATCTGGGCAATTCCAGGGATTAGAAAGGGATTCTTGCAGGGATTCTTGCAACATGTCAGCCAAATCAATTAATCACAGTTCTGACTTTACTCATTGGTTAAAAATACTGGAAGGCAAGGAACAGCTTGGCTGGCTTCCCTCCCAGAAATACAGTGGCTTAGAAGTATGCCTGTACATTTTGCTTTATAACTTTTCTTCTAGTGTGGTTAGAGGTTTACTCTCCCCCCGCCCAAAGAAAGCTCAGAGTCTGGGTCCCCTTAAGGCATTGGCCCTGGTGCAATTAACTGCACATTATCCAGCTGATCACAGGCAGTAGGCAGGGGCCAATCACACCCTTTAAAAAGCACATAGAAGTGAAGAAGGAAGTGAAAAAAGGGCACTTCCTCTCTCAACTCCATGACCTTTTCCAGGCTGAGACCAGGACTCAACCTCCCAAGGAAATGTGGGGAAGGGGCCTGCATAAACGTTGAAAGAAGCAGACAGAAAAAGGTGAGGTTGTGGGGAGGGCAGCAGCAACCACCACCAACCCATTGCTATTGTGGGAGGGAGTGTGTAGCTTGTAGGTTTGCTTTTTTTTTGTTTTGCCTCTTGAGTTTCTCCCTCTCTCTAGGGCTGATTTTGTCTCTCTGGTTGGGTTTGTCTGTGTTCCTTTTTACAGTATTTTGCTAGGCCTGTGTATATTGGAAGAAGAGGAGTTTGCCTTCTGTAAAAGTGGAGTTTGTGTGGCTGGCTGCATGTAATAATATAAATTTTATTTATACCCTGCCCTCCCCGGCCAGAGCCAGGTTCAGGGCAGCTAACAACAGTAAAAATTACAGTAAAAACAGAATGGGGGGGGAACCAATTTAAAATACAGGTTAAAATGCAATTTAAAATGCAGCCTCATTTTAAAAGTAGCCCATAGATCAAAAATGTCCTACTACCGCAGTCGTTTTGGTGAATGGGCAGCCCCCCAACCCATTAACAGTCATTTTTGTGAGGGTGCCCATGGCCCACTCCCAAGGTTGTAAACATGCCCATGGGCCTCAAATGACTTAATTAGGCTGGATTTTTTTAAAAAAAAAACTTTTCCTTTTTTTAAGGAGGAGGAGTGTACTTTATTCATTCATTTATTGCATTTATATCATATCTTTTTCTCCAAGGCGTTCAAGGTAGTGGACATGGCACTCCCCTTCCCCCATTTAATCCCCACAACAACCCTGAGAGGCAGAGCCTGGTGCAAGGTCACCCAGTGAGCTTCATGGCCGAGTGGGGATTTGAACCCTGGTCTCCCAGGCAGAGATGATGCGTCTCTCATTTGTGGGTGGTGCCATTTGGGCTACAGTAAGCAATGTCACTCCCAGCCTGGACACTGGAAATAGAAAGGATGGTCATAATCTCCACAGAAAAGTAATTGTTTACAATATGTAACGGCAACCTTAATATTTCCCCCTAAACTTCAGTCCCAATACTTGCCCAGCATCTCCAGCTAAAATATATAAGATAGAAAGCAAAACTGGGAATTATCCCTTCATCAGAGCTTGAAAAAAAGACTGCTGCTCTGTTTTAGACAGTCCTGGGTTTGATTGGGCCAATGGCGGATTACTATTTATATGTTCTTAGTATTAATCTTAGGGTAGCCAAATGCAAAAGAGAACATGGCTGCTGCCCCTTTAATAGCTGGACAGAAGAGGGGATTTCAGCAGATACAGTTCCCATTACAAGCTACACCTGCTGAACTTTCCTCTTTTCCACAACTATGAAAGGTGCAGGGCTCTTTTTCGGTACCCAGGCAGCCTAATCCTTCTCCACAGAAATGTAGCTAAAGTTGAGGACGCTAAGATAGGCACAGAGCAGTAGAGGTTGCTTGAAAATTTCAAAAACACCATTTGGCACTTTAAAATAAATTATTTACTACTTGTCATACCCAATTATCTAACAGAGTCAAAATGAGCAATTCCCCCCCAATTCCATTTAGGAAAAAGGACGCTGCTAAGGTAATGTCAGTGCTTCCTGATACTGGCTTTTCCTATTGATTTTAGTGCTTTTGCAAATAATTGGTACACTGTAGTGTTGCTTACCTGCAAGCCAGGTGTTAATTGTGTGCCAGATTCCAAATCCCATGCAGATAGTTGCAAAGGACTACTGGTGTGTGTGTCTGTGTGAGGGAGCAATAACAGAATCCACTGCGCAAAACTAGAAATGGTATCTCTAAGCCCCATGATAATGTGAGGCGCTTCCTGTTTTCCTCTCAGTTTTGCACACAGCTACTGTTGCTGGGGAAGCTGACATCTAGGAGCGCCCTTAGCAATTAAGGCAGGAGCCGGTATGGACACGCTTTCCCTTGTGTGTCACTAAACTCATTATATTGGCAGTCAAACAGGAAATAAAAGCCGGGCAAGCTTCTCCCGTTCCTCAGCAATGGAGTCACTGCAAGGAGGAGTGCTAGGATTAGGAAGAGCAGCCCAGAGCGTCTCTTTTCCTTTCACCTTCCCATAGACACAAAACTCAGAGGTGTAGCCGTGTTAAGTCCATTGCAGCAATAACAACAGTGGAGTGATTGCACCAGAAGCTTTCCTGGGCCATAGCTAAGTTTGTCCAATGAATGAAGCATTACCCAAATTTGGCAGATTACACAAAACACCCTCACATTGGGTGTGGAGGGGAAATGTTGTAAGCAGTGAGGGCGAAAAGGCCACAAAATGTAAGGAAGCAGAAGGCTTCTAAGATTGCTTTACAGCACCAAAATGTATACAGTGGTACCTCTGGTTACGAACTTCATTTGTTCCGGAGGTCCGTTCTTAACCTGAAACAGCTCTTAACCTGAGGTACCACTTTAGCTAAAGGGGCCTTCTGCTGCTGCCGGCGTGCGATTCCTGTTCTCATCCTGAGGTAAACCTGAGGTACTACTTCCGGGCTAGTGGAGTCTGTAACCCGAAGTGTTTGTAACCCGAGGTGTTTGTAACCTGAGGTACCACTGTACAAATTAGTGCTCTTGCTGCAGTACTAATTTAACATACAACAGAGGGTTGCTTTTCCATTAGAAGTGTTAAATTTAACATAGGATAGCTGGCTTGGAACCATGATCTTCCCACCCTGCAATAAAACGACTCTTGTAGCTCAGTGGTAGAGAATCTGCTTCGTATGTAGAAGATTCCTGGTTCAATAACCAGCATCGCCAGGTAGTAATCAGAGAACTTCCTACACACGAAACCCTGCAGAGAGTCTGCTGGTCAGGGTGGACAGTACTGCGCTAAATGGACCAGTATTCTGACTCTGTATAAGGCAGCTTCCTATGAGTCCTTTTCCAGGCCAAATGTCAGCGGATGCAGAATTCTTGCCATGAAGAAAGCTTCAGCTCTCGAATTTCCCCCTGCCATGCCGTTGCTAAAGGCGCAGGAACTCTGGCAGTCCTAGCCCCATTCTATCCTTTAACTCAGCACCACCCATATCCAGTCCTCCAGCCCTTTTAGTCAGTACTGCTGCACCCATTAGCCCTTTGCTTGCATGGATAATTCAGGTCGCTGTGATGCGAAGTAAAATGCTGGTGGCAGCAAACACAAATGGCCCGCATGCTTCTCAGGTTCAGGTTTGCTAGTGAACCAGAAGAACCAGAAAAGCTGCCAGATCAAGGTCCAGAAGACAGCAGAGGTGGACTTTCCCCCCTGTGTTTTTAAACAGGTCTGTAGGACATTCTTATCAGGTGGACCTTTAAAAAAGGCAATTAACCCTGGAGTGCTCAGTGTCCAAACCGCCGTACACAGGAAACGGAGGGTCACTGCATTTTGTGAGGTTTTTAATCTCTGTTGAAGGGATTGCAGGATGAGGAGCTTAAGATGCAGGTTTTATTTATTTAAAAGGGCATTCCCTTAATGCTGTAGAAAAATAAAGGATGACCTCTCCCTGCCCCTTAAACCTGAACGTTAGTGGCGTCAAGATGTTTAATGAGTAGTTTTCGGTGGCATAATATACGAGAATAGTGAGGAATAGAAATAGAAAAGATGGGGAAATAATAATAAAAAGAGAAGGGTTCTACTTTCTAAGAATTTCTTTGGGGCTCCTCCACTGGCTTCTACCGCAGGTATACTCTGCAATGTGCTCTGTAACCTTGACACAAAAACAGGGCATTAGTGATGGATTTGTTCTGCTTTATTGGTTTGTTCTGGGATGCATCCCCAATGCTACCACATTGTTGCTGTCTGGAGAGGCTGTAATGCAACAAAGAAGCACAACCCACCCTGAACATCTGTGGTATGAGAAGTTACTGGATCTCAGCAGGAAATTGCAGGATATGCACTATTTGGAAACGAAGCAAGTACAACTGCCTGAAAAGAATAGCAGGCACAAATCGTACTGAAGGTGGGATCACAGGCGACCGCCCCGATAGCATTGTGAGCACAACTCATCATGAAGCGGTTTACACATTCCTGATTACTTTGCATTCAGTGCGCTCCTGCCAGTGCTGTGCACACATAGCATTAGCCATAATCCATATCTATCCTATATCTAACTTTTTGTTTCTGATGAAATACTGCATTTTGATGCATCCCCCCCCCCCCAACAAGCTTCGGTTGGAATGGAGTAAAAATGACCAAGCTGCATTTTAACCTAGTAGTGTGAACACATCTGATGAGCAGGAGAATTTGGGGAAGGAGCCCAGCAGGTGGGGAGATGAGGATTCACATCCCAAGGAGGGACTGAACAGGCTGTTAGGGAAGTGTTCTGCCCCCAAACTATTGAATGTCCTGGGCCTGAGTTTCATGGCACCTTAAAGACAACACACATTTATCATGCCATAAGCTTTGCTGAATTCAAGCCCACTCCAACAGACACATTCATCAGTTTCATTGCAGTGTCGTATAAACTGGGACCAAGAAACATGAGCAAAGAGGTTGAATAAATAATGCCAAATATTAATTTAGAGATGCCTTGTTGCCACTCACACCTCCAGCAAATGCCAATATGTGTGTCCTCTTCTATACTGCAGATCTGAAAACAATAACCAGTCACTTTATGACTTGTATCTGGTTTTTATGTTTTACAGTTCTACAACACCCCGATATTTATGATATGGTGGTACGGAAACAAAACACCATTTATTTTCTTACAAATGGTACAAGCCAACAAATACTCTTAAGGGACAAAAGTGTGATCCAACACATAAGAAACACAAATGGATGATTTTAAAAATCAGTGTAGCTGCATTACACAAAATCTAAATAGTCCCATGCAGAAGTAATAGATGCTGTACTATAGTTCATCCTAAACAGACGGTTCATAGTCTTCAACAACAGGTTGTAGTGCGAGCTGCTTTGAGGCATAAGAAGAATCAGAGATCAGAGGATTGCTTGCTCCAGTGCTAGTGGGTATAAGGAATATTAAGTCAGTGTGTCTTACAAAACTATATGCTCTTGGTGATTAGATACGAAATGGAGGCAGGGCCCTTTTGTAGTTGGGTAGAACTGGGAATTTTGGCAGGTGCAGTTTGGCAGCAGCATCTGTTGAGATTTCCCTCTTCCGTGCAGCTGTTAAAAGGTACAGAAATGCTCTCATCCTTTGCGCTTGACCATCCTACATGTATTTTGTCATAACGGGGCAGGGGGAGGAATTCCCCCTCGCTTCATAAACGCCAGCTAAAGAAGCTAATGAGCAAAATAGGCAGTTCTAAAATTTCCTCCAACAGTTACAAGCATCTCTATCTTGTGATGTCAAGTGCCACCTGGTGTTTGACTTAGTGAAAAGCAATGGGATGTGGGCCATTATTTCTCAAGCACCATCTTGTGTACCTTGCACAGAATACCAAGCACAAAAATTCCCTGTACAAGCATTTTTTTCTGTTTGGAGGGTAGTGGGGGGCTGGCCATCAGCAATGCTTACTCCTTGGCAGATGCCCCCTTTTGTACTGCAGCACTTTTAAAAAATGGTTGGAATGGAATGAAGCAACTTTTTTGATGCTCTATATCCAAAGCATAACTTCTGATGTATTTGGTTTATTTGGTAAGTATGCCCTGCCTCTTGTCTTTAAAAAATAGAAGAGACAAGTCACATTTTTTCAACCCCATTTGCTTTCACAGCACGGCCAAATAATTGAGTTCATATGCACCAGGGGATGGAGAACTTGTGGTCACATTCCCTCCCGGGAAACCTCCTATGGACCATATATGAGCGGTGGGAACTAGGACCAAAGACAAAAATGGGCAGAACAATGGATTAAACTCATTTGTACAGTAAACTGTATTCCAGCCACACCAAAGTTAGAGGTTTACACACACACCCTCTTCATCCTGGCAAGCAAGAGGTGTTATCACAATTCAAGAGACATGTTTCAGGGAGCCAGCGTGGTGTAGTGGTAAAGAGTGGTGGACTCGTAATCTGATGAACCGGGTTCGCTTCCCTGCTCCTCCACATGCAGCTGCTGGGTGACCTCGGGCTAGTCACACTTCTTTGAAGTCTCTCAGCCCTACTCACCTCACAGAGTGTTTGTTGTGGGGGAGGAAGGGAAAGGAGAATGTTAGCCGCTTTGAGACTCCTTCGGGTAGTGATAAAGCGGGGTATCAAATCCAAACTCTTGTATTAAAAAAGAGAGAGACTTGTTTCAGCCAAACAAAAGCACTCAAGGAGGGCACAGAGCAGGTCCAATGAATGCTGTGGCCTGGGAAGAGTACAGAGGGGTCTGTTGGAGAGGTCTCTAGGGCTGCATTTGGGCCCCAGGCCTGAGGTTCCGCACCCCTGATAGGCACACAATTGCCTTGAGAATTAGTTGGGCCACCGCAAATGGTTTCGTGACCTGACCACGATGGGTCACACAGAGGGATCATTTATACGAGTCACCACTATATGTGATTGCTCCCCTCGTGATTCTTCAAACTGTGAGATAAAAGTATTGTTTTCATTTGTGTAAATAAGCCCTCAGAATAATTCTGTGCCATCCAGCTTTTTTGAACGGGAACTATTAATTGCAAAGCACCTTTTAAGGTTGAATTGGCAACCATAGATTTAACTTAATGTTCCAGGGAGCTTTCAGTTTGCAAAATAAATGTACAAGTTTTTTTTACTGGCCCTGCTCCTATACCTTTCATAACAGCCTAATGTACCAAAATTTAAGTTTTTCCTGACATGCATGGAGGTTAATAGTGGAAAAATACATTTTACCAACATTTAGATGTTGGTTGTTGTTGTTGTTTTTTAAATCCCCATAAATCTGAAACTGGCAGACATCTCAATACTTAAGAGGGAGGGTAGATGGGATTCCTTTTACAATGCAAGTCATTAGTTACCTGAAAACCTATTCTTCAGTGTGTGGATCCTATGTAGGTCCGAATCGGCCCAAATATACCCTCCCCTTACTCACATGCTTTGGCTGCGTGTACCCCCTACACTGAAAGCACATGATTTCCCCCAAAGGATCCTGGGAATGTAGTTTACTCCTCACAGAGCTACAGTTCCCAACACTTTTAACAAACTACAGTTCCAAGGATTTTTTGTGTGAGTCGTGTGCTTTTAATGTATGGCGTCTGTGCAGCCTTCCAGCCTTGCAATTTGATCTGGTGATCCTTCAGAGTTCTGTGACAAGTGTGATCATATCCACCTTAAGCAGCCTATATATTCCAAGTGTGTTTTTGCCTCAGAAGTCGTCTCCTTTTACTCAGCCCTAGCCATTTTGCTGCTTCTCCATAGGTGGGTGGTTGAGATCAGATCAAGAAGCAGCTGGTTAAAACAACACAGACGCTTAGCTTAGCTCAGCGCAGCCAATGCTATTTAAGTGATGAGCCGTGGGATAAAGTGAGGCTGTTGTGTGACGGTTCGCTTCTCTCTCCTGCAAAATGGTTCCGCTTGAACATTCTGCAGATAGCTACCACCAGCGCATACCATTTGCAGCAAACGGGGCACTTGGCACTGCATTTCGTAAAGATGCTCCTCCTTTTTTCCCTTTGGCAGCCAAGCATTTGTGGTTTAGCAGAACAGAAGGGAAAGTGCTTATCTCTAGTGGACCAGAAAGTGAATCTGAGGTCTGTGGGAGGATTGTGGTTTCATTCGCGTGTGGGTTCCAGCCCCAGATTTTCATTCCTTGGAGAGCTGTGAGCCCCCAAAAAGTGTAGGGTATTTAAGCACTGCACTCAGTCTGAAAGTTATTGCTATATTATAATCTGGCGTCAGAATGAATTCTGGAGTATAACAAACAGCATGTAAGGTTTGTAGGTTTTGCCACAGACCATCTCTTGGGAAGGTCTGTTCCACTGTCAAACGACTTTTTCTGTCAGTAAGTTCTTCCTGATATTTAGTTGGAATCTCCTTGAATCCACTAGTCTGTGCCCTAGCCTCTGGAGCAGAAGAAAACAAGCTTGTTCCATCCTCCATGTGGCAGCCGCTTGGATATTTGAAGATGGCTTTTATATCTCATCTCATTTTTGTCACATACTCAATTCTCTTAGCTCAGAGCTTTCCAAATGTGTGTCGTGACACATAAGCCTGTTCCTCATAAGGCTTGGTTTCCAGACCCTTGATCATCTTGCTTGCCCTCCTCTGCACACATTCCAGCTTGTCAACATCCTTTTTAAATTGTGGCACCCAGAACGGGACACAGTACTCCAGGTGTCGTCTGACCAAGGCAGAATAGAGCAGGACTATGACTATCCTTGATCTGGACACTAGACTTCTGTTGATGCAGCCTAGTACAGCATTAGCTTTTTTTGCTGCTGCATCACACTGTTGACTCATGTTAAGCTTGTGGTCTGCAAAGACTCATAGATCCTTTTCACATGTACTACTGGCAGTCCAGATGTCCCCCATCTTTTATTTGTGCAGCTGGTTCTTCCTGCCTAAGTGTACATTTGTCCCTATTGAAATCCATTTTGTTAGTTTTGGCCCAGTTCTCCAATCTGTTAAGGAGTGTCGTATGTGAACAGTGGGGAGAGTAGAGATTTTCTTTACTAGCACAAATGTAGCAAGGGAATAAGCCCTGAACATTTCCCCCTGACCCATGTTATATTCACAATATGGACAGTTATGATTCTCAGGCTAGCTTATCTTTAAGAATGGCTTTGCTGAGCTGGAGTGTAGTGCTTTATCTCCAGCTGTAAATAGCTTCAGAGCTGAGAAGCTAATGAGCAGGGCATTTTGATGGATCATAATCTAGTATTCCCATTTACTTGACTTAGCCCTGAACCTACCTCTGTTGTTTTTATGCAGCACAGGATGGGCAGCTGAAAATGAGCACAGGAGTCCACCTATAATAGATTGGTGTGTAGCAGAAGGAATTTACGCTGCATGGCAAGTTGCAGAGAAAATAATAAGAAGAGGAGTTTGGATTTGATATCCCTACCCGAAGGAGTCTCAAAGCGGCTAACAATCTCCTTTCCCTTCCTCCCCCACAACAAACACTCTGTGAGGTGAGTGAGGCTGAGAGACTTCAGAGAAGTGTGACTGGCCCAAGGTCACCCAGTAGATGCATGTGGAGGAGCGGGGAAGTGAACCCGGTTCACCAGATTACGAGTCTACCGCTCTTAACCTCTACACCACACTGGCTCTCCAAAGGGAATTTTATCCAAACTATCCTTTTTTTGTCATGCAAATGACACCTGCTGAACTTCTATTGGCTACATGACTGGAACTGAAGGTGCAAGGAGCCCTGTCCTGTTTTACATCTGCCCTTCTTAGTTCCAGCTGCTGTTTCTTTACTTGTGCCTACACAACACACCAGCACAGTAATTACATAGTGACCTGAACTGAGACACAGTGAACCACTGTGAGTATTGGGGTGTGTGTGTGTGTGTGTGTGTGTGTGTGTGTGTAGAGGGTTGGAAATAACACTGCCCACTCCAGTAGTCAGAGCTTCAGTGCCTTAAACAGCTGTATGACAAGCAGAGCTTGCTCTTAAATGTTGTTTTGTGTTGTCCTTTGATTCTGCTCTGTTGTAGTTGTTCTTAATTGTATGTTGCTCCGTTGGTTTTATTTGCAAACTGCTCTCTCGGAGCTTAATGGCTCATAAGTAATTTAAATGCATAAGATTCAGCTGGTAAAAGGCAATGTTTTCTCCAGCTTGTAAATTCAGTGGTAAGGGGTGTGTGTGTGTGTGTGTGTGTGTGTGTGTCTGTCTGTGTGTGTGTGTGTGTGTGTCTGTGTGTGTGGAGACTTTACCTGCTGAATGTCTTCCTATCATACAACTCTTTTCCTGCAGTGGAAGGGTGGGGGCGGGGAAATAGAGGTGGAAACCTTATGAATACCTGTGACCTAGCAGAGAGGGCAGGATGGCTCACCCTGCATTTTATTTGCACATTGGTTGGGGTGTAAACAAGCTGATGGGGGGGGGATAACCACCCCCCTCCCTGCAACTAAACAATTGAGGAAACCATTATGGGCCCTGGCACCCTTTGGAAGCCAGCCTTACAGTGCATTGCATGGGCGGATATTTTTAATATTTCATGATCCTGGCAGTTCTAGAATTAGAAAATGTCCTGGGCGCGCGCGCGCTCTCTCTCTCTGTGTGTGTGTGTGTGTGTGTGTGTGTGTGTGTGTGTGTGTCCAGGCCTTACAGTGCCTGAGAGGAAACAGATAGGCATTTAGAAGAGCATGAATAGTAAGTTCAGGAGCGGGAACTGCTTCTCCCAGAGGGACTGCATTGCTGCCTCTTTCATTGCAGGGTTAACCATTTCCTGCCCCCTGGGCTCTTGAAAATAAGGTGAATAGCAGGCAGCGACTACTTCCCAGTTGGGAAATGAAGGCTGCCATTCTCAACACAGGCTGCCGGACACAACAGACAAATTACATGGGGGTAGTTGCGTTCAGATATATGAATAGAAGGCATACCAACATGTGTTTAATTGGAGAAATGTGCATTGAATTTGTGTGATGTCTTCTTGGAAACAAGCAAATGCAATGAGAAGCTGAGAGTAACCCAAATGGACAGATCCATTTGGAGTAGGGGTTGTGGTTTGTGTCCCCTTCGCCAGTCTTGAGAGTGCCCAGCAAAGCCTGGCCTTGCTACCTTCTGCAGCTTGCTTTGGATAAAAGTCCAGTCTCTTGACAGGCCACTTTGCACCTTGCGTGTTTTTTTTCTGCAAAGAAATCAATCCTGCACCTATGTAGGAGAAATGTCCAGGTGCAGTTTTCCTCATCGCAGCACTGCAGTGACCTTAGAAACACCCTCCTGTTTCAGCAAAAGTCTTAAAAAACCTGCTCAGAATTTGAAGCTGGCAATTTGAAGCTCCTTAACTCTGTTTCAGGAGAAAACAAAAGCAGGTAGGTCCCCCCGACACACTGGTCTGGGTCGCTTCCATATGTGTTAGTTGGTAGTTTCCTGTGTCTGGGGCAGGAGGAGCAGGACAGGACAGGAACAGCACGAGAAAAGAAGCAGCTAGGAGGATGACTGCTTCTCTTTTATAACATGTAACCCAGTTTCCAAGCCTGGTGCATGTGTGGAGCAAGTTGCTCTGTCTAAGGGTCAAACTAGACCAGGGGTATAAGGAATCTGTGGCCCTCCTGGTGTTGGAGTTGGAGTCCTACAACATCTGGAGAGCCACCAGTGCCCCCACACCTTACCTAGACCATTGCTCACATGTACATGAGCCTATGCCTTTTCCTCTGCTACACAGCCTTTTGCCTTTTGGTTCATACTTAAAATTATATCCATGGTACCTGCCAAGCTTTCAGCCACGATTCTTCTGTTTGTTTGTCTCTAAATACCTGTACACAGGTAGCAATACCTGCACGCTGTCCCATAAGCTCTTCTTGGGCTATATGGCTTTGTATACAACTCTTCCCTTTTTGCAATGGACTTTACCTCTGTGTGCAGTATTTCTCAGCTTACGCTTTGGGATTTCGCACACCAACAACACACTACACGCCCTCTTATCCCCTGAGTGAATCCATAAGGCGTGCCATCGTATTTTGTTTACCTAAATCCACGTTTGGTTTTTAAGGCTGCAGTTCTAAGCCTACTTAGGGCCAGTTCGGCTTGATAACTAGAGTGCTGTGATGATTAAGATCTCCCATAGTTTAGAGGTGGTTTTGTCGTCCGTTTTCTTCGATGGCTGCCAATTGTGATGACTCTGTTCCTCCAGGATCAGAGGCAGCATGCCTCCTCTGTACGCCAGTTGTGGGTTCCCACAGCAGAATCTGGAACACCACTGTGAGGAACAGGATGCTCAGCCAGGTAGGTCCTTGTTATGAACCAGAAACCAGGCTCTCCTGCCCATTAATAATAATAATAATAATAATAATAATTAATAATTAATAATTAGCAGCCTCGTGCTTTGCCGATCAGAGAGGCCAAGCTCTGTGAAAGGGTTTTAATCTTCTCTTTCTTTAGAATCATACAGTCAGACCTCAGGGATCTAGCCCTCTGCCAATGCAGGAGTCTTACTACTACAGCATCCTTGGTAGAGGATCATCAGTCTTATGCTTAATAACCTCTATTCATTAAAATAAACAAAACCCAAAAACCAACTACTGCTAGCTTTGCAGGGAAATTAATAGCTGCTCTTGCATTCCTGCCTTCTCTTCAACATCATGTTTAACTTTCTTGCTGTTAATTAGCTGCTATTTATTTATTCTGTTAAGTGACTTAGCTACCATATTCCAGGACCCAATTCATTCCTAGTGCGGTGTAACAAAATTCTATAAAACCCTAATAATATATAGAACCATAAAATTAAAACCACTTTATGCCACTTTCAAACCGAGCTGCAGCTGTTAATTGCAATAATTGATCAATTTTAAAAAGCAAATTGAAATGTCAATGTTTCTTTTAAAAATAGAGATGGGCCACCTGTATCTTCTTGGGACGTGAAAGCCACAGGCATGGAGACTAGAGTGGGAAAACCTTGTCCCTGGTACCTGTTAGCCTCCTATTGATGGGCCCAGAGAGCAGCTTCTTAGTAGTAGACCCTCAAGTAATTGACAAGTTCTCTGAGGGTTCCTCCAGAAGAGAATTCATCCTGATTTGTCTGCACTGTACTTAGGCAGAGTTTTGACTGTATCTAGTTTTTACTGAGTTTTTACAGAGGGAAGTAATCAGACAATGAGCATTCATCCTGATTTGGTTACATAGTGTTTACAGGTTTTCCTGTCAATTGTCCGTGCATTTCACACTTTTCAATGCATTTCCCCATCACTTTCCTAACTGCAAAAAGTTATGTTATTGTGGTTTTTTTAAAAGGTAGATTTCAAGTGCCAGGGCAACAGAGTGCCTTAATCCGCTTTTGTTGCCCGAACCTAATTTCCTTGGAATGCACTTGAATCCCTCCTGCAAAATACTCATTCTGGAGGCACCCTAAACTCAAATATGTTTTCCCCAAGCCAAATGTAACGGCATTGCTTGTTGGCATGACAAATGACAGTGGGAAGAATGTAGGAGAAAGGGAACGCCTACCCAGTGCTCCTTGCATACCTGCACCCTCGGGCCCTTGGAGGAGGTGCTGTGGGGGTGGGAGGCTGGGAAAGGTGCCCCTTCAAAAACAGGTGCAAAACGTCTTCATCAGGATTTCAAACTGCCAGGGGGCTGGACTTTGGGGGGCCCATGTGAAAGACTTGCTTCTTTTCTTAGGCCCTTCCCCCTGCCAAATCCTCCTCCTCCCCCTCTGCCCCCTTCCTCTGAATTAGCAAGTTTGTTCTGAAGCCTTCCTTAGCCACCGAAGGGTAAAACAAAGAGGCCTTATTCGCGGCCAGCGCTGACAACCGAGCAAGTCAGACAGCTGTGTTGGGCCTTTGCAGTTTGAAGTGGCCCATTATGGCCCATCCTCGGCCACTGCGTGCCAGAGCTGAATGGAGCTGTGAAGAGAACTGAAGTCCTTTCTCTCCAGCTCCCATGTTATTTCCTCCTTCCGGCAACAGAGGGAATATTTTTAGAGGAAAATGCCCATAGCAGACGGGTTCCATTTAGAAAATATCTCAGCTAGGAGGCTTGGCCCTGCCTATTGCCAGGCTTTGAGGGATGGGGGGGGGCGGAATGCTCCAAGAGCTGGTGGCTGGGGGGGGGCGGGGTGGATCGTGCTCATGTACAAGGCTGGGTCATTAACAGCAATGTCAGTCTTGTCTCTAATGCACTGGAGGAGCCCCCCCCCCAATCTCCCACTGGAAGCCGTGATGTAAGCCTGAATCGGCTGAGGAGGATTCCTCCAGCAGCGTCGGTACTGTAATACAAGTACAGAACAATATGGGGCATCTTTGCTAGTCCCATGTTCTCCCTCCTCCTCACCAGGAGTTTGTACAATCTGTGATTCTGTATACAGTGGTATCTCAGATTAAGTACTTAATTCGTTCCGGAGGTCCGTTCTTAACCTGAAACTGTTCTTAACCTGAAGCACCACTTTAGCTAATGGGGCCTCCCGCTGCCGCCACGCGATTTCTGTTCTCATCCTGAAGCAAAGTTCTTAACCTGAAGCACTATTTCGGGGTTAGAGGAGTGTGTAACCTGAAGCGTATGTAACCTGAAGCGTATGTAACCCAAGGTACCACTGTAGCGTAATTGCGGATCACAGGACATGCCTGCTGAGTCGTGAACCCCAACTTCGCATTTTTCAAGCTTGAGGCCTTAACCCTGGTGGGACACTGCCATTTAAAAAAAAACAAACCTGAAAACGTGTTTCCTTGTTATGAAATTAACCTTTTACGAAAACAACTCGCCTCTTAAATTTCAGTCTTTGTGATCATTGCTGCTAGCCAAATAGGTTTTTTTTTAAAACCTGAGGGGGTTAAAACATTTCCACTACATATTTAGTCAGTTATACTTTCCACAGACATTCCCGTGGTTCATGCATCAGCTGAATCAGCCTTACGCACAAAACACAATATACCTTCCTACACACTTTCTGTTCCCCATCTGGAATGCAAACAATGCCAGCGGCCTCCTGCTGTATCCTCCATAAGCTAGCAGAGGCTGTTGCAGAAAAATGCTTCTAGCCAAACAGTCCCCATCTTCCTCTTTAACTATGAAATGCCTCAATACAGATCACAGATGGATTAGCCTTTTGTACAATAGCAGAGGCAGCCTTTTGGGTTCTTCTAGACTGGCTTTCTTTGAAAGCTGAACAGGGAAGGAAGATGGCATGAATACCACATGCACTCAATATCAACTAGGCAGGTAGCGTCCCTTAAAGGTAAAGGTAAAGGGACCCCTGACCATTAGGTCCAGTCGTGGCCAACTCGGGGGTTGCGGCGCTCATCTCGCTTTATTGGCCGAGGGAGCCGGCGTACAGCTTCCAGGTCATGTGGCCAGCATGACTAAGCCGCTTCTGGCGAACCACAGCAGCGCACAGAAACACCGTTTACCTTCCCGCTGGAATGGTACCTATTTATCTCCTTGCGCTTCGACATGCTTTTGAACTGCTAGGTTGGCAGGAGCAGGGACTGAACAACGGGAGCTCACCCCGTCGTGGAGATTTGAACCGCCGACCTTCTGATGGGAAAGCCCTAAGCTCTGTGGTTTAACCCACAGCGCCACCCGCGTCCCTTAGCACCTAAGGGCTCCTAACAATACCTATTCCTTGATAAAAGTTGGCAAGTGAAAATGCTGAAGTTATGTGGGCCTATACTACCATAGAATTAATTCCCAATGAGCACTTACTTTGTCTTAAACTTGTTTAGGGTTGTAGGCTTTAACTTGTTTAACTGTCATTCCTTCTTCCCAAGGAATCCTGGTCATTGTAGTTCTGTGTAAGACAGAGGTGGGGAAACTGTGGCTCACCAACTCTCATCAGACCCAGCCGACACGATCAGTGGTCACAGCAACATCTGGAGGGCCCCAGGTTCCTCACCCCTGGCGTAAGAGAAGGATCTGTAACAAAATTCTCAGGAACTCGCTGAACTACAATTCACCAAGATTATCTTGGTGGATGAAGCATTGGCAGTTAAAGCTGGTTAACCCCAATGCAAACTAACCACGCTAAAAGTAAATTTAGACATTTAGCCTTATTAACACTCATTAAGTGATGAGAGTTTACCAATCTTGATTGACTTCCTACTTGCTATAGCTCAGTCGTAGGGGATGAGGGGGAGAAAATAGATTTAGTTCATATTTTATACATAACCTACACTTTCCAAAACATGGTGTGAACAGAAACATATCCCTCCTTTGAAATTCATAAGATTTTCAATTTTGCAGCATAGCTCTCTAGGCTGGAAAGATTCCTTATCAAATTTGAAGCTCATGCAGATCTGGAAGGGGTAGCTAATACCTCAAAATAGTAATAATAATAATAATAACATTGACAAAACAGAAAACTGGGGTCGAAGTAACACAATTAAATTCAGCAGACACATGTGTAATGTTTTACATCCTCAACCCCAAATCAAATGCACAGGTATAGAATAGAGAATACCCGTATTGGGAGTAGTGTGTGTAAAAACAAGACCGCAGAATTGCTGTTCATCACAAGATGAACGTGAGTCTGCAGTATTGTGCGGCCGCAAAAAAGACTAATGTGATTTTAGGCTGCATCGATAAAGCCCTGGTTTCCAAGCCATCAGAAGACCTAATAGTTTATTCAGATCTCGTCTAAAGTACTGTGGCCAGTTTGGTATTTGACGATTTAAGAAGGATATAGAAAAACTGGAACGGTCAGAGGAGGGCAGCAAATACAAGTCAGGAGGAGTATGGAAAATGTCCTGTGAGGAAAGATATGCTAGGACTGATGGGGGGATGAAAGCACTCTTCAATACCTGGAAGTCTATCCCGTAGAAGAGAGCACAGACTAGTTCTTTGCTGCCCCCGAAGGCAGAACTAGATGGAATGGGCTTCAGTTCAAGAGAGTATTTTTTGGCTGAACATAAGGAGAAACCTTTCAGCAGCGAGAGTAGCTTGACAATTGAACCAATTACTGGAGATGGGCATTCTCCCTCATTGGAGGTCTTTGGGCAGCCATCTGTTGGGGGATGCCAAAGCTTTGGATTCTATGCATGCAAGTATGGGTTAGGACTTGGTGGCCTACAAAACCCCTTTCCATCTCTATAATTCTTTTGGAAATAAAATTGGGTTTTCTGCAGTCTGATGGACATCATACAGTTGCACTGTAATAAGTGAATTAATTTGACAATTAACATGGTAAATACCCTAGAAACCATTAGCCAGAGCCAGAGCTACAGGGGAGCTAGCCAGGGTTTTTTTTTTGCCTTGCAAAGCCTCCAGAGGGGTGCCACTGAGGCTCCCAGCCTGTGTGTGTGTGTCTCCCACCTGTATCAGAGGACCTTCCCTGTTAAACGTGGCACATTCATTTTTTATTTTTGCGTAGGAAGGTGCAATGAGTCAGGTCCTGTGTGCAGTTTTGCCCCTAGGCTCCTTGTGCTCCTTGTCTGACAGAAGGCACTGGAATGATGCTGCATAACAGACATCAGTGTGAGTTTGGCTTGATCAGACACAATCCGCAGAAATCTGAAATTCCTATTAAATTTGCGGCTCTTTCCCTCTGGCTTGCATTTCAGATAGCAACACATTCTGCGATGGATTGGTTTAACTGGTATAATTATCATAACTATAGACAATAATGTACACTTCTTTCTCTCTCTTACAGCCTACTTAAATGTTTGTGATACATTTCGGCTGGTTTTCACACAGGTCTCCGTACTCCAAACGAGAACAATGATCGTTAGGTTGATTTAGGTCTGAACCAAACAGAATGCTACAGATTTGGTCTTTCGCGGTTAAAGCTGCGTTGGTATTGTGCGATAATTGCTGGGGTCGTTTCCAGGCAGATACATTTTCAAATCTGCTAATAGCGGTTTGCTGCTATTTTAAGTGCTTGCCTCCCCTCCAAAAGGCTACTGCCTCATTACTACACATGATTAATGAATTAATATACAGCTTCTGTGTAATACATAACATCAATCAGCAGAGATATTTTCTTTAAAAAAAAAAAGTTTCCAGGCTAGCCTACCTTTTTTGTTAGCACTATATAATACAGGAATCTGGAAAGCTGACAAGATACAAGCAGGATATTAGTGCAGTCCTGAGAACTCTTTTAATAGCTCACAGGTTTTCTTGTGGATGACCTCACGAAGCTTCCGAACGCGCCGGATGCTGGAGGCCCCCACAAAGCTGTCTGGCTGCAAAACAGCCATTCCGTTGTGGACGTCGCCCATGATGATGAGCTGACCACCCGCTGCAGTTATGTTGGGGCACGGGCAGCTCCAGTTCATGTTTAAAAGGGTGATTTCCAGAGGCTCCCTCCCCAAGAATTTCAGCCCCATTTTCTCGTCCTTTAAAATCTCCTCCACGGTCACCAGCGCGTGTCCCGAGTCCTGGTCCTCCGTCAGTTCGGTGACGCGGCCAAGAATAACAAAATCGCTTTTGCAGAAACTCGTCACCAGCTTTTGGCGCGGTTTGCAAGCCTTGCAGGCTTTGCAGTGCATGTTCCTAGGGAAAGGGCACATCTCTTCGCAGGCCTCTCTGCTCTCAAAGTTATTCTCGTTGCCTCCGCAGCCTCCGTATATGAAAGACTGGCATTGTTTCGTCAAGCTGTTGTACGCCCACCGGGGCTCGTAGGCTTTGCAGAGGCCTTGGAGGGCTGGCAAGTTGCAGATGTTGATCGGCCCATTCATGCAAGTCAGCATGCAGTTTTCATAGGTCTCAAAGTGGTTCAGGTTGCTGTTGCAGTTTCCGTAGATGAAAGTGAAGCAGTTGTTTTTCTTGGCGTCGTAGTACCATCGGGTTTGCTCCTCCCCGCAGTCTTCACTGTCCGGCTGCTTCAGACACTCGTCCGTTGGAAAGTGGGTTTTGTTCTGGGCTTCTTCCATTGACGTAGCTTCTCCTTTGAGGACCGACAGTGGGAAATCTGCCTTGAGAATCCCACCAAGGTTTTTGGCAGTGCAAGTGTACATGCCTGCATCTTGTAGTTGGGTGTTGTAGATGACCAGCTGAGCAATGTTTGTGACCACGATGTTCCCTCGGACGTGGTTGGGCCTCATGATGATTTTCTCATTACTCTCGGTCTGCTTCTCCCAAGTGATTTCTGGCTTGGGTCGTCCAGTGACATCGCAAAGAAAGCTAACAGTCTCACCTACGTAGACAGACTGATGGGCTGGGTTGTTGACTAGTACAGGTGGAAGGATGTCAGTGATGGTTGTCTCTAAGTAGGCAGTAGTGGGGCGAGCTGTGGTCTCCGGCGGGATAGGGCTGGTGTTTGGCCATGTAAGGTGGTAGCGACAAGTCACCACGTTGAGTGTAATGCTTTTGGTACATGCTTCTGCATCCATGTAGCATTTGTTGTAATAGGTGAGGCCATCAGATGCGCAAGTAAAACTCGGCTCTTTTTCACACCTGTCTTTGCATTTGCAAACAGGCTGCCCATCCCAGATGTCGCACTCTGAACCTTGCTGAATGCACATGAAACGGTCACACGTTGCCTCTTTTGGCATCCCAACAGGTCCTTTCTTCCCTCTCACATCCATGTACCGAGCTGCAACGCAGCTCCTTGTTCCGCAGACATTAGGGCAGCACTTCTCAAAGGTCTCGCATTCCTAAGACAAAGAAAAAATAAGACCATGGTGACAAAATCTTTGTAAATTAATCGGAATCCCCAAGTAGATTATACTGCTTCTTAAGAGAGATGTCAAATTTGTAGAGTATTAGGAACACCTAATATTAGGCATTTTGAAAGGATATTTTGATATTTCAAAATATCACGTTCCCCAGAATCTCAGCCCACAGCCAGCAGGGCCCCCAGACTCTTAACTATTTATAAAGTAAGTTTCTAACCCTCCTAGTAGAACTTACTTTAGAGTAAACATAGATAGGCTTGTGCTGTTTTTTTAAAAAAATCTCTTGGGAAATCCCAGTGGCTGTACTTCTATGTTCTGGGACTACTTATAGCTGTCACCAGGGATTGAGGAATTATTTTTCACTAGGCCATCTGGAGTGGGGATTCTGTTGTGGTGTCTCTTCTTGCACTCCCACTTCCATCTTGGCATTGCTCACTTCTTCACACCGGCGCAACCCTTTGCATGTCTCACTTTGAGTCTTGTTGTGAACAGAGGGATTTACTCCCATGCAAAGGATCATGGCCTGAGTGCATCTTACAAAAATTCTTCTTTGTCCTACAGGACCTACACAGAGCTATGGCCTTGTAAGCCCTAGTTATTCCTCAAACCTTCTTTTCATGATGTAATCTAGATCGAGGGTTGCTTTAGCCACTTGAACAAAGTGGTTTGCTTCTTGAGGGGATGTTTCCAGAACTTCCTGCAAGCCAACCACATATGTTCCACTCTGGCTGAGTCATGACAGCTTTCTGGCCTGTCATTCATGAACATCCGTGAGTGGCCTCTTATTGTTCTAGCTCCAAGGCTCCTGTTGGAGAATAGAAAGGTCCTGAACCGATTGAGATTATCAGTCAGTTATATTGTTGGGTTTAGGCTCATCTGATAGGGTGTTAAGTGTGGAGAGTTTGTCCTCAGAGCCGTAAATTGGGAGGTTCCTGCTCAAATGTCAATTGCCATTTCGGGGTGGGGGATGAATTTTACTGAGACCACAGCAAAGAGGGATGACTTAGACCTCCCCATATGCTGCAGGGCAAATGACTATCAGCCCATCCCCTCTCTTCAGCACCTGACATTTAATTTTTTGGGAAATGTCATTAGTAACAAGAAGCATTATGCATTTTAGCCTGGTAAAAACACTCAAGGGTGGTGAAAAGCAGAGCCACACCCCTGGCTTACAGGAAGGCACAGCTTTCCCCTTGTCGCCTCCATGCTGTTTAGCATGGCAGCTGGAATCATCCAGGGATTTGGAGTTAAATATGAGGATGACACTGCGCCCTCTCTCTCCTTTCCATCTGATGCCAGGGAAGCAATGGAAATCTGCAATCTGTTTATGGGATTGTGATGAGCTGCAAGAGAGCTAAAGAGCTGAGACAAGACGGAGAGGCTTCGGGGCTTTGGCCAATAGAAAAGCCAATTTGGCAATAAGAGTTCAGCCTGTTCTTGACAGTGGGACAGTCTGCCTCTGGAGTGTTTATTATTATCATTAAAAAGAAAAGGAAAAAAGGTTGCATGGTTATCTCTCAGGGATGCTTTAGATGCATCCTGTATTGTAACTTCTGCACTGAGCATTAAGTTGGACTACAGGATGTCCATACGGCCTTCCAGCTCTGTGATTCTGTAGGTGGGCTGCCTTTGAAGAGCGTTCAAGAACTACAACTGATGCAGAATATTGGTGCTTAGAATGTTCATAGAATTGTGGATTTGGAAGAGACCCCAAGGCAGACTGTCCCATTGTGCACAAGAAAGGCACAAATGAATCCCATTGAATTCAGTGGCGGCACACAAATCCATTGCAATCTTTCTGTTTCTTTCTTTTAACTGGAATTGCATATTGTTTTGGGGGCTGGGTTTATGCCCCAGCTCTCTAAATTCCACTGGAACTTCAGGTAGTATGAAAAGTGGCTTGTGCATGTGCACCATGTAATATATTGACAGTGTTTTAATTGGGCTGAGGGACAGGGTCTATATGGAAGTCTGCAGATGGCACATTCAAATTTATTTATAGTGAGGAGGTTTTTGATTATTTAGTTTGGGGCCAGTAAACTCTTTGAAACACTTTGCAAAGCCTTCGGGAGAATCATTGACAATTGTTTTCCTTGTGTCTTGTGGGTAGCTGATGGAAAGTAGGATACGCCTTAGTTAGACATTTAGCTGACTGCGTGATTTGAGAGGCGCATTGCATGACAGGGCCCTCATCAAGCACAGGTGATTCTTGGGTACAGCTCTTGAATCTCACGCTGCTTCATCTGTACCCTAAAAATCTTCCTATTCCAAGCAATCGCTTAAGAATCAATGAAGAAATTGGCCTGGTAATCTACTTTGATCGTAACCACAACCTCTTGATTTCGTAAGTGGTACAATTTAATCAGCAGAATATTTTTTGTGTTCTAAAGCATTTCAGTCATATCTCCTCTCAGGTTCTCAGCTTGGAATCTGGGATGGGAGACACTGCTTGTCACCAGAACTGTCCTTTGTAACCAGATACTCTGGAAACATGAATAGCATGGAAATTCAGTGACTCTTGGGGGTCTGTTAAACTTCCAAATGATTTAGGAGTTTCTGCAATGTGTTTCTTCTTGCATCAGTGCCACTGGAGTGAATGTATCTGTTTGACAGAAGCTGTATGAGAACTGCCATGTTACTTTCCGCCTTGGGGGGAAAAAGGCAACTAAGGTGCATATACAGTGGTACCTCACATTAAGTACTTAATTTGTTCCGGAGGTCCGTACTTAACCTGAAACTGTTCTTAACCTGAAGCACCACTTTAACCAATGGGGCCTCCTGCTGCTGCCGCGCCGCTGGAGCATGATTTCTGTTCTCATCCTGAAGCAAAGTTCTTAACCTGAAGCACTATTTCTGGGTTAGCGGAGTCTGTAACCTGAAGCGTATGTAACCCGAGGTACCACTGTAGAGTCATAGAGTCACCTGGTCCAACCCCCTGCAATGCAGGAATATGCAGCTGTCCCATACGAGGATCAAACCTGCAACCTTGGCGTTATCAGCACCATGCTATAACCAACTGAGCCACATCATGCTGTAGCGTGTTTTTACTTTACCAAAAACAAAAAGGAAGAGGGGAAAGGTTGCTCAGTCACTCTTTCGAAAAGCGAGCATCCACAAATTGAAATGTATCCTTTATTCAGGAGTGCTGCTTTTACTAGGTCACAAAGGTGACTGCACTGCAACAATACCTCTTTGGCATGTGAGTGCCAAGAAAGCTTTCGCTGCTCTTGGTACACTACAAACTTCACAGCATCCTGCAAGGATTCTTTTCAGAGCGGCATTTGACAGAGACCACAAACTCAGTGATGGCAATTGCACTCTTATTATTCCAGGCAGGTACGTGATGCAGAAAGAGCACAGGTGGGTGCCTGGATGCCACAATGAGCTGGCAGCGCTGGCCGCTGGATGAGCAGCCTTTTCTTACTTGCCAGCTCAAGTTGCATTTGGATCTGGAAGTGCTATGCAGGAGGTCCTGCCCAAGCTGTCATTTTTACTGAGTCATTTCTTCTGCCACTGCTGGGCTTTAAAATAGGTGCTGTCAGGGCCATGCCGTGCCTATGGAGGCAATTTAAAGTCCTGCCTTTAGAAGCAAGTGGGCTTCAAAAATAGGTGGGATTGGCATGGTTGTTGTATGCATTACCATGGAGTCCCGTGTGTGTGTGTGTGTGTGTGTCTAGTATTCTTGAAATGCCCCTGTCGAGGCAAGACACAATGAATACGGACACACAGTGAACGGCAGCCAAAGGGAAAAGTCCTGCAGCAAGCCCTGTGGTATGTGCTGCCTTGGCACAGATTGGCTTTTGACACTGTTGTGATTGTCAAAAACGGATCCCTGCTGCGGGGCCGGGTCTGTTCGTGTGTGCATTGCTCAGCATGTGTCTTCACACGATTAACTTTGCCACAGAACGGGACTGATTTCCATCTTCAGCTTTCACAGGAATTGGCCTGGAATTAGAGAGCTGTCAGCCCAACAGATAATCAGATCTCTGAACTAGCAACCAAGTAGGCGAGGCTATGCCTTTTGCAGGACGTGAACTCCTTACACATCCCTCTCTTGCTGGCCAGGGTTTGGTTTAGTTTTGAAAGGACTGTTAACAATTAATGTGCGCTGCTATAGTAAACAAAGCAGCAACACACCCAGCCGCTATCATATTTAGGAAGGCAATTAAATTTAAACTTAAGAGGAGAAACAAAAGTGCATCACTTACCAGGTCAGTGTCGCATTCTCTCCTGCAGGTGCTCTGTGCGTCAACCCAGAGGTTGGGATTCATATCATTTGGACATATCCCAGCGTGAGAGTACCGTATTGGAGGCAAGGCAGTGCCTTTGAGGGGGGCCTCCAGAAGCAATAGGATAAGGCTCTCTCCAGACAGCATCCATATCCATCGAGTGAAGAATGTGAAAAAGGACATTTCAGGACAGCTCCAGATAAAATATCCACAGTTGGATTGGGATCTGGGTGTGTCTGTGCCTGGATTTTTAAAAAAAATTAAGCAAAAACAAAACAAAGGACCCCAACTACACCTGCTTTCTTTAAGTTCCTGCAGGCTTCCTTTTCCAACTTGCTCGATGGCGTAGTCTGCTCTGGACCGTGTTGGATTAAAAGTCTTGGGAAGGAGCCCCCTTATTTTAAGCAAAAGGCTCTCAGTCCAAGCCAGAGTTAGCTGTATTTATACCCTGCCTCTGTACAACAAGTTGGAAAAAGTAAACTCTATTTCTGTGACAGGCACACGCTTCTTATGTCCTGGTGGCAGTCGTACAGATTTGTTACAAGGGGGGGAAAAAAGCTGGAAAGACTTTTAAGGCTGGAACTGCCACGGTGGGACCCCTGCATGTTTCTGAATGGAAGGGAGGCCTTCTTAACCCCTTTAGACCTAAAGTACTTCCCTATGCTAAGAATGGCATTTACTTCTGAAAGAGTGCTTGTCTAAATAATATGAACCTACAGTCGGAGGGATTTCCCTATGCCAGGGAAATACATGCAACCGCTTGTTTAAAAGGAGCAGCTTAATAAGGCTGAAGCAATTAAAAGCTTAAATATAACTTCTGATTAAAAAGAAGAAAGAAATGTGGAGGGAGGGAATAGCATGTTTCAGCGTCGGATCTGGAAGGCAATACGTCTTTACAAATTACCCCCCGCCCCAAGTCCCTAGTCTGCTTTATTTATCTTTTCCCCCCAAGTTTCTTTCTTTTTTTCCGCTGCACTCCAACCCCACCATGGGAAATTTTTAAAAATTCCTTCACAGTTCACGAACATGAGACCCCTATTGTACGACTTTTTGCTGACCTCTTTAAGGGGAAAAAAATAGGAACAGTTTAACTCTATGGAAACCTGCATAAAGGAATGTACTGCATTTTTTTTTTTTTTGCATAGAGGAGGGGGAGACATGGGGAAAAACACAATCAACAGTTAAGTTCCCTCCGCCCTGATCCTGATAAGGAAGGGTTTGTATTGCCCACCAAGAAGAAGGGTAATCTCATTCGAGAGAGGACACAAGCACTTGGAGAAGTCTGATAGTAAAGGAGTTTGGGGCAGGGAAGGTGGCTGCGACTCCCCACCACCACCACCGAGGTTTTTGTTCCCTCTCGGTGCCTGCTATGAAAAGCATGTGCTGGATGGAATCCAAGAAGCTGCTTTAGGTGAGGCAGAGAAGGCCTGTGCATGCCCAGTGGGACTTTTGATATTGAGCAGCAGACCCTTGTCAGAGCCTCACCGTGCAGTTTCTGAAACCTCTTCCCTCAGCCCCATTTCAAGAAAAGTTGGTCCTGTATGCCGTCTCCCCTACCCTCACCCACCTGTTTGGGAAACCCAAAATATGCAAAATATGAGCAAGCCAGGACTGAACTGATACTACCCTTGCTGGTACCTTTCCCGGGAAAATCAGAGGCTCACTATATCAGGTTCCTATTGGAAGACCGGACAAATGCTAGAACGTTAACAGTGGCAAAGTTTTTATCGGTGGTTGCAAGAACCAATGATCCCTATATTCTGAACAAAATGCTTGTTTAACCTGGAGGTAGGCTGTATGAATTGTGTATTGTGTTGTTTGGGAAACCAACGTCCATGGGTGCACAGAAGAGCTACTTCTTCACATCTATCTTGCTGAAATCGGAGGCTTTCTCATGTGTGGGTTTTGTCACGATGGCATGGTGTGGAACATATATAACATATCTCCCCTGAATGTTTCGATCCTCTTCAAGTCAGGCTCTGGCTTGTTGACTTTGGATTTAAGGATATTACCTTCCAGAGTCAGGCTCTTCTAGTGGGAACTTGAGTTTTTGAGGCCTTTAGCTCATAACTGATGCAAGATGGTGGAGAGTAAGAGGATGGGTTCTGCTGCATTTAGGTTCTAGCGAACAAGCACGTCTCAGGATGCAGGAGTTGCATTCCCCACACCACGGGACTGCCTAATATGATTCTACGTCCCTGGGGCACATCCAGGAGGTGCTGTTGCTTTGTCCTTGAACCTAGACCAAAGACAAGGCTAAAACTGATAAACCACAGTTTCATAAGGGTACAGTTGCAAAGAGAGAAGTTACCTATATGCCACAGCGTACTGTGCTTTTGTGCACAGTGGTAGAGACGATGTGTGGCCGGCGGCACTATGTCGCCCATATCACAGACTAGTGCCACTGTTCTGCATAGTTCTGGACAACATGGTTTTTCAGATTTTAGAGCTTCGTAGTGCACTACCATGTTGGTATGTAGGCTGCAAGAGGTGCAGCCAAACTACAATGTGTTGTTTATAAATCTCAGAAGTGAACTCTCATTACGCATTTGTCTCTGGTTCAGCTGTGATGGGAATGGTGGTGGCAGCATTGCTAGTAGTGCCCTTCCAGCAGACTCAAAAGGAATAATGTGTGTTCTAGGTGTCCCGTTTCCTAGTCTAGAAGTGTGGCATTATGCTTTGGGTGAGCTGCTTCTCTGTATGCTGGGGTGGGTGAAAAACAGGCACTGCCATTTTCAAGGTGCATATATGTGAGCCAACTTGCATCAGTAGATGTCTGGAATGCCAGAAGAACAGCATTTAACCATGTACGCGCTCTCCAAGGGGAAGTGCTATTGTCCTTCTCCTCCTTCCTCAATCTGTATGTATCTTTCATCCCCGTCCCTTAACCGGTGGCCTGACCTTGTCACAAAATCCAGGTCAGATCAGGAAGACTTACAATGCTTCTAGAAGATACTTTGACTTTGGTCAGCTTTCAGGGAAACAGAGTTCTGAAATAATATGTATAATATTTATTCAGTGCTGAAGGATGTCCCTTTTATAATTTGTGCAGTTTGGGTTTATACTGCTGAAAGCATAATTTGGTTGTCTGCATCTGTGATCTTCTATTGAATGTATCATCATATGATTACACCTCCCTTCCTCTGTTGCATACATTTTCCTGCATCTTCCTGTGATCCTCCATTGAATGCACATTAGCAAAAAAAAAAAAAAAGGCCGCCAAGAAGTTTATTGAATACATAGGTGGAAGTGTAGACAATGCTTGGAGTAAATAGAAGTTTGCTGACACTTTCCTAGCCAAACTTTTGTTTCATTTGCACAGTTGTGTACACATCAAATTTTAGAGACATGTGGGATGTTGGTCTTCATCATGGCAATTTACCACAATTCTGTACGTGTGCAGTTGCATAATCTGTGCACCAGTTGAGTAGTACCCCATTTTGTATATCACTACTTGTATCAGGAAGAATGGATGAAATGTGCAAGATATGGACAAATGAAACATCACAAACTTGTCCTGTGTGTATCAGTTGGCATACCTGAGTACATATTTTAGATTCCCTGCCTTCTACTGCCAGGTCAAAGACTTGAAACCTGGCTCCTCTCTCTTTAGAAACTAGCCAATGCATCCAGGATTAGATTAACTGGTAAAATCATTACATTGCAACATATGGACTTCAGGCCCAGTATGATTGCCAGCCGTCTGTGTGTATGGTTCCCTTCCCTTAGCACTGCAGGGCATTTTTTAAAAAAACCTTCCATTGGTGGTTGTTGGTGGGACTCCATCGAACATATTTTTGTGTAGGTTGCAGGCTGTTGTAGACAAGGTATCTGTAGGAATCCACTGGATGAAGGGAACAGTACAATTCTTTGAATAAAGGCAGGGCTCAATGTAGGGTGATATAGCTGTCCCCATAGGCGTCCCCATAGGCGTCATTTTCTTGAACTTATTGCACCACCATATGACTTGGGCTGCACCCACACCAGCGCTTGCGTCCTATACCGCTTATTATCATGGTTCTTATTTCCATGAAATACTTTGCAAGATCCCAGTCTGCACGTACTTCCTCTTGTCACATTTGGTGACCTGATCACATGAAAACGGGTTGGGATTGGTTAGTCTGCCTTAACTTAAATGCAGTGATTTGTGACACTGTGTGGCAGGCATCACAAAGAGAAGAATTGGGTCCAGTATCCAATGGGCAATCTACCAGGTGCTCTCCCCCACCCCTTAATGCACTTTATCAGGAAATCACACTAGACAGAAGCTGACAGATTTTGACTAACTATCCAGAACTGGCCCTACCATGTCTCAAGAGGGAAGAATCTAGGAGGAATAGATTAAAGCAGGAACTGTCTGAATGGTGCAGCAGTAATTTTAAAAATGTTGGTCCTACCATGTGTGCCTACCATGTGTGCCTTGCGTGCTCTGGTCCATGGGGTCACGAAGAGGCAGACACGACTAAACGACTAAACAACAACCATGTGTGCATGTGGGTGCCATATGGCATACCATTTAAGGCAGCAAAATATCTTGGCCTGGCACCTTGATGATGACTTCCTGTCACTTTTGATCCACCTTCAGCCATCAGTTTCTGATACCTAAGTACTCCATGCTCCAGAAGAAGGGCATTTTTCCTGGTCTTTCTGTGGATGCTCTCAGCACTTGTATGTATATCAATTCATGGTAGTTCATAATAGCACAATCCTTATCTTTGAGTTTTGAAACAGAAATAGGCAGAGGCCTCTGTAGGTTGAGTGTTGTTGAGTGGGTTGAGGATCTCTGAAGGCTGTGAAGTGGTACCCCCAACTGGAAGGTTGTACATTTCAGTCTTAATCACCTTGCCTGTGGTGTACAGAAGCAAACATGTCATAGAGGTAGGCAGAGAGCAGTGGTATAAAATTGACCTAATGGTTACCAGGGCAAAATGATTTGCAAGACCCCACTTCAAGATTCAAATAGCATAATTATATTAAAAGATTTGTACCAGTGAAACCACTGAGCACACTTGCACATAGATTGTGTTCTTTGAATGTGTTTCCTGTACGTTCAAAGAAATTTATAACTGCTACAGCTTAATTCCAACGGTTTAAAACTGACTAGGAAGGGGGGGGGAGGGGAAAGGTTTGTGACAGACACTTGTATCACTCACCAAATGTTGATCTGTTATGAATCATGGTTGTTGAGTCA